GGGACGTTTCGTTGTTGTGCGCTGTGCCTGTGCTGTTATGGTCTGGTTTGAGAACCGGTTAACAAGTTCGGGAGGCAGCCGGAACCGAGATGAATGTTCTTGATAGGCCAGTCCTGGCCGGTCCCTCCTCTTCAGAGAATTGTTCCCGTCCAGAGCAACGCAAAGAACGTAGTCTTCAGTTCCCGCTTTGCCATCGACAGGGAAACATAAGGGACATGTATCTCTTTGAAGAGCAGGTGCCTTGCGATCTGGCTGCGACGACGAGGATGTTCTGTTGAGAGCAGTGGGATTGCCACTACTTGTCGTTTGAGCAGGTGTTCCCGGGGTTGCAGGGGGATCGCGGGGTTTCCTGGTGAGTGTTTTGCTGAAGTGTTCCATGTAATTGACGATCCGGTCGTATAAGTCGACCGAGAAGCTGAACCTCTCACGTAGGCTTTCGGTATAGGGGATCTAAGGAGTAGGTTCGACATGGGCAAGTGTTTTGTGGGTTGACGGGAAGGCACAGGAACTGACCTGGTTATAGTCACAGAGTGACCGAACGAAAGACATACGAGATGTCTGTGTGTGTCGGAATTGAATCAGGTAGAATTCTACAGATCGCATACTGAAGGCTACCGCAGGCCGATTAATTCTGGAGGGAAGGTACCCTTGGGCCAGGACATGGGCGGGAACCCCTATAGGCGAAGAATCCCATGCATGATGTGGGTACTTGACGGAGCGACAGTCTGAAGTAAGACAAGCACTGTTGAGCGGGAATGGTAGGTTGCAGGTCAAACGTATTCCCGCCAACTCACAATATGTATCGATCAGGAGGAGATCGGTGGAACAATCTTGTGTGGGCCAGGGTGGGGGGCCGAGAGTTCTTGGACGGTAGCGAAACTTGTAGAACTGGATGACTAGAGCCGGCAGGGCATGCTCTAGGGCGAGTTGTTCCTGTTGCCTTTCTGAAAAATAACCGCTGCGATGACGATTGGGGTGTCGATGGGCATGCGGGAAGACGATCTGTAGTGAGGTAAGGTAGACTCACGATGGCATCGTCTGTTCTACAGCCATATCCTTGAGCTCTTTTAGAAGGTCCTCATACGCTTGTCCATCCTTCATAACGGGGAGTTCTGTGGTGTTGGGCGCGTCAGTAGGGAATGTGTCATTGTCAAAAACATCATTGGAGATGAAGGGGTTGTGTAAATAGTCCAGGGAGGGTGGATTGGATCCAGGATTGGGCACGGTGAAGCCGGGTTCAGAGCCGTTTGGGCGGGAACCCTGGAAGGAAATGATCTTTCCCTTATACCGGTGGTTGTTGAGAAGGGTAGCCTTTGGGTGATGATCAATTTTGGGTGGACGAGATGGAGTGGCAGGAACAGTCCAAGTAGAGGCAAGGTGATCACTACCACGACGGCGTCTCTTGCGAGGAGTGACAGGAGGAGTTGACATGATGAGAGGCGTAAGATCCAACCTAGGAGCTGCGAGAGTTGGTCAACAGGAAGTCGAAAGGTTGGTTTGACGTTTGCACATGATTCTAAGTGAGCGGTCAAGCTGAGAGACTCGCAGGGCGGGAGCGAAGGCGACATTGCGGGAATGGGATTATAGACTGTGGGCAGACGAGCTGCAGCGGCGATTTGATGAGCGAGACAAGTCAGTGTTTCTTCTACAATACAGTCTGCCCTCATCACCTTTGCGAAGCAGCATGTATCTCGCAAGCGAGGCATGACAGTAGTACAGTAGGGCTCAAATAGATACTGACGTGGACCCCGCCAGTTGCAGGTCAAGAGGATAGACCACGCGTGAAGTATGTAAGTGTCAACGATTCGAGGCAGAAAATAAACGTAGGCAATGTATTATACGCCGGAAATCGAATTACAACTGAAACAAAGCTACTTGACTCGGGAGCTGGGGCGGTCGCAGGTAGAAAGAAGAGACTAGTATTTATCCCCGTGGTGCCGTTTCATTAGACGTTGCTGCGCGAGCTCGAGGGCCATCGATCTGCGGGCCGGCTTTCGGAGTGGTTCCCGACAGACTGCGCCCAAATCTTGCATCCTACAGAGGGCCTCGATGTGCTGGAGCATGAAGGAGCCGCAACTCGATCCGTCTTGCTGTTGCAGGAGAGCCTGTATCTCGGATCGTTAGATCAGCCAGTCAACGTCACCACAGTTTGACTAACAGGATAAAGAAACTGCCAAGCGTCAGAGTTCAAAGCCTCGCCTCGGAACATGAGATGGAGATCGGAGAGCCAGCCTCCCACCGACTGTTGAATACAAAATGACCGAATTGATCAGTGATTATGAATTCCCGCACGTGGAAGAGCAAGCGATCTGACGACTCACCTGGAAAATAGTTCGGGCCTTCTGTAATGACGAGTCGACAGCACAAGGCTCAGCAGCGGGAATCTCTTCCCGCTGTTCCCCATGGAAAGGAGAAAGCGAATCCAACACGGCGATTGTCTTTGACGGGAGATCCACGATCACGGCAACCCAGTGAAAATTGCCGACGTTCCAGGGGATGGCATGGAACTGGTAATCAAATGGATCGAGAGAGTTCTGGTATTGACAGATAAGAGTATGAGCGTCCCGGCGGGATCCGTTACCAGCAGAAGGGACTTGCCTGGCGAAACCATTTCGCCATGTTTGGTGGGTTTTCAACTGACTCCGGTTCGAGTCGGCTTTGAATCCAGGGCGAAACTTGAGTACTGTGAATGAAGACCGGAACGAGACCGTTTTCGAGGCGGCTATATGTCGATTGGCGCCAATGGATCAAAGTGAGGTAGGAGTCCACTAGTTGATCGTCAAACCAGACGTTGGTTTTCAAGTACTGGTAGATTGGTGGATCGCCAAGGATGCGGATGGCGGTGGGGGTGGAGGTATACCAGACGGGCGGCCTGGAGGGGTCCGGCGCCGGACACGCAATGTGGGTCGAGGGGGGAAGGGTCGGATCGCTGCCATCATGGCAGAAATAGCAAAGGTGATTCAACTTTATCATGGTAAGGGGAATGAGCATTCGAAAAGATTAGCAGTGGACAGCGACCAAAGACGGGTACTGACCCATTCCGACAGGCTCGGGACTGCAGCTCCGAATAATGTGCCCTGCGGGACGTAAGCTCGGCCGTGAATCACTGAAGAATTCAATGCGGGAAGCAATGTTCCAAAAGCGTGAGGTTCATTGGCCGTGGAGGCGATGGCGGTGGGAATGGAGGGAAGTTCCCACTGGATCTCTTGTGCAGGTGGGAAATCCGGGGGGAGCTGCCTCTTGGCCTCCGCGATCTTTCGGAGCAAGGCATTGCGGGCGGCATCACTGTCAGAGGATGGGTAGGGAAGGCGGACTCGATCGTGTTCGGCGGGAATGGGCGGGGACGTCTGAGGGGTCAGACGGGGCGGCAGGTCGTCGTTGGGAACAGGGACATCTTTACCCGGCGAAGTTGTGTTGTCGGCTACTAAGGCATGTGATACAACGTTCAGCGGACAATCGAAGGATGCCTCAGTATTAGACGATGGGGCTTACGTTGATCCGCGGCGAGAGGCTTCATGTCGGGTTGGGGCTTGCCGGCGGCCTGCTGGATCTGCTCCAAAATGTTCGAGTCCGGGAGAGCTGTTTCCCGCAAGGGGTCCGGCCGCGTAGGAGTTGGTCCGGTGCGAGAGCGTTTCTCCTGCCTGGGAGAAGTGAAGAACTTGGTAATGCGGGGCTGCTGCGGGTCCTCAGGGGTGGGAGTATCGGGTGTGTTGGGCGGTTCCTGCAAAACAGCTGGGGCGTGCTCGAGGGGGGAAAGCGGGAATTCAGGAGCTGTTATGAGGAGGGGTCCGAGAGGTTGCAGATGAGCCAGCAGCTAGGGTGAAGGTACTTGAGTAGATGCCAAATCAAACATACCAAGTGTAGTATCCATAATTGGAAAGATTGGCGTCGTTCAAATATGCGAAGAGTGATAAATCTAGGGTGGGAAGGGCAGACCAGTCACGATGTCAGTTGTGGGGAGAGGCAGGTATTATAGGCGTCACGTGACGCGCGACCTACGGTGCGCGTCGCCTCGGGGTCTCGTTCGGAGACCCTCTCGGGGACTCTCTCGGAGACCTTTTAGGAGATGTTCTCGTAGACGTCTAACTAGTACCTTGTAGTAGTTAGACATCCGTTATTACATTACTATGCCTACCGTTACCTTTCCCCAGTCCCGCGACCTTATTACCTCAAGACCCGGCAGGTCGGCTGCCAGGCCTTATAGCAGGTCAAGAAACGGAAATGAATGCATATCGACAGCGGTCAGGAGGAGTGACTTGAGTTATATAGGTTTCGACGATCAGAGAGGGACAAAGGCACGACAAGACCAGCCGTCTCTGATGCGAGAGGGCAACACTACAATAGCACAATCGCCAAACTAGCAAGGTTGCTTCAAAACTGAAACTCTACCCGAGGTGTTTTGTTTACAATCTTGATGCGGGAAAACCATACAATAAGGCCAAAGGGATGCCTGAGGCGGGAAGCATTGATTAGACGCGGGAAGACAAAAGATAGAAAAGGTAAACAAATAACGGGAGGGCGACACGTATCTGGAGGACTTTTGCGCGAGTCATCGCGCAAAGGTCTTCAAGGCCAAATCTAGCATAGAATTAAGCCGCGCTGTCGTAGAGTTGTTAGCCTAGGCCAGCGCGTCACGGTGCTAGGGATAGGTGGCATCACACGTCAGCACTCTTCGGTTTCATAGCTGAAGTCGAATCTGGAGTGGCGCAGACCCCGTTATATCGTTGGCCGAACAAGCGCAGGCGAGAGCAATGCCGTTATACCCGCTGAAACTTCCAGGTCCCTCAAAGGAAGGTTCCAGGGGTCAGGCGCAGTCCAGGCGAAGCTGGCGGGCAGGTGTCTCTGGCAGTGTCGCATACAAAAATGACGGTTGCGATTGACCATTGACTTCTCTGCACCCCATCGAGCCTTCGTCGTACCGTCGTCTTACCCTTTGCCAAACCCCACAAGCTCTCTAGTCTACACCCCTCTCCTTTTCTCCCTACGGTCCACATCGGACCATGACTTCAATGATAGATACCAACCTCATCCGTATCCCCCTCGCGCGAGCTTTAGAACGTTCCGAACCAGAGGTCAATGGCGACACAGCGATGAAGAGCTTCGGGACGACTTGCACCGATGGACAAGTGTAAGTCGGAAGTACTTGATCGCTCTGAAGACAGGCTCTGACTGTCAAGCTCGATTCGCTAGACCAATCACTACCATGCCTACTTCCGGAGAGGTCATCTGCGGTCCCGTTACCTCCCCGGTCCGTATGAGTTACGGTGTAGCGGTCACTCTCAGTAAGCCGCATTCCATCCGAACTTTCGACGATTCCGCTAGCTGATACATGTCTCGCAGTCGTCCTGTCGGTCATGCTTCTCATCATCTTGCCGATCAGTCTCATCTGCTTGAAACACTACAACGTCCGCCGTCATCAAAGGAACGAGAGGCACATCACCGCCAATCCGGCCTTGCTTGCCGTTCCCGTCTTGGCCAAGGACGCAGAGTGGGCCGACTCGCCGATCACGCCGACAGAAGAGGAAGGAAAGCAGAGAGATGGAATGCTCGATCGAGCCACACGCGGTCGCGGATGGGGGATCTTCCGTGGTACTCGCTGATTTCATATCGATATTTGATACACTATCCCCGCCAGCATGTCGAAACCAGATCAGAACGTCCATCAGTGATGTCTCCCGCTACATCTACAGAGTAAAAGCGATTCCCTCCCAAGCCTCCAAGGCGATCTTGCCGTCCTTGATTTCTCCCTTGTCCATGGTGCCGATCAACAACTTGGCGTTGCTGGTGTCGACGGCTTCGTCGATAGAGAACGTCTGCTGGTCATTGCTAAAGTTGAGAACGACCAGGAGTTGGGTTCCTTGGTAGGCCTTGAGATAGGCAAAGACCTGTTGGTTCTCGAAGTCCAGGACCTTGAAGTCTCCGTAAGTCTGACGAACACCGGTGCAATCAAAAATCTTATTTCTTCAATGAATAGCTTCTCCTCGTGCGATCACTCACCATAACCAAGTTGTCCTTTCTAACCTTGAGGAGCTGCTTGTAGAACGAGTTGACGGACTTGGGATCCTTGCTCTGGACCTCGACGTTCCACTCCTTGTAGTCATCGTGGATTCTCATCCAGGGCTTGCCGGTGGTGAAACCAGCATTGGCCGAGGTATCCCATTGCATCGGGGTCCTATAACAGGCCGAGTAAGGATTAGTTGGTCAATGTCCTTTCGGCAGAGAGTATGATCCTCCGGTCGTAAGCGTACCTGCCGTTGTCACGACCCTTGGCTCGAAGTTTGGCGACAAGGTCGGAGACGTCGGGGTTCTCTTGACCAGTCTCTTCAATACGCTTCTGCTTGATTCTGCATGTGGCCAATGGTTGTCAGCCCTGGATCGTATCTCAATCGTGCGTGGCTCAACTTACCCTTCTACCCATTGAATCGAGGCAACGTCAATGTATTCCTGTATCAACGGGTGACAAGTCAGCCAGAGCTCTCTTTCTGGTCAAGAAGACTTGCAATGACACACCTCCATACCCCAGTCATGCGGGACGTTGCACATTCCGATGTCCTCCCCTTGATACTGTCAATCAATACGCTCCGATCAGCATGAATATCTTCTGAAATGTTCAAGTCTGCCTTACGACATAGATAGTACCGCTCTGTCATACACAGAACCAGAGCCAGCCGAAAACAGCATCAGCGATGTGAGGCCATGCAAACGAAACCCCAGGATGTACTCACCAGAGTGAGCTGATTCAAGGCGAGTAGTTTTGCGCTTCGAGCTCGGTTCTCACCGACGTCAGAAGCGAACCGAGAAATCAACCGGGCCTGGTCGTGGTTTCCGAAGTAGACACTATGATTAAAAGTATCGGTTGATTCAGATTCCAGACGACAGTCTGTGCATGGAGGTATGGGGAAACCCACCTGTTCCAGCCGTTCCCCTCATACATGGCGACTTGCCACTTTTCATGAATCTTTTTCAGATCAGTGAGTTGGATCTTTTTGGGTTCTAGGACACTCGAGGGGTCCGCATCGACGTCGTGAAGTTCAAAGTTGAAGGTCATCCTCAGTTCGTTGCTTCGCACAAAGTCGATTAAGACCTTGGGGTCGTGGGTGAATGGGGTCTCTCCGACGCTATGTAAGTGTCGGTGCATCATCAGTTTTCGTCGATGAGTTTGTTCCGCCAACGCGATGATACATACGTCAATACGTCGTAATGCTGGGAAAGCGAATCAGAAGTCAGTTTTATGGGCCGTGATAGGCGGGACGAGACTTGACACTTACGGAGAGAACCTTTGCGTTCATCTCTTGCAAGAACTCGTGAATACGGGGTCTGTTCGCGATAAGGAGCGAATCTCAGTTACGGAACCCCCCGCCGGCTATTCCTGCCAACTTACCCGTTTGCGCAGTACTCGAAACCCGGCTGAAACTTGTGTCCAGGGTGGGTGATCGGCGCATCCGGGTATCCCGGCACCTTGGAGATCAAGTTGATCACATCCATCCGCCAGCCATCGATGCCCTTGTCCATCCAGAACTTCATGACATCGTAAACCGCTTCTCGAACATCGACTTCCTCCCAGTTCAGGTCGGGCTGTTCCTTGACAAACAGGTGGAGGTACCATTCGTCTGTCGGTTCGTCGTACTCCCAGGCGGAACCGGAACCGAAAACGGACCTGTGCGGTGGTACCGAAACGTGAAGGGGTAACTGTGTTAGATACTCAGGAGATAAGCCTTCCAAGTGAGCGCGGACCTACCTCCAGTTGTTAGGAGGCAGCTTCTCCCCGTTGGGGCCGGTCTTGCCCTTGGCCCAGTGGAACCACTTCCTCTTGGGGTTGTCCAGGGACGAACGAGATTCTTTGAACCATTCGTGCTGAGATCGCGTTACAACGACGTTAGCTTGGATACTCTGCACAGTCGCTAGAATAGCTCTCTTGCTCTCACCTCGCTCGAACAATGGTTAACGACGAGGTCGTGTACGAGCTTCATTCCGTGTTTATGACAAGTCTCGAGCATCTCCTCCCAGTCTTCCATAGTACCATAAGGCTCGTGCAAAGCCCTGTGATGATAATAACGGTCAGCTCTCAATTTGTCTTGGTTATCTCTGCTGCCAGGAGACGTACTTGTAGTCGCTGATATCGTATCCCTATGAAGCGCGACGGCCTCCGAGTGAGTTTTCCGCATATCATTACAGCAAAGGCGAATCTGCGACTGACCATATCATGCTGAGGCGATTTGTAGATCGGGCACAGCCAGATCACGTTGACTCCCAATTGAGCTAGGTAAGGGAGTTTAGAGGTGATACCCTTGATATCGCCTAAAGAACAAGGTAAGAATGGGAATATGGTCAATAGCAGTTTTGGACTAGGTTCCAGAGAAAGTCTGGGGCACTCACCCCATCCGTCGCCGTTTCCATCGCAGAATGAAGCCTAAAAATTAGGACGGGAAGCCGGGAAGAAGCCGTGAGCCGTCCCAAAGTCTTCCATTGCGTGTCACGATCTTCCCCAACTCACAGGATAGATCTACCCAACATCACAAGCCCATTCAAGCACATCCGAGAACTCAGCGACCAGCGTACATGAATATGGGGGGCGAAACGGTGGGCTTACCTGGTAGACGATGGCCTCCTTCCACCAATGCCTCTCCTCGAAGGGGATGACGAATTGGCTGTTGCTCGACATGTTTCGTTTTGATTTGTTTCTCGTGCTGTTTTCTCTCGGATTTCTGTCAGATTTCGACCTGCACTTGGACTGATGGCTTCCGAAATGTACCTTATAGCTCCTTATAGCTGAAGGCTGGAAGAGTTCAGGCAAGGCGAGGTTGTTGTGTTGATATAACCGGTAGATATATGACTTGCGTCTGCTCATCGTCCATCGTTCACTTCCAGCTTCCAGCGAAGGTGCGGGAGGGATTCCGATAACCCCTCGATCGAAGACGGTCCGACGATCGACCGGCATGGCCGACTCTCCCCGTGGGGCAGCCATCAACTCAGACGTCCCAGTAGAAGCGCACTCTCGGCCGGGCCGCAAGCGGGATGACGAGAGTGTGGCGTCGTTCTAGACCGAGGGCGCTAGACGCCACCCACGAGTGATTGACACAGCCCCATTGCCCATGGCTTGGAGTATAGTCTACGGTCTGGTCAAAAGGAGGGGTCGCTGTCATCATCACCGCATCACGGCCATGGTACCATGGTATGACAAAACAAACACACACCCCGTCACACTTGCGCACTTGCGCACTTTGGAATCGAGGGTTGTGTTATACGCCCTAGAGCGATAAATAGCAAATCCTCAAGATGTCGGGTGTCCGTGATTGTCAAAGCGTCGTCAATGCGATCAATGCTCAGGAAACCAGAAACGAGGCTAGGATCGTCGCTGCGATCGCCGCCCGTTGTTCCCTGTTGTAGTTTCTCAATTGCGCTGTCATGATCAATTTGTTTTGTTTTTGTTGTCATTCCCCTCCTGCTAACACTAATACGTGCTACTACATCACTTTGCATCCTTCCCACTTTGTTGTCTCAGAGCCGCTTGCGGCTAGCTGCTAAGAGAAGGGCGACGTGCGTCTGCGGTGGTTTCGTCCCGTTCGAGCGAGTACTCATCATCAAAACAGGTCACAATCAACAATCAACAGACGAAACTCTATCGACGATCAATTGCGATCAATTGATCAACAACAACTCGGCACCTTCCTTTGACGTCTTTCTTCGACCTTTTGAGGGACTTTTTGGATACATTACCACAGTCCGGCGGCCCTTGTCCATCCGATAGGATAGGTCACATTCATACTGCTGCATCGAGCTAGCAAGCTAGCAACGTTGTCCCGTCGAAAGGGATCCCCCATCAAATCGAACTTCCCTTTGGGCTTTCCCTTCTCGCTACAAACGGGCGTCAACAGATCGCCATCACTTTCACTACGCATTAAGAAGCAAGGAATCAAGAACGAGCCTTCATCCAATCAAATCGGATCAGCACCGACACATAGCACTCAGCACCTAGCCACACAGAACGACAGCGCAGAAGACACGATTTATTCGCAACGTATACACTCCGGCTCCTGCAGATTCACGACCCACCAATTATCAGTCACACCAGTCTTGTCCGTCTCGTCACATACTACATACAAATCTCGAGGCCCTCGCTCCTCGCCGTTTCCTGGATCTACCCCTGGTAACCCCTCGCTCTGCTTCATCCGCGCCCGCCGCATCATCAAAATCTCCTTTAGTCGACCTACCCCAACGCATCAAAATACACCACACAACATCAGCGTAGCTTTCCGGACCTACCTGCACACGCACCTACAATCAGACTTACCCTCAGTCGACCGCACTCCACTTGACTGTACTCCTGCCTCGCACACATAATCGAAAAACTTGCCGCGACACGGCGAAAGATTCTCCTTTAGTGGTCAAGGCCCACCTCACGGGAAGGTGGAACACGGTACAACCCACGACACGACATCCCTACGTCGGGACAACAAACAGCAGACTCCGCAACCGACCTGGCTCTATCAACCTAGTCTTACGACAAGGGCCTTTGATACACAGTCGAGTCAGATCAGAGAGTCTAGGAGTGAGGATCGGTCTTGAGACTCATAGCGTTGCCGTGATACGGAAGGAATATCTCAAGGTGAGTTCAAGATATTCTCTCTCGGGCTCCTTCTCTTGGTAGTCTTGTGAACAAGGGTCTAGGATCTAGGATGATCATGAGCTGGATGAGAAGAGACTGCCTGTCGAAAAGGCTGGGGGGCTGGGAGGCTGAAATGCTTTCGGAATGGGGGACGGGTGGCCTTGCTGGTAGGCGAGGACTACCAAAGGATGATCGGAATGCGATTTTTTGGTGACGGACGGGTTGCTGATGGTTATGTACGCATACGTGTGGCTTCGAACTACAGGATCCGTATTCAACGGCCGGTTTCGTGCGACGAGCCGTCCGGGCATCGACCTAGTGATCGATACTCATCAACCTCCCGGAGTGAAACATCCTTTATCCTTTTCACCACCTGTTCAGACGACTTTTACCACCACCAACCCCATCTCTTAGACCTGACCGCATCATATGGCCGTCATCACATCCAGACCCGAGCTGCCTGCCTCTTTCCACTCCTCGTCCTACTCTCCCTCGGCATCTCCCCGAATCCGTCCGTCTGATCTCGCTCAGCGAGAACGACTCCCCTCGACGGCCTCGGCTCATCAACAAGCGTCTTCTTCGTCGTCCCCTTATCGACAATCCTGGGCGAGTGATTCTTCGGCCCCTCGTCCTCGGTCCGTGTCTTCCTCGAACGGCGTCGTATTTAACAACGCAAACATCAACGCTTCCTCGACCTCGCTCAAGGATCCGCAACAGACGAGCAGGGATCAGAGCGTGGGGTACAGCGACGACCTGTCTAGCCGGGATCAAGAACAGTTGGATCGACCGGTGTTCCAGAGGACTCATTCGGCTTCCTCTTCGTTGAGCACTAGACGTCCGTTGGAACCTTCCTTGGCGGCCAACATGAACTCGAGGGACGGACCGAGACGACAGCCTTTGACGGGTACCGCTCCGAACAATAACGGGGTAATGAACAGACCGGCTTCGGATCGAGATCTCGAGGAGAGGTATGAAGGCCAGAATGGGACGAATGGGGTAAAAGTGAAGAATGGTCCCGGGGAGACACCTTTGTCGCCCTTACACCAGTATCAGAGTCATCAACAGCAACCACAACAGTATCAGCATCAACAACAGCAGTATGGCTACTTTCCACCGCCTCAACAACCTTGGACAGCACCACAGCGGTCCGGTTCGCCCTCTGCAGGCTCTCCTGTCAACGGGTCACCGATGTTCTACTCGCCCTACACTCCTCCGGCGCAGCTTCCGCCTCAAATCCAGCAACTTTCGCCATCGGCACAGCAGGCTTACCTCCAAGCCATGGCGGCGCAACAATACCAAAGCAATCAGGCTGGTATCAACGCATGGGCGTCGGCGTATCATCAAGGGATGATGATGGCCGCCGCTCAGCAGCATCACAACGGACCTTACCCAACTCAGAGCCAACCCATGCCCAGGTCAAGCAGCGCTGCGTCCAACATGGGTGACAGCGAGTTTGGGCAACAAAGGGATCAAGTCCGATCCGTCAGCGGAGCCTCTTCTCAAACGGGTGCGCCCGCATATCATCCGTACCGACGTCAACCTTCCAAAACGAATGTCGCCGGAAAGGAACGCAAGCGCGAGACCAGCTCGAATACCGACTCGACCAGGTCCTCGACTGGCAACTACCCCGAAGCCGACGACGAGGTCTTGCGGGATCCTTTCCCGGTCGCCAATCGCTCTGACGTTGTCCGGGCAAGGGCATCGTTCGACGATGCTCAACGAGCTAGGATCAGGCGGGGCAGTAGCTCTAGCGCCGAGCACGTCCCCACCGCTCGGATCGTTGCGCCTAGTCGAAAGGCCGTACAGCAAGCCGTGCAGGCGAGTCATAACGAATCGCGGTCTGCCAGCCAGGCTCCGCCTCGACAAAGTGTCGACGGTCGACCCGGTGCTGCTTTCGAAGCCCCAACAACTCGACGAAACATGCATAAGCGGCAAAACTCGAGCACAAGCAGTGTAGGCGAGGTCATCAAGCCGACCTTGAGGACTACCGAGAGCGGTTCCTCGATCGGTACGGTGACCCCGGCCCCTCATCAGACCGACGGCCTGAACCCCGCTGCCCGAGAATGGACTCCGTCTCCTCTTGCGCAGACGCCCTCTGTCCCTTCGACCGATGCAGCTCGAGTTTCCGGTCGGAGTGTATCTGATGGCGTCAAGAAGGAGGCTGATAAGAAGGAAAAGTCGGGTCTGCGTGGCAAGCTGCAGAAGGCGATGAAGCGCGAGAATGAGCCTGTCAAGATCACGCCCAAGACGCCCATCCAGCAGGCCCAACCTGTCATTACCACTTCCACCTCGGCTCCTGCCACACTCCACCAGGCCAATGATTCGCTCGGCTCAACGTCGACTACGACGCGTTCGACTTCGCCTCCCGTGACACCGCCTCAGCCCGCAGCTCCTGCAGGTCTGGGTAACCGTCGACCGAGCAACTCGAGCTTTGCCCCTTCCTTGATCGAACCTCTGGATGGCAGGGGAGGCAAACCAAAACGAAGCTTGTTCAACATGAGGAACGCTTCGACCGATAACATTTCCATCAGCTCGACCGTCTCGTCGGCGAGTATGATGATCCGGAAAATGGGAGCGCTCGGAAAGATTGCAAGACGCAACAGGTCAGTGTCATTTCTGACTGATTATATATGACCCCGTTCTGATAATCGAAGCGTCCTGTTTCCAGTCTCGCGAGCATCTCCAAGATCTTCAAGGACAAGAGCGCTGAAGACGGTGACATCGTGGACGAGCCCAAGGAGGGCAAGGAAAGCAAGAAGAAGAAATTCCGTTTCGGGAAGTCTCAGCCTTCAACCGTGGCCAGTGATGCGCATGCGCATGCCGCAGATCAGGACCATCGTTCCGTAGAGGGTCTCTCTCCAGCCGCCCAGCTTGCACGTCAACACACTTTGCGTTCCAAAAACGACAACAAGACGGGTGAACGAAACGCCCAACAGCCGGCTTCTCCTGCCACTAACGCACGATCAGATGGACCGAATGTCGAACCATACGACAGCGATGATGCGAGCTTTGCGGAGAACGATGACGTTACCGCCAGGTTGGAAGACCTGACGGTGGGAGACGAGTCGCGAGCTTCGTACGATAACTCGAGAGAGTGGGAAGAGAACGCTTTGCATTGGGGACAAGGATACGTTGACAGGCACGCCATTCCTGCCAAAGGTATTCTAAAGAGTAAGTTTCGGCGGTAGGAGCTTTGTGCCGGGCGCGAGTTGACCTCTTTTCCTACAGGCATTTCGTCTTATGACGGTGTTGCGGATCTTTCTGCACCGAACGCCCCTTGGAATCGTGCACGATCCAACTCGACTGATGTTACAGGTCAATCGTCCGAACCGGGTCCCCTTGCTCACATTACCGATCAAGGACATATTGATGGACCTCGACCGAACGAGGTCATGGACCCGTTTTCGCCCAGCTTCGATCCTTTCGAAGCGGGAACCGACAAGGCGCAAGGTCCCGAACGACCCGGTCTCTACTCGAACGTTTCCCTCAACTCGTCTGCTCCGATGTTGAGCTTGGCGAGCCAGGGTGGTCGTCCCCCAAGATCGGTCACCAGCCCGATGCCACGAAAGAGGCTGAATTGGGCGCCCGAGTGTGCCATCTACCATACCTTCCATGCGACCGAATATGACCGCAGGAGCGAGCCGGCTACCTGTAACCGCTTGACGCCCGCCCTTGCTCAAGAGATCAAGGACGAGCTGAACGGTTTCAAGATGGAAGAGATGGCCGTACATCCATCGTCACGTATCCACACGCATTTCTTGTGAGTAAAGTCGCGCCACAAATGACTGCAGGCGGGGATTTCTGACTTGGATCTCTTCGACCATGACAGTGTCTGAGCTGGCTCGACATCACACTGCTCCAACGAAATTACGCCTGGCTAGCTGTCCTCATGCGGTCAAGAATTTATACCACTTGCCATCCCTCTCATGCCATCCCCTCTCGTTTTCCTCTTCTATTCTTGCTCGGCACGCATCCCAACCACCCTCATGCATAACTTGATGACGACCTTTCGACGTTATACGATTCTTGAACTCTGGACTGTACTGTACTAGCTACAAAGATAGCGTTTCGGCTCATGACTTGAGACATTTGAAGAGAATCTCCAATATGCGTAGCAGTTCGGGGGAAAAGCGAGGGAGCGGTTGCGATTGTTTACATTTCGTTGATCGAGCGAGGGCAGGACGAAGTTCAGGTTGACAGGTTCAAGGAGCGATACAGTCATCAAGTAACACCATTCCTCCTGCCTCGACACAACGATACGTGACCAAGCGAAAGCTAGCTATGGACCTCTATATCCCCTTCCCTGACCTGACCCCATCGACGATCATGTCGTTCTCGGCAGCGACCGGGCTGCCTCAACGATCAGCTCGATTGCGTCGAGATCCGCCGGGAACGTCGACCGACGACCCTTTCGCCCGTTCTGGCGCACATGACCACATCGAGGGAACTTATACCAGCATGCAAGCAGGACCTAGCGGTACTGAGGAGCTTATGGAAGAGGTCGAGGACGTCTTCCCCAGCGACCTGGTGGGATACAGGTTCAGAAGACCGGAAGACCCGGGTAGAAGGATGAGGACCGCCCTGGAGGGAATCGTCGAAGATCTGAGCGACCAAGAAGAACGAGTATATCGAGCGGAGGTATGTCTCATACCTTCGTTTTTGGGAAACTGTATCTTGCTTACGACGATATCCGGTGTAGACCAATTTGCGAGGCACGGGAGAAGACGTGTTGGTCCCCATCGGCCGTAACAACACTGCCCACGATGCCGCGCAGCAGGCGAGGGTGAGCAACGATGGGCAGAGTTACTAGAATCGCAACTTATACCAAGTTGTATCGTCCTACCTTTTGTGAGACCAGTCCGAAACGCCTTCCGATCTGGGAGACCGAGATCAGCTGCAAGAAGATCATCAGGCGGTAAACGGACAAGACATCAATATGCAGCAGGAAGATGCATCGGGAGATCAGTCGATGGAAGCTGTCGAGGATCTAGATGCTGAGGTGGAGGATCTAGATAACAGTGGACGGACCGACGCCAGCCTGGATTGAGAGCTACAGCAATGGCTTGTATGCGGATGGAGCACGACCTTTGATGACAGCTACGATATAGACATACCCCGTTCTCGCCTGGATATGTTCCGGTTTTTTGATAATGGGAAATCACCGGCAGAGCCCAGAACGCATACACTGGTCGGACAGCTGGCAACCAGACAGTCAAGTCGGTCCTGCACTGATCGCTTGTCTGGGAAGCATCGCGACGTTGAACATGCAGTGAAAGATCGTGCTTGCCGGGCCGAGGAGACCTATTACGGGCAGGCAAAAGATGGGTAGAGACCACTTGCTGTAGCTAAGAAAAGGACATTTCGAGACGGGAGTCATGACAAGCCGCAGTCGGGATCCCGCGAACATCGTTGAAGGATCTGCGCTCTTGCCAGTAAATCAGGGGAACTTGTTTGACTACACCCCTGACTCCTTCCTTTGTCCTGTTCGAGTGTGCATTCATCTTGCTTCATCTTGTGGCCGACCACAGAGCATTTATATAGTTGCCTTACAACCACTGCTACTGGCTTGGCTGATGGTTCAATGGATCTAACTCGATCAACCCGCAAATCGCATCAAACCACCTCGGATGTTAAAACACCAAAGTCGATGCCCGTCAACGCTGAACAACTCGCGACTCCGCCTGTCGACAAGAAAAGGTCTGCGGCGGGAAAACCAAGGCTGGGCGTTACCATCCGAAGGGCCGTCGAGAGTGACTTGGCTGATACTGTAAGTCTTCTCTGCGTCCGCGACCGTCTTTGAAAAAAACCGCAAAATGGATGTCTGACCCTCTTGTCCTGTGCGTTTCCACTCGTAGGTGCTCATCTTCTGGTCGGCTTTCAGCCCCTTTTACCCCTTTGATTCCACCGAGCCCCTTTCGCAACGCGCTTGCCATACCATCCGTCTTCGGCGAGCCGTACATCGTCAAAAGAAAGCTCTCGATAATCCTGGTTATTTGATACTTGTCGCTGAGGAAGAGCAAACCAAGGAGATTGTTGGATGGGCCGGCTATATAAAGCCGGAAGCTTGTCGTCTGTCTCACCCATGGATTGCCGAAGATGAAACCTTGAAGACGGACGAAGATCGAGAGGCTTGGGAAGGTGTAGACAGGAAGGTACACAATGGCAAGTCTAGTGTATACGAGTATGTCCCGGTTGAGAGCTTGACACTGATGCCGATGCCCGTTTTCGCGACCGGCGATCGTGATCAGGCCTTTGGAAAGGCTGTGACGAGTACAGGTGGAAAGTCCTCGGCGCCGACCTTGATCACTGGCGAGTCCACATCCTAGTCACACCACACCTGCTGACTCGCTTTGCGTTGTGCGACCCAAAGCTGATTTCGCATCGACCTTTTCCTGGTCATTTTGCTTCAACTTGATCTAGGGTTCTGGCCCCTCTGGCCGTGAAGCCTTCTGCGCAGGGACAAGGGGTCGGTACCGCTCTTCTGCAACACGTCAATAGTCTCGTCGATACCGACAACACGCCTGCCGGACCGAGTCCAATTTACCTCGATGCTAGCAAAGCGGGTCAGCAGCTCTACCTCAAAATGGGATACGAATTCTATGGAGACAGGGCTAGAGATTTTCCGGGAATGATTCGTTGGGGAAAGTGTAAAATGCCAAGGCCGGAGGAGTAGTTTCGCTCTGAAGCCAATTGTGCGATAGTGCCTGGGCGAACCCGTTACGTCGATATTTGGGCATGCATATTGGCTTCCAGGTATATATTTGCGTATCGCCGGTGGTGAGACGATTGGTAGTGCTCTGAGATTGAAAGGAGTGGATATATCGATCATCCACAAGCTCTTACCCTGAAGCCGATATAACAACGAATTCGACCCAAAGTTATAAGCCAAGCATGATTGAACTAGGGATGAGCAGGCCGGCAGTTTGGCTAGCGCTTCCCGCAGCGGTCTCGGTGGTGTTTCGAGAGACCGCGTATGCTACGGGTTCGATCTGATGGCACTGCCTCCCCCTTCCTATTCCGACCGCCAGCTTCCCCTTCTGTATTTTGGCCACGCTTGCCCCAATGGCTTTGGGGTCAACGATCCCTCGGTGGAGCTACAAGGATATGTCAGCACTATCCACACATTCGACCGGAACCTGATGTTACATATAGATGATCCTAGGGGAGTCTGAGCGTCCTTTAACACAGCTCGCCTTCTTTCCGTTTTGCTAGGCCAGTAGCGCTACTGTAACACGCGAGGTTTCAGGACTTGTGCGTTTCAGAATTAAGATTCGGTGAAACCATCCCTCACGCGCCAAGGCGACAATCTTATGACTCCTCCAAGGCTGGGGCAGATAAGAGGCAGTTATTCATGCGAATGATTCAGAACGGGGAAGCATACAATTATATGATTCCTTTGGATACAGATTGGTCGCATTCATTCCTCCCACGACCTCCTCCTTCGGCGATTCTCCTCCTCGTCCTCTTCCGCAAATGTGCCTAGTAAGCGACAAACGAGTCCAAGATCCTCCTGACCTCTCGACTGTCCTCGCCCTGACCTCCGGTAGTGAAGTGCGAAGGCGCGATAGGCATCCCGTTGAAGGAGCTAGCGGCGCACATGGTGTACGCTCCCATCTCTCCCCAACCGAGCCAATCTCCGACCTGAATCCCTCGAGGCAAGTGAACGAGGTTTCTCACGCAATCGATCGAGTCGCACGTGGGACCCCAGACCGAAGCGCGTTCAGTGTCCTTGTAACCCATGGTGACGGTCAAGTCCTGAGCGAGGTGGACGTTGGGAGGAGGCGGGCCAGCAAGACGAGGGATGGCGCGTTCGACGTCCTGACCGATCGTCAACGGGTAAGGGTGAACGATCTGGTGATCGAACATGATACAGTTGAACGCGCTGTAAACGCCGTCGTTGATGTAGTCTATCAACGTGAATCGAAACGCATCCAGATCAGCTTCGGTGATCCTTAATATGAATGGTGGACTATGACAGTAGACTTACACATGACATCGGCACCTTCGCCCTCGACCTTTTCAACCATCTGAACGTCCTCGACAGATTCCTCTTCCAGCGCCTTTCGTCGAGCGATGATGCTAGTCGCGAGCGTAAACGCGGGAGCGACCAAGAACCTGCCAGGCTCGGCGACGACCCTGACCCCTTCAGCAACGGGAAAGTAGACCTCCAAGCTGTCCCTGAGGACCTTGCTCATCTCGTCAAACACGACCGCCTCGAAACCTCCGCCGACGTCCAAAAAGGTGAATCGGTACCCCTCGGCTTTACCCATCTCGAATACCTGCTTGGCCCTCCAGACGGCGTCTGCGAACTGCATCGGGTCCTTGCAGCCAGAACCGACGTGGAAGGAAACCCCAATGACATCCAGACCGAGCTGTTTGGCGAGCTTGATCAACCCGGCGCAAGTCGACAAGGGAGCTCCAAACTTGAGGCCGAGTCGACAGAGAGACTTGGAATCGTCCGTCAAGATTCGGAGGACCAATTTGGCACCCCTATGAGACCTGGCAATCTTGTGCAACTCGTCGGCGTTGTCAAACGTCATCATTTCGACCCCGCTATTGGCCGCGGCTCGGATGAAGCTGACGGGCTTGCACGGGTTGGCAAAGATGATTCTGTCCGGGGAAGGCGCCGAGGGGAGCGAGAGCACCGTGTTGATCTCGGCGACCGAGGCGCAATCGAACGAAGTGCCCATGAGGGACAATAGGTGAAGGACAACGGGGGAAGGGTTACACTTGACCGCGTAGAAGATCTCGACCCGATCACCTAGAGGAGATTGCTTCCACTTCTTCACGGCCGAATAGACGTCCGAGAGGTCGCCGACGAAAAAGGCCGACTCCTCGCCGCTCAACTCGGCTTCGTGGATCTTGGCCTTGATCAAGTCATCTACGGTAGCATCGTGTACGGGGACGAGGGCGTCCTCGTTGATGCCCAACTCGCTAGCCGTCTTGCCACGGGGAGAACCGGGAGGAGGCGTAGGAAGAAAAGGGTTGAACGCGTTGTTCAAGGGGAGAGTAGCAAGCCGGTCATTGCTGCCGGCATTCTCCTCGAGCTTGCGAAGGTATTCATTCAAGGGCTGACCGATGGAACCGGACGCCCTCTCGGCGACGAAACCTTCGGGTTGCTCGTTCGGGACGAGTCGGAGGGTTTGCTCCTCAAAGCACGAAGTGGTGACAGTCGCCATGCGGGTATGAGAGTTGCGCGGATACGAAGGTTTTCTAGTTCCTGTTCTCGTTTAGAATTCTGTTTGTCTACTGTCGCAGGGTGCGTAGTAGTGCCTTTTGGATGTTATTGTTGAAACCTGGTATGGGCTGAAGACTGTACTTTCTCGTGCGTGTCAGAATACGAACGAGAAAAATGTCGGATAGCACGATCCTGTGTCTATTTTCCTCTTGCTGCTCTTCTTCGACGGTCGATGGGTATAGGTCTTGGCAAGTATGCGAGAGGGCGAGGGGGGTTTTTGCAGAGTTTGTTTTGGTTGTTTTGTGTTTTACGGTATAGCTGAGGCTTGATTAGGGCGGCTCTCCTTTAACGGTCACCCACTCGAGGCAGAGCAACCTATCGATCCGGCGATACAGCAGACGATCATTCACAAGTGAGTCTCGTTATGTTACGATCCGCTACGAGACCATCGCGTGGCTCACCTAGGGTCTTCTTGCCTCACAGGTGAAGAAATGATGGAGGTTTGGTGTGGATAGGAGAACTATTCGATCCCACTCTATCGGTGGCGTCCCCTGAATTTATCAAGGAAGGCGATCGAAAGAGAATGAGAGGGAAGAGCTATGGGGTAGGAGGGGAAAGCGATGTCAGTATGGACTCGCTCGTGTGGCAATTGTTTTTTTTTTCGCTCGCGTTTTTTCCCGCTTCGCATTCGTGCCGACTTACCTCTGCCTATTGATGGTCAGAGTATTGGGATAAGGTGGCCGGGTATAGGCTTTCGCTTTGAACGAGTCTTGTGTATGTGTATCTGCTTTTTCGATGAGCTAGAGTTGGGACGGGGTGGTATCGATGGAATGAGTGAAGATGATGAAGATGATGATGATGATTCGATGACAGAGGTCGAGAGAGGTCGGAGAGATTCATCGAGGAACCGCGTCATTTGCCTCCGGGGAAGCGTGATGATCGATTCCAGCCAATTAGAAGCGCAAACTCAGCCGCGTCGCCGTCATAAGCGCATCCGCTTTCCTCTCGCGCGTGCACGCCCTCTTGTTTCAGAATCGAAACACGCCCGCCCCTCGAAGCTTCCTTTTGATGAGACCTGTGGAGATCGTAACGTTTCAGTCAAGACAGGCGTTCCTGACAAAGGGGGAATCTCTGCATGTTTCCGAGGTCGATGTGACTTGGGAGGTTATATATCAGGATCAACACCGCAACAATCTGTTCGCTATACGCTGTGCACGAACGGCTTCATCAGCTCAATCCCACCCCATCATCTTCTAATCGCAAAAGAGACCCAAGCAAAACGACAACCACAAATACCATGACATCTACCTACCACCTGATCAAGTCCCATATCGAGCACCTCTCCCAGGTCCACCTCGCATCCCCCCTCTGGTCCTCTCAGTCCAACCAGATCCTAGCCTTTCTCCGCGCGTTCCACACCCCGTCATTCTCCGACCCCAAACCTTCCCTCGAGCGCGCTCCTTCGTGGAAGACCCTCTGGGGCGACATACGCTGGAAAGACCCCGCTGATGACCGTTGGTGGACAGGTGTCGACGAGGAGAAGCTGACCGAAGAGGTCCGGGAAATGGGCGTGGACACTCTCCGGACGTTCCGGATGGAGCTCGACCGTTTCTTCTCCTCCCAGTTGATCGGAGAAAACGTCCAGGTTAATAGACCGGAGGAGGGACCGAATCCATTCGAGAGGTCCTCGTGCGATGTCGCTTGGGAGATCCTACAACCCCAATCTGACACTGCTCATTTCTTGAACGAGATCGTGGTCCGGCTGAAGATCACCCTAAGGTGGACGGACGACAGCCTTCGTCGATACCGTCACAAACACATCTACCGGGAGTTCCAGGTTAATCAGCCGTCTCAGTTCAAGCCGGCTCTGATGCGCGGCAATTCGAACTTTCCGGGTGATTGTGCTATGGCCATGGCCGCAGGTGATCAAGAGATCCAACACTTGGAATACGCTAGTATCCCCTTCGTCCACCCTCCCGCACGCGAACATGAGAGACCGTCCCGGTCGTTCTCCTCGTCCGTGTCCGAGGACACCGTTGTCGGTCCAGACTATACCGACGATGACGAAAAGGCCGGAATGACGATGACCGAGATCGAGGTCAAGGCCTGGGCTAGGCAATTTGGCGATCTGGACCGGAGTGAGAAGCGTGGGCTAGCACTGGGGTTGGGGGAGAAGTTGAGGTTGAAAGGGACCACGAAGGTAGATGTGTCTAAAAGATGAGCATGTATATATCGAGATCTGCCTCATCTGTGTTACTATGCCCATGTCGCGTGCGCAAGGCATACGATATGACATGTTGATATGACATTCTTCACCTTCTACGATTCAATTCACGCATTCGGCGTTTGCCGCCAGGTCCTTCTGACTTCCACGTTCAAGCTGACTTGTGGTCCAGCCAACAAACATTCATGAAAGACGTCTTACGCGCCATTGAGTTGCACATCTTGTTTCGAGCCGCTCGACATTACTTAGTCTCCTGGATGTCATGGGGATCCACGACCATCGTTAATTTGCGTGGCTAAACCTTAGAGCTGCGGCTAGTCCATGTAGATCCTACCTGCACGGCGATCGTGAAACTCGCTTCGCTCGACGTAACGGTGATCGAAACGATCTCGGCGATGGGATCCGATTTACTCGAAGTTGCGGATGTCAGGCAAGGAAGCGGTTGCAAATTCCGGGTGAGGGAAAGACTAGGAAGCCGACGGCAGGCAGAGACGGTCCCGGAAGATCGGCGAAAATACCCAGTCAGAAGGAAGGCATTGCTTCGAAAAGATTATGATCATGTGCCAGAATCACACGCACCCAAACCTTGAAGAAATCCTTGTGGTATTCCTATTGGAATTCCATGCTGATGGCCATTTGAGAATATTTTGTTTCACTTTAATTGCATCGATATATTACAGCAGTTTCATCACATCAACCCTTGCTTCCCCGTCCTTTTGCCATCGACCGCGACCTGCCGAACAACAAAGCCCAGCCTCAAGCCTTGGCCTGATCGTCGGCCTTGAAATCCATCGAGATCGAGTTGACACAGTGTCGCTCGTCGATCGGGTTTCCAAACTTTTCGCCCTTAAAGACGTGGCCGAGATGTCCTCCGCCTGTACATCGAAGAATCAATGGCACAACATCACGGTCAGCTCAACAAAAAGCCAGAGGTCGGAGAGTGATCTGTAAGGCTGGAACTGGACGTACAGTTGTTACAAACGATCTCGATCCTCTCCATGAACATGCTCCTATCCACGTTCCTCCCTACTGCGCCGGGGATGGCTTCGTAGAAAGCAGGCCAGCCGCACCCAGAGTCACTATGACCGTCACAGATCGATTCGAAATTGCATGCGTTCCCGTCAGTCCTGGTGTATAAAATTGGTGTTCATCTTTGAATGTCAACTCACAATTTGGTCTTGGACTTGTAAAGGGGAGCGTCACATGCTCCACAAGCTGTACAGGCGGAGGCGGAGGCGGAGATCAGCATAGAGCCTAGCGAGAGAGAAGCGGATATCATCCAAAAAGAAACGCACTGTATACACCGTCTTCCTTGTGCTTGTTGTACTTTCCTGAACCGGGTGCTTCAGTTCCCTTTTGCCTCAAGACTCGGAACTAAGTAAACATCCCGAGAGAGCAGAATGAGCGATTTGAACGAAACGCGGATACCATGGACCGGACTCGTGCTCACCTGCTCGGGACTCAACTGGGCCCTCCATTCCGAATCCTGCTTGACGACCTTGGGCTCCAAGGGAGCCTCGTCGTTTCCGATATCGTTCCTGCCCATACTTCCGAAACTAGCGGTATTACCCAGGTTGAAGAGTGAGAACGCGGCGAGAGGAGTTGTTGTGGCGACTCCGACTCTTGACGGGGTAAGGATGGATTTGCGTGCGAGTGGTGCGAGACGGTTCGAGGCTGTTCTCAAGATGGTAGGGAGCATGTATATGCTAAAGATCAAGACGATAAGGGATGTGAGGATGGTCGAGCGTGAGAGAGATGGCATATGAAGGTGGTAGTATCGAGTGGCAAAAGCTGGATGAGGGGTAGGTAGCAATTCGATGGTTCGTCGCTCAATCTGCCGCCCTCATCGCGCGTCCTCCCCCGATCGCCGTCTGCCTCGCTTCGATGACGTGTTCATGATGCCTCGATTTGATTCCGTAATTATACTTCCGGACGCGAGAAGCTGATTAAGTAAGCCGTCAACCCTGGACAGTGTCCGAGGTCATTATAGAGTCTACAAGGTCATGGTCGTCGAGATTGTTGTAGATTCAAGGTCGATAAATAGTCACTCATCGCCCTTCTTCGACCGTGTATTTCACCACAAGATGCCTCACTCTCATCATAGCCACTCGGGCCAATTCTGTCGTCATGCAGCGCAAGGCTCCACGCTGGAAGACGTGGTCCTAGAAGCCATCCGGAAGGGATTTAGAACCTTTGGCCTTTCCGAGCACTGTCCGCGATATCAGCAGGAGGACCTGTACCCGGAAGAAGTGAGTCTCGACATCTTGGTACAAGAAATCTGTCTCTCAAGCTCATATGTAATGTTTCGATGGTTTGTCGACCTTTACGACAGTCAGACTTGACACCCTCCGACCTATACACCACCTACCTCTCCTTCCTCACTGAAGCTCACCGTCTCAAAACCCTCTACGCCTCGCAGATCAACCTCCTCGTGGGCATAGAATCCGAGTACATCACCGACTCTGACTTGTCCGCCCTCGAGCGTCTATTGCAAGAACAAGGTGGCCGGATACAATACGTCGTCGGGTCGGTCCACCATGTGGACTCTATCCCCGTGGATTTCGATGTCTCGACTTTCGAGACCGCCCTCACCCACTGCAAAGCGACAAGAAGCTCCCCCGACAATTACCTCAAAGTTTACTTCGACGATCAGTACAAGATGTTGAGGAGGATCCAACCCATGGTCGTAGGCCACTTTGATCTGTGCAGGTTGTTCGCCCCCGAGATCCAACTAGATGCCGACATGGGGATATGGGAAAAGGTGGTCAGAAACATCGATCATGTGATCGGGTATGGGGGCCTGTTCGAAGTCAATGCTGCTAGCTTTAGGAAAGGCTGGGATCAGGCTTATCCTGGCAAAGAGGTATTACAGGTGAGCTTCGAGCACGCATTCCCGCAGATTAAATCGACAGAAACGATATTGACGTTGCACCTTCATCCGGTCTTGACAGCACATTATCGAAAAATCCGGCCGACTATGCCTCTCAGACGACTCTCACGGGCCTAAAGCTGTCGGTCTCAACTATCTCAGGATGAAGGACTATCTAGTTCAGAACGGAATCAAGGAGATTTGGTATCTCACCGACCAGGAGAGTCGGGATGGCAAGGTCGTAGCTAAGCGGTACGAGGGCGATTGGACGACAGACGAATTTTGGGACAAAGTCCGATTGTAGTGTCGAGTGGCGTCAACAGGTGCCAGGCCGCAGTGCGCAAAAGACGTTGACCACACCGGATTTCTTGTCCCTTCAAAAACCAGCGGGGAAAGATTGATTTTGACATAGCTCAATGCTTTCTATAACCAAACTCGGTAGTACATTCTAAGTCACGGAAGGACCCGAGTTGATTGCCCTTTGAAGAGCTGTGACCGGCGCCTCTCGGAATCTGCGAGCTACCTTCTTCCGATCCTGGTAGAATTCTTGCAAGGGCCCTTAAGACGTTGTGCATCTCTGGACATTCTGGGTCACTCATGGCTGCTGATCGTGAGCTTGAGACGGCAATGTGATCGATCGTCCTGCTACAGCATCAACTGTAATGCGCAAGAATCGCACTTGGTTTATGTATCGCCACGGATCCACGCAAGAATTCTGTGCTTCGCTCACATTGGATAAAATGCTGGCGTTGACGACTGGATTGTTACAAAATAACGCCACCGTATGTTATTGCTACAATGGGCTCTCGCCTACATGTCCGCCATCTCCGCATCGTTCTGGGCAACATCGTCCATACCAGCCTCGATGGCCTCTTGCTGAGCGTCCAAGGCGTCTTGCGCATCTGCAATGGCCTTGTCTTCCTCGAGCTGAAGTCGAAAAACAAAAACAAAGTTAGCGATGTCATCAAAATTGGTGCTCGGTTCTGGCGGGGACCCACCCTCTCGATGTTTGCCATGATCTCCTTGCGCTGCTGTGCAAGGTCGGCGTATCGGGATTGCAGATCTTGCTCCCTCTTCTCAAGCTTGGCGACCTCTTCGCGCTTCTCATCGATTCGTCGAGGTCCAGCGGCTTCTTCAGCAGCACGCAGAGCGGAAAATGTGTCATAATCCCGCTTCTGCTCTCTGAGAGCTGTGGTTGCAGAGATGATACGGTCGTTGAGCTTGCCATTGAGCATTTGATATCCACCGAGTTGCTTGCCCAGCTTCTTCTCAGACTTCGCAGCCTTGCCAGCCTCGGCTCGCATGCGCTCGTGGAGATCATCGATGATAGCAGCATAGCTGCTGTTCTGTTGAGGTTCCGAGATCTCGCGCTTGTCCAGCCACGCGTTTGAGTCGTGATCGAAAATGAGCTGTTCTCGCTCTACGCTCCACCCGCTGGTCATGAAACCCTGGTCCTCAATGGCCATAGTGTTGATGGTCTGTCGCAACTGAGAGTCGGTAGCCCCGGGGAAGCCGAGACCTTGTGCGAGCTCTTTGTGGATCTCGTCCCGGGCCGCGGTGAGTTCCGCGTCTTCCGGGATCTCGTATTGCGATACCGTTCCGGCCGGCACACTCGATCCGGGCAAGGGGTGAGCGATGGCGTCGTGCAGCATCAACTGAGCCAACTCGTAATCGATCAACTGGCAAGCCTCTTGCGTCTCGGCCGGCTGACTCTGCGAGGCTTCGGAAAGCTGATCAATGAGTCTTTGCAAATTGACAGCGACAGGCCGGGGAAGGTTCTGCTTGACAACCTCGCTTCGTCTGGCAAGAACCCGTTGCTCTTCCTCAATTCGAAGCTTTTCCAAACGAGCATCGCGCTCGGCAGCGTCTTCTTCGGACAAGATGGGCTGCTCCTCCTCTACCTCCTCAAGGCCGAGGTCATCGGCATCGAACTCGAAGTTGTTTTCGGGCTTGGGCAAGCTAGCGAAACCGGCGAGCAGCATCCGTTTGGCTTGCTGTTCACGCAGACGAACTTCTCGAGGGGTGTCACCGTAGTTAGTTTCGCCGTCTTCGTTGATGCTCAGGTTGTCTCGCATCGGGGTTCTGAGTGGAGTCTGACCGTACGTTGACCCGTTGGTCGTGCGTGGCGTTGCTCCGAAATCTTGACCAGCTCGCATGGGTGTCGCAAGTGGGTTAGGCGTAGCGGTGACCTGATGGCGAGGCGTAGCACTGTCGAAACCAGTACCCTCACCAGATGGCCTGTGCAGAGGAGTGTTCTCGTCTCCGAGAAGAGGGGTCTGAGCCGCCGTCATGTTTCGCAAGTTGAGTGCCTCCGCCATGATGTTATCCTCTGCAGGTCAGATAAAGATTAGTGATGATAATTTCGAAAACAGGACATCTACGACATACCTTGAGGAGCAGTTCGAGGCGTCTTTGCCGTCTTGGCTCGGCTTAACGCGTCATAGTCTCCGATCAATTCGCCAGCGGCTCCTTCTCCACCAACCATGTCCCTGGCCGCTCGGCTACTCCTTCCGATCTTGACGATGTCTTCCAACTCAGCCTCCCCAACCTGAGGTTGAGGCAAATTGAGCCGCCTCCTCTTGATGATCTGCTCGGTCTCCTTCAATTTTTGGATCTGAGCCTCACGTGCGGCAATGAACTGCGTGTTCTGCTGAGCTCCACCCTTGTCCTTCTTCTGCTTCTTCCTTTTGTCATCCTGGTCCTCTAGCTCTATTCGTCGCTTTCCTTCCAGCTGTCGAAGAGATTGACCGACGGGAGCAGCAAGCCTCTTGGCGTTCTCTTCATTAACATCGTAGAATCCGGGAGCGGGTTGCTTGTTGAAAGGGATATCGGCGTTGTACTGATCGCAAGGTTGAAACATCAGTCATTGTCGTGATCGCGCAGGGACATGGCAACGCGCGACTCACGTCCATACCAGCATTCTTCTTTGGCTTGTGACGAAGACTGTTCTTGCACGATAAGTAAGTCTCATGCACGACTGCGCGGAGATGCGACAACTTACATGATACCGGCAGCCTTCATCTCTCGCTTCTTTTGCAGAGCAGCCAGACGTCGCGCTTCCTCCAACTGCCTTTCACGAGCCTTTCGCTTGGCCTTTTTACCCTGAGTGTTGGCCAGACGAGCTCGAGCTTCCGAAAGCATTTCCTTCTCTGTGATCTCGAAAAATACACACACACATCAGTTCGTTTGTCCTTTCACATCATTCAAGAAGAGTACTGACCGTCTTCGTCCATATCGACGGGGTCGGGCCTGGCAGCCTTGGTTTCCTGGTCCACATCGACTTCACCAGGCTTCAAACGTCGAACATCGTCGGCAGCAGGAGCTCCCTCGCCACCTTCGGGTCCGGCTAATCCCAGCTCTGACGCTTCACGGGCCTCGGCCTCGTCCAACAGTTTTTGGTATCGCTCTAAACATTGGTTTGCGGTACGACCGACAATAGGAGCGATTGTTCTCCATTGTGTCGGCATCAACTTTGCCAGATGTAGCAGCTTCTCATCTTCCGTCTACAATATCCTGATTTGATTAGAGGAAGGTACCAAAGCTGTAATCGCTTCATGCTGCTCACCTTGGACCATTCGACCTTTTTGATGGACGGGTCGAGCCATTCGAACCACCTAGTATAGGGCGAGTGGAATCGTCATTAGCCTCTAAATCACCTATCGAGCCCTGAAAACGTTCGACTGACCTGGCCTTGCACTGCTTGGGGGTCTTTCGAACCAGCAGAGATGAGATACGAGCCCATTGCTGGAAGAAAGGTGGATATGTTAGCCAGGATGTAATTGAGTCACCTTGCGGCAAACGCCGAAGACGTACGTTCTTTCCGTACTTGGAGATGGCGGCTTTGAGGATTTCATCCTCTGTATGGTAACAAGCGAGGGAGATCATCAGTCAGTGTCTCACGAATATCGAGGTAACGAGGAACTCACCGGTGTTACGCCAGACACCACCCTTGATGATAATTCGTACCTGTTCATTCGGGAACCACGCACTCAGCGTCGTCCTTCGCGACTCCTTCGAGATCCGACTCTCACCATCTTGAATGATTCTATGAGCTGATTGAGCCAACAAGGGAAATAGGCAGCTGGTTTCAGGCTCGACTGCAAGTTACAGATTAGACAACGTATCAGGACGGCAAAGTCGACTCGATGAACAGGGTCGGTGAGCCTGAATACGGGGCATCGCGATCGCCTTAAATCGATGCGCGACTTTCCCACGCGCGTCGAGACCCTAGCCAAGTCAAGGGGATGGAGATGGGTATGATATATACGTTGAAGCTCTCACCGAGCGTTACAACCGGGCGTAGTATAGTATACAGTTCGTAAGGGGAAACAGATCATTGACGTAGAGGCGCTGGCGTGTGCTGCGCATAGTGTTGCCAAAAAGACATATCGTAAAAGAGAACAGAAATCTTGCGACACGAGTGGAGTCCACCTAAAACTCGCTGTCGCTGTCGTCGACGATCTCGAAGCCGTCAGAGCCTCCGCCGATGTGCGAAATGATCTCACAGTCGTCGTCGGAGAACTCGGGGGTTCGGTCGCCCCATCCGCTGCTGGAAGGGACAGGGGCGATCGAAGGCGAAGGCTGAACCGCAGCCTCTTCGATGGCAGGGGTAGGCGAGGCTTCCCTAGTCTCCGGGTCCGAACGAGGCATCAAGAGGGAAGACGAGCCGAGCTCCGACATCTCGGGCTTGGCGACTTGGATGCTATAAGAAAGGCATCCACGTTAGCATGCTATAACGGCTGCTATGTGTTTATAGTGAACTTACCGAATGTCAAGCTCATCTCCGAACGCCCTGCCTTGCTCGTCATGCAATCTGAACGTCCCGCTGAACGACTGTTCGGCCACAGGTACGGTCCTGTGGGGCAGTTGGACGGTGAACGACTCGCCGGGGGCAACCTTGTCAAGCTTGACGCTCTCGCTGATAGAGCCGAAAGAGTGACCAGCGATCAAACGGATGGTGTAGTCGCCCTCGAAGTCGACGTCCCCATCGTTGAGCATGGTCCAGATCTTGGTAAAGTTCGCATTGGGAAGCATGCAAAAGTAGTTGGGAATAGTCAAGTGATCGACAAAGCGACAGTCGGTGCGCATCGCCTTTTCGAAACGATCGGCCTCGCGGCTGAGGTCTTCGGTCTCTTCATCGGCAGCAACATCGGCGACCGAAGGGGTAGGAAGCTTGGGCTTGACATCTTCTTCTTCAGGCTCGGTCTGCACGTCTCGTTCCTGGACTTCCTTGACGTCATTGTTACTGAAGGACCACTCGAAATCCATGGCAGCGGGAACCTGTTAACGCATATGAAGACTTCGGTTAATCCCATTTCCCCGAGCTAGAACGCTCACATCTCTGACCAACCTTGAACTTGATCAACGGGTGGCTTTCGGGATGGTCATTAGCCGGGTCGGCTTCGCAATTCTCGCACAAGTCAAAGTCCGGGCAATCGGGATGAGCGCACTTGTAGCGGACGCCCAGAACGCGCTGATCGCAGTCTGTATTCGGGGTTCGGGTCAGCGCGTTGGCTTGAAAGGGAGGTCCGGCAAGGAGCAGACTCACGGTCACATCGGACGTTCGGATGGTATTCCTTGTATTCGTCTTTGCCTCGAATATAATCATCCGCCTGACGAATCGCCACCATATGGTGATCCGGATGGACCTGATCGATATCAGCAAAGCATCTCGAACAGCAATCCCACTGACCAAGAAAGCCAAGATCAGTCATCTCAATATTATAAACTGTAAAGGTAGGAAACTCACATCGGGGCATTCGAGACACTTGTAGCGAGTTCCACGAATGCTTTGACAGAAAAAGGATTTGGATATGAGAACACATTCCGACGGCTTCATAAAATGCTCTCGACTCACTCCTTGCGATCATCGCAGGCATTGCACCAGGCGTAATGCCTTTCGAGCCTTTTCTCCTTCTTGGTCTTGTTCCTGTTGTCGACAGCTCGGTGCTTGGCGGAACAATCTTGACCGTGACTGGTCTCAATGTAGCCAGCGATGTTGGGGTGGATCATCATCTTGAAGACATGATCTTGATCGTGAAGCTCCTCGTTGCGAATATGATACGGCAAGCAGTCGATGCAGAGGTCAAAGTCGTGGCACTACAAAGATTCGCATCATGATTAGCAGTTAGGCTAGACACACAGGTGTCAAGCGTCTGACTCACGTCAGTACACTTGAAGTTGATAAGCGTCGGATTCTGGTCACAGCCGTCACAGAGTCTAGTGTTGAACGTGAACGAGGCAAGACTGGTACCTGCTTTCTTGTGCGCAGGGACCTTGACGTCCACTTCAGGCTTCGTCTCAGAAGTCTGGGCAGGTTCATCTTGAGTGGAGGCTTCGGTAGGTTTCGATTTGGGCACGGCGGTCTCGAGCCTCTCCTTGAATCCTTCTTCAAAGGTAGCCAACTGGCCACCCAGGTTGCTCAAGAACCCCTCAAAGACGTGCTTGAGATCGTTCGCTACGGCGCCGGTAGTCTCTGTGACCTGCCTCTGGACTTGAGCGTGAGCGGCTTGAGCAGTCGCCTGAGCCTGGGTTGAGATTGCTTGGGACAGCGGTCCGACGTCGCGCAAGAGTTCGCTCAAAGTCCGCAGGGGTGCTCCTAAAGGTTGACCGGGAGAAGATGAAGGAATGTCGTTGATGTCCGGGAAAGCAGCGTAGGCCGAAGGAATCTGACCATAGACAGGATGTTCTTCCCACAAGGAGCGGGGCGGATGAGCAGAGCGCGCTGGTTCAGCCCTGGCGTTCGCGTCGTCGACTGTCGGGCTCAGAGGAGGCAGTCCGCCGGGCATATGGGGAGCCATAAAAGGAGAGACTCGCCGCGGAGCGTGTTGCCTGGAGGTGCTATTTTTGCGAGCAGCACGAACAGCTGCGAGAAGAGCTTCAGGGCTTGGAGTCGAGATAGGTCGAAGCTCCTTGGTCCCAGACGCTGACTGGGTCTCATCTTCGGGCGGAGCAGCGGAAGACATGGCCTGCTCCAGGATCCTCTGCCTCTCCTTCTTTATCTTCTCGTGCATCGACTGTCGTACCTTCCACGTCTCGATCATCTTGGTCGTCTCTTGCTGGGCTTCTTGGTTCCTCTTGAGCTCCCTTTCGACGACGGGCATGTTGGGGCGGTGTATGGCGATCAAGGTATTGATCTTCACGACGACAGCTTTCATGTTTTGCTTCAAAGTCGCCACCTCGCTCATCTTTTCGGCACGCTTCTGCAAGATCTGCAATCGACCTTGATAGTCTTCCTCGTCGATTTCGTTCTCCTGAACGAGAAGACTGGCGAGTTGTTTCTGAAGGGCGAGGATGGCAACCTCCATAGATTTCTTCTCGGATTCGAGTTGCTTCATGTCCGGCTGCGAGTTGACGTACGCGTGGAACTTTTTCGCAGAGGTCAATTTGGGATCAGTTTGGAGGAGGACTTGGAGGGTCAAGGTCGGGTTCGTGAACTTGACATCGGCTTGTCGGTACGCCTTTGCAGCCTGTTCGTATCTGCGCAAGTAGGAACAGATGCGTGAGCTTGGTCGTTCGTGTAAGTCACAATTGTCAACAGCTTCCGGGCTCACTCCTCTTCAGAGCACACATGCTGTTAGACGATTATACCATGTCAGCCTTTACTCCGGACTAGGAAGCGATATCACTCACCCTCAGGAACTTGGCACCGGGAATACTACTGTCGACACTCATGTAGATGTGCCACCAGGCAATGGCAGCGTCGCTGGCGAGGCCAAAGGCATCTCGAAGCTGACCAGGAGAAGAAGAGGCGAAAACAGTCCAATCAGCCGACATCCGTGAAATATCGTGCTTCTCAGCCCGTTTTGATCAGTGAGAAACTTACCTTGGCGTTGATGATCGCATGAGGCGGGATAGCGGGAATTTCAAAAAGGATGACCTTGGTCTGGTTCCCGTAGGTCGCCTTGATGGTGAACGACATGGTCGCGGTCGGTCTTGACCAGGCTTCTCGCGAAGAAGCTGAAGGCGAGATGTAATGGTTACGGTGAACGGTCACCGCTTTCTTACGCAAGGAGATTGGAGGAGTATGTACGATTACTTCGGTCTTGAGGTGACCGATGAAGCTGGGAAGGAGAAAGGGGGGATGATGATAGTCTGATGTGTTGTTGCCCTTTGAGATGTGGTGGTGATCTTATCAAACGAAGCGAGAAGGTCGAGAGCGCTGACGACAGGTTCCCGGGCAAAGCCGAGGTTGACTTGGAAGCGCATATCTGAAATGAACAACGCTGTTGCTTTAGCTTTAGACGTCTCCCGGTTCCTCAAACTTTCGCCGATAGCCGTCGGCCTTCTTTGCGTTCGACGCTGTCTCCTAGGAGTCTTGCATAAGTAGTAGCGTAAAAGTACATGCCTAGCAGGTTCTCCTGCACACACAGGTTTCAGTTTCGATAAACAGTTGCCAAGCTGTACATTATCTCTTAGGAGGTTGCTTTTGCTTCGTAAGCTAGAGGATCATAGAGGGAAAGAAGGCGCCATCGAATCTTGTTGCTCGGCGCCTGCTCAGCCTCTAGGGAACACGCCGGTGGGAAAGGAGAGTCCGGTCGAAGCCTCGAAATCGGTCACGATCTGACGCCAGTCGGACGGAGCGAACCCATGTGGCATCGGGGGAATGAACCTCCCACTTTCCACCGCGTCCAAGATCTTCTGGATGAAGGAGCCGACGCCGTTATGCATCTGCTGCTCGAATTTGATCGTCTCGCCAGCTTGCGGGCGGACAATCTTAATGGATTTGTACGGGATCTGATCAGATTCACCGTCGCCATCGGCCGTGTAGACGAGATGAACCGTTTTGAGAGCCGGAACTCGATCAAAAACCAATTGAATAAAGAGGTAAAACTCCGGACTGGCTTGTCTGCCGGTCTGTTTTCCGGTCTTCGAATCGATATCGAGTCCGAGCGACTCGAGGATCTCGTCCGGTGAGACTCCAGGACCACGGAGGAACGACATCTTCCAGCTGAAGTGGACGGTTAGGTGTTCGAAGCTTCCGGTCGAACGCGAAAGCCACCCAAGATAGCCGTTCTGTTACGCCATCGAGCTCAGGTCAATCTATACTCTGCCGTCTCGATTTTTGGGAAGTTGACGACTCACCCATTGCGCTGCCCTGATACTGCCCGGATCAATGCAGCAGGTAGGGACGTTCAGCCTGAGAGCTTTCAGAGGGCATGGAAAGTCGAGGAGAAGGTCGCGAAACCCTATGAGTCCCGTATCTTTATGGGTACAGCCGCAGGTCGAGAGACCTGGAAGGGTGAGCTGCAGGGTGCTCAGAGACTGTAGATTTCGGCAGAGCTTCTTGATAAACCTGTCCCACATCAGGACAGTCTCAAGATTGTCAGGATGATCCTCTTCCTTCCGCTGGAAACCAGGGCACGCGACATGAAGCTTTTTGAGATGCGCGATCGGGAGGGAGGTAGGGGTCTGAACTCCAGTGATATGCATATCAATCCTCTCCAGGCTGGTCGGCAGGGGAACCCTGCAATAAGCCAGACGTAGGCACTCGTCGGAGATATCCTTCACGTTGGGAAGGGTCTTCAGGAGTCGGTCGAACTGATAAGTCCACGGTTGTTGCCCCTCCGACTGGTCTCTTCTAGTGGACGGGGGAAAGGAAACGTATCTTTCAGCAGGAAAGAACATTAGCCAGCAATCCCTCGAGGTCTTCACGACACCACAACAAAGCTTACCGTACGTATTGCCGAGTTTCAACCGTGAGGCATTCTTCGGCTCTCTCGACCTGGTTGAGGGTGGCCAATTCAAGAAAGCCGGCGATCTTCCTGGAGAAGATGTTTTGCCTAAAAGTTTTGTTCACTTGAGATGCGGCATCTAGTTCCGAGGAAAGGGGAACTGGCCTATAGGCCCGCTCATCCTCCTTCGAAAAGAAGCGAGATAGAACAGGATAGACCTCAGGGTACATGGCAACCGATGTGGTTGCTAGTGTGTCGACGATAGAGTCGATGATGGGAGCGGGTACATCATCCAGACGCCAAGGACTAGGAGGTAATGCGGGACCGAAGGTGTGTCTTGCTTGTTTGTCGGTCATATCGGTGCTGAAGGAACTTGGGATCGAGGGATTTAGGAAAAATCGAACGGTTTGTGAGCGTCTGCGAGGTGTTGGCGGTAGGCAACGGAGTGGTCAACAGATATCAATTGTTTCTAGTATCGGTGGCATATGGCATAAGATTTGATCGCGGATCGCGGATTGTGAAAGTGATATCGAGCGGGTGGAACGCGCTGTCGTACTCGTGAAAAGCGCAGGGCGAAAGCATTGTAATCGCGTCGAAGCATTAGGGCGACAGGAAGTGCCAGTTGCTTTCTGTCAGAGGTCAGAGATCAGAGAGAGAAAGGATTGATCGCATCTTTGTTTTGACGAGCCTATCGACGTGATTGCCGGTTTCCAAAGGAGGCTCTTAAAGTGAAACGCGAAATGTCTTACACGCGTAGAGCCATCTCAGTGAGGATGATCATCCCTGATCCCTGACCAGCCAATCGGCAACAACGAACAGGTAAGATCCATCGTATGCGATGACGATCCGAGCAAGGCATCTTGATGGGTCAACCAGCCTGGCAATGGACGTCTGAGATTCGGAGATCAGAGATCGTCCCGTTGCCCGTTGTCGCATAGTTCGCGCCTTTGTCGATGAGCGACAACAATTACCTGGATTCGCGCTACTGAGTTGTCGCGCGTTTCACTTGTTCTTCGGCACTGCGACGATCATCGCGACAATCGCGAGCATCACTTCATGTTGCTCGCATCGCTCGCTGCTCCTCCAACTCTTTGATCCGATCAATCTTGTTCGCTCATCACAGCTGCAACCCTTGCTGTTGTATCCTCTGCCTTGCTTTCTCACGCGATCGTCTTTGCGGTTTGCTGGAACATTCCGGTCAAACTCTATGGAGGACCGTCGAATTGTCGAATCGAACAACAAGTATACGCGCTGTACAACGTCACTTTAGGGATCTCGAATGGTCGATACGTTCGGTTCGTAGATCTCAACATTCTCATCCTGAAGTCTTCTTTCCCTCTGTCTATACGCACCTCTTCCTGTCACCTTGGCAAAATTATCAAACTCACCTCAGAACCATGCCCGACATCAAATCAAAGGAGCATGGACCTGAATTGCCTCCATCCAAATGGCGTCTACAGCAGGTACCCCAGCCAGTGCTCGATTCAGTAGTCGACGCCCTAGCAGACCTTCCTCAAACACAAGGATATAATCGAGCGTGGAAGTCTAGCCTCCTGAGCGTTGCCGATCAGCAGAGGTTCCCATTCATCCCTCTGTCGGCGGATTTGAAGGCGATGTCGATGACAAGCAAGGCGTTTCGTCGAAATGTCTTTTCCCGCAAGATCGTTCCCTACATTGAGCTCAAAACACCCAAACAATATGCAGATGCAGAAAGAATGCTAACCCGCGAAAGTCGTCGCTACGTACGGTAAGATAAGGTCTCGATTGAGCGAGACGTGATATAATCCTTCGAACTGAACAACACCGTATTTCCGGCAAACACAGATACATTGCCTTCTTACCGCTTCCCAACGTGCACAACAAAGCACCGGTAATCGGTTTCCAAAGAAACCTCCTCCAAACCATGCCACATCTCGAAAATCTGGCTGATGAGACCAGACGAGTTGCGCTTTTCGAGATACCCTTACCACCTCGTATGAAGCGGGTTGCCTTGATCGTCGGCGTCTGGCATCACGCACCACCCGCTCCCATGTCGGTCAGATACTTGGGAACGCTCCGCGTCGAACCGTCCTCGATCGCTGGGGAGGAGGGCGATACTCCCAAGAGAAGAAGAGAATTCCTCGATTGGCCCAACAAGGTTCGCAGCCTTACGGCCAATCTCGCGGAGCTCGATGAGTTATACCTGTCTCCGCCGCCTATGGGGACCTGCGGCTGTAGCCACACCAAGGAACGCCCCCCACTTACAGAGTGTCTCCAGGACCTCTTAGGGCCGGCGCTGCCCCCGATGAAGGTTCTTCACTACAGTGTCCCTTGGTGTTCGACTACACCGGGAGATCTGCGATGGACTCACTGGGTATGTTGCATACAATACTATGCTTGTCCTGATGACACCTACTGATCGAATCGCTCGGTCTTCTCGCCGTATGAATATAGTGGGCATACCTGGGCTGGCTTTCGTCCACCGAGGGAAGTTTCGAAACGCTCAAGATCTCGATGCATTGGGACATGAGCTATTTGAGGGGACCCGACGTGACTCCGCCTCAAGTCGTGGCATCTATGGGATTCCGTGTCAAGGGAGAATATGATGTAGGCGAACGAGGCGCAGTCGAGTTCAACAGCTGGATTCAACCTCTTTTCGAAAGAGTCTCTGCCCTACAGGAGATCCATATCACCTTCACGTACACGTTACCTGGAGGTCCCGTCCGGTCCCCGATCAGGACTTCGATCATTGAACGCCCTACGGCCCCTGGGCGCAAACCCCGCGCGAGCACCAAGATGCCCGCTGATCTGCAGCAGCTGGGACAAAGGATTTTGAACATCCTCCATGCTGGCCTCTATGTCCCCCGACCACAGCATCGTCCCGACCCTCCGGCCGGACATCACCCTTGATCGTCCCGCAGGAATATGATGGATGTCTCATCGAGGCAGACGCATTCACAGGCGGATATGTCGACAGTCGACATACATTGCGATTCCCCATCAAGTCCCGCGCTTCTTACCGCCCACACGTCTCGAGAGAGAGAGAGCAAAACTGTCAATATGCTAGAAACATCTGGAAACACCCGGATTTATGCACTTATGCGATACATACACGTCGCCATGTGGCTTTTGTTTCCTAAAGTAATGGCAATGGTGAGCAGGTTTGAAACAGTGACGCATGGCGGACGAAATCTGTGGGAGCTGTGCGTACAAGTAAGATGCAGCAAGATCTATATACGTCGAACCGGTCAGCACAGCGAACAGCGAACTGGCTGACCTGAGTGGATCGCGCCCGACGACTGAGACGTGGAGACCCTGACATGATACTTGCTATGTGCCAAGCTACGTGCTACGTGATGCACATGGGCGCTGTCGATCGAACGTTCTCGATGAAACTGTCGACCTCGCGCGCTCCGATCGATCTGCATTATCGGGTAGAGCGTCCGGACCCGGGGTATCGTTATCTTCGTCATCACGCCATCGATGCATCGCCTTCTCGGGACCAGAGGAGATGGCTTGCCTCGATGGGCTCGGTTACCCGGGTCGAGTTCGTAATTCCAGTCGACGAGTGTGGGACGTGTGGGGAAGGGTATGGACGTTGCAGGTCGCGATTGGCTGTGACGCGATGTGATACTCGTATATCCGCGGTACACACCTGTTTGCTCGACCTCGATTGCCCCACGAGCCCACGATCACCTCCCCGATAGGGATGGTTCGATGGCGCCGAGCTGGAAAAAAAAGTCGGGGCGGAAGCAAATCACGTGAGGAGGGGGGGAGCGAGGGAAGGAGGGGAATGGCCCGGGCGAGAACGTTGGATGCGCTGTCGTGTCGTGTCGTGTCGTGTCACTCGGGAGAGAGAGTACTTGAACGTTCATCCTCGTATTCATACCCACAACCTCGCCCCCTTGTTGCACGCTCCTACCCTTCTACCCTCTCTCAAAAACATCTTGGCTGTTCATTCTAGCTAAGACTACCCCCTCCTATCCCTCTTACAAAACCTACCCAAAAAACAATCCAAAAAGATGGCTACCAAGTCTGCCGTTTTGGGTTTCCCCAGGATCGGTATGTTCGACTCTTTTGCCGTACCTTCTCGATGACCTGTCCCGGCTGATCACCTCGAAATCCTCTTTTCTCTCCACCTCTTAAAGGACCCAACCGTGAGGTCAAGAAGGCTGTCGAGTCTTACTGGGCTTTCAAGACCTCGGCCGAGGATCTCGAGGCTGCCGTCAAGCAGGTCAGGAAGCAGAGGTGGCAGTCGATCGCCGACAAGGGTGTCGACTCGATCCCTTCGTGAGTTTACATGCCAGAGTAATATGAGCGTCGAAACGAGCCTGGGATATTGACTCTTGTGCTCGCTTGATCTTGCTCTATCGCAGCGGTGACTTCACCTTGTACGACCACTTCCTCGATGCCGCCAACGTCGTCAACGCTATCCCCGAGAGGTACACCAAGTCGGGTCTCTCGGCTTTGGACATTGCCTTCGGTGAGTTCGGGTTAACTCTTGACCGCCTTTTGGACTGTTGCTGATTCTCCCATGCTCGCTTCTGCTTTCCGCAGCTATGGGACGAGGTCGTCAACAGCTCGACAAGGGCATCGACCTTCACGCCATGGAGATGAAGAAGTGGTTCGACTCAAACTACCACTTTGTTGTCCCCGAGATCTCGCCCTCGACCCAGTTCAAGTTGAACAAGAACAAGTACCTCGACGAGTACAACGAGGCCAAGGAGTTGGGCATCACCACCCGACCCGTCGTCATCGGACCCATCACCTTCTTGGCCCTCTCCAAGGCCGCTCGTGACGCCCCTGCCGGATACGAGCCCCTGTCCGCCCTCGACTCGCTCCTCCCCGTCTACGTCGAGTTGTTGCAACAGCTCAAGGACGCTGGTGTCGAGCACGTCCAGATCGACGAGCCCGTCCTCGTCCAGGACAAGGGAGAGTCGCTCGGTGCCGAGTTTGCCAAGGTCTACAAGAAGTTGTCCGAGGTCTCGCCCAAGATCACCTTGACCACCTACTTCGGCCGATTGGGCAAGTCGCTCGACTTTGTCAAGGACCTCCCCGTCTACGCCGTCCACATCGACCTCGACAGGGCTGCCCAGCAGTTCGACGAGGTTGTCGCCGCCGTCAAGCCTACCAAGTTGGTCTTGTCTTTGGGTCTCGTCTCGGGTCGATCGATCTGGAAGAACGACCTCAAGGCCAGCAAGGAGAAGGCCGAGAAGGCCATCGCCGAGTTGGGTCAGGACCGAGTCGTCGTCTCGACCTCGTCCTCGCTCTTGCACACTCCCGTCACCTTGACCTCGGAGACCCGATTGACCGACGAGCAGATGTCGTGGTTGTCTTTCGCCCTCGAGAAGTGTGACGAGGTCGCCGTTCTCGCCAAGGCCTTGAACGGAAACACCACCGAGGCCTTCGAGAAGAACACGAAGGACATTGCCGCCCGACGAGAGTTCGAGCGAAACTCGGACTCGGCCGTCCGGGACCGTCTCGCTGCCATCACCGAGAAGGACCTCAAGCGATCCGAGGAGTTCCCCGCCCGACGAGCTGCTCAGGTCGAGTACCTCGGCTTGCCCAAGTTCCCCACCACCACCATCGGTTCTTTCCCCCAGACCAAGGAGATCCGTGTCGCCCGTGCCAAGTTCAACAAGGGCGAGCTCTCCAAGGAGGACTACGAGAAGGCCATGGAGCAGGAGGTCGAGACCGTCGTCCGATTCCAGGAGAAGTGTGGTCTTGACTTGCTCGTCCACGGTGAACCCGAGAGGAACGACATGGTCCAGTACTTCGGTGAACAGTTGAACGGATTCATCTTCACCCAGTTGGGTTGGGTCCAGTCGTACGGATCCCGATACGTCAGGCCCCCTATCATCGTCTCGGACGTCAGCCGATCGGGACCCATGACCGTCCGATGGTCCAAGTACGCCGACTCGCTCACCAAGAGCCCCATGAAGGGGATGTTGACCGGACCCGTCACCGTGAGTCTCTCAGCGGCGATCGTCAGCGTTGTCTAGATCATCTATCTGACCTCGTTTGCTGTTCTTTCCAGATCTTGAACTGGTCGTTCCCCCGAGCCGATGCCTCGCGAGAGGTTCAGTGCAAGCAGCTCGCCCTCGCTTTGAGGGACGAGGTCGCCGATTTGGAGGCTGCCGGTATCAAGGCCATCCAGGTCGACGAGCCCGCTATCCGAGAGGGTCTGCCCCTCCGAAAGGCCGACTGGGACAACTACCTCGAGTGGGCCGTTGCTTCTTTCAGGTAAGGCTTATAGATGGAGAAATTATAAGACATTCTGACTGAGCCCTACCCCCTTCATATAGGCTTTCTACCGCCGTCGCCGAGTCCAAGACCCAGATCCACTCCCACTTCTGTTACTCTGACTTCAACGACATCTTCGCCCACATCAAGGCCCTCGACACCGACGTCATCTCGATCGAGGCCTCCAAGGCCGACATGAAGTTGATCCAGACCTTCAAGAACGAGGGATACAACTCTGGTATCGGACCCGGTCTTTACGACATTCACTCTCCCCGAGTACCCTCCGAGGAGGAGATGAAGGAGAAGGTCAAGACCATGTTGGAGATCCTCGACGCCAACAACTTCTTCATCAACCCCGACTGTGGTAAGTATCATCTCCTTTCCTTGCAAACCCCCACGCAAAGAGACCGAGGCTGACTCGCCACTTTTCGTTCACGCAGGTCTCAAGACCCGAGGTTGGACCGAGACCGAGCAATCGCTCAACAACCTGGTCGGTACCGCCAAGTGGGCCCGTGCCACTTACGCCTAAGCCCCTCATATTACATCCGGAATGCGTTCAACGGCATTGCCAACACCAAAACGACCTCTTATGACGAACCGCGACGATTGCCGCTCTGTCGGCGGGCTCTGAGCCCACTTGTATCATGTTTTAGTTAGAACTTTCGGGTCGTATACAATCGTTCAACAACGACCAATGATAACCGAACGTAGAGGATTTGAAGTCTGAAGCGAGATTAGTAGCTGCTTGGCAACGGCCGTTTGTGTGCGGTTTTGAACGATTCGTCGTATATTCTCGATCCTCTGTCCCCTCTATATATTATATACAACCCGATGATGACTTCGTTCATCACTTGACGAGCTTGTCGTTCCTATCCTTCTCTTCGTACCGCTCGAACCTTGGCAAGCCGTCGTCTGGGACTTGACACCAATCCACCCGATCCTCCAGCCAGATGTGATTCGTCGGCATCAACGCCCGTTTGGCCACGTCTCTATCCTTTTCGCTCGTCCCGCTTTCGGCGTTCATGTCCACCTCGAGGAGGGCCGTAGGGACAGAGATGATCCCCGAAACGTCTTGATCTGTGATCATCACGGGCGTTCCACAGTCCGCACACAAATTCCTCGTGCAGCACCCCGCTCGACGACGTAACAACGAGCCCGTCGTCTCTCTCTCCCCGTCCGCTTTTAACGGCTTGATAGAGTTGTTGTCACTACTGTTATCGCCTTTGTTGTTCAGATGATCATGACGACCTTGCCATCGAAGAGAGTCGGCTGGAAAGATGCTCCATGTGACGAAAGGTGCTGCGTGGGCGATCCTACACGCCTTGCACCAGCAATGGACGGTCGAGCTGGGGGTCGAAGTGAATGACCATTCGAGGGCGCCGCAAGAGCACGATCCGGTGTAACGTGACATGGTAGCTGATAGCTGGTAAGCTGGTAGACGTAGACCTTGCAGATGGGTGATCACGCTCGACGAGGGTTCCAGCGTTTAATGGGGACAGGTGCAGGTGACCCCCCGAGGGAATGTGTGTGTGCCCCTGGTCGGTCCGTGCTCGGCTCGACTCCGGCAAAGGGGGCAGGGGGTGGAGGTAGATTACGTAAGAATGGTAACCCAAACGCAATCAACACCGAACTCTCCTATCTACTCGCAACTCGAGGTGTACGAGGTGTAGGTACCCCTCATCCATCTCAGCTGCAGCTCGATCATCATCACCACACATACAATAGCGCAATAGCAGAAAAGCTCAGCTCAATCATATATACCACCTCTTTACTAGTCGATATCATCGAACAGTCCAAGATCCTCGTGCAACGACGAGGCGAAACAAAGGGAATACACCTCGTCAATCGATAACAAAGACACCTCACTCAATCAGCCATCATGGCGGTCAGAGCGAAGTTGGCAGAAGGAGCCACACGATCGAAAGACCAGTTCTTGAGCGAGTTGAAAGAGGTCAAGAATAATCTGATCGGGAATGTAGGCAAGAAGTTGGCTCTAGTACAGGAAGACGGGACGGTCGCCTTGTAAGCCGTGTCGGGAGCTCGTGCGACCAGGAAGAGGTGAAGCTGTATCTGATCACTTGCGCTCGGGGTTCCGACCATTCTTATCAAACTTTTTAGCATGGTGGAGCAGATGCGGGAAACGGCGGCAGGTCTACGAGAGTCAAGTACGGCCACGCCGACGTTACCGGTCAAGGAGACGATGGTAAAGCTCGAAATCCTCAACGAGCTCGCCGTCATCCTAGGTGCTGTGGCCAACGGCAAGTCGAAAGGACCTCTCTTGTTTCGGTGGCGACCAAATGAAGCAAACTCATGGCTGATGATATACTGGTCTTCCCGATTCTACAGCTGGCAGCCCGGCCCTGGTCGAACTCCTCCGTGCCAACCTCGCCATCATGCTCCTCGCCAGCCTGAGCATTGTTCATCCTCTCGCTCAAACCTCTCGACAGACCGTACCCTCCATCTCCCGATATATCGATACCAAATGTCTCCCCTCGATCGCAAGGGCATTGAGAAACCATACGGTCGCTCTCGGGGATTTCGTCTGGGGTCATATGTGGGGGGTCGGGGTGGAGATCAAGACGGATCCTATAAATCCTGAGGGTCTGGCGGGTGGAGCGACAACAAGCAAGTCAAAAGCCGGGATCGTTGGCAGTGCCAAGGGCAAGGGTGTGGAGCTGGACGATATGGATGTCGACCTTGGGGTACAAACAGAGGTAGACCTGAGCCGGGAAGACAATGTGCAGCAACAAGCTATAGAGGTGTTGACGGGCATATTCAAGGTGAGTCTGGTGGGTAACTAAAAGCGTCGAATAGATTATTCACTCACTATTCTGTCATGATAATTTGTTCCCATAGCCAAGATCGCTCGAAATCTTCACCCCCATCCTCCTATCAACCGACTCGCCCCTCACGCTACTCCCGCTCTATCAAATGCTCGCTCATCTCACCGTCATGTCATGGCAACGAAACGCTCTCATCAACGCCTCGATCCCGTTTCACAAACCAGTGGCCATGGGCGTTCGCTCGAGATCGGCCGTCGCCTTTCGGGACGACGAAGAAGGCAAAGAGTGGTACAGCGCGCGACCGTTGTTGGTAAAGCTGACCGACGTGGTGATGGACGCCGAGACCAATGTCAAGTTGAAACAAGCCGCGTTGGACCTGTTGGGCGCGCTGTGCAAAGACAACGAGGATATTGCGGGCGAGGCGATGTGGCTGCTAGACGTGAACGAAGACGGTCAGTGTCAGCACGCAATTGCCTAGGGGAAAGATCCGTACGTTGATGGCTGACTGCGGGTTCGGATCTACAGAATCGGAATGGGGCAAGTCGCCGGATTATTTCGCAGCAACGTCGACTAAAAGCTCGACACCGTCCCGGAAGACGGTTGCTCCTGTTTTCGATGAGCTTGTGGGATCGAGATCCAACGGGATCGCCGTCAGCGCCGCCTGTTGGTAAGTTCATGCGTGACCGGCTCAATTGTAGAACACGCGCTGACAGTCGGGATGGGATCTTGCGATATTCAGTGCCGCTCAAATGCTCTTCAGTATCCCCGCCGACTCGATGAAGGGAGGTCGCAAATACAAGGACGGCATGGCTCTTTTCAAACTGTTGGTGCACCTGTTGGATCAGACGATCGAGGACAAGATCCGAATCTGTTTCGTCATCTGTATGTCGGTTTGGTCTGTTCCACTTGTCTAATCGATGGCCAAATTAACGATCAGTCAACTTCACTTGTAGCCCATCTTCTGGCGGACGACATGGACCTTCAGAGACAGGCTTGCGATACGAGTGCGATGAGTAAGGTCATTGCGATCATCAAAGAGCTTGACACCGACGCCTACAAGGGAGAGACCGAGAACAACAAGGCTAGGCTGCTCGAGGTGAGTCTCTGCGCCTGATCGACTCTTAACACGCGTTTAGCTAAGATGGCGCTGCTCCTCACAGGCCGGCCTGCTCGCCATGACTAGCTTGGGTTTCTACCACGAGTCTCCCAAGTCGCAGATCGCCGACGCCGGGATGTTGCAAATCACAAAGAAGGCCCTGTCTCATCCTTCCTACGGTGTCCGCGCAGCCGCGTGTCAAGTGACGAGAGCTCTATCCCGATCTACCGCCATACTTCGAACGACCCTAGTGGATAGCGGAATCGCCGACCGGATTCTGGAATTGTTGCAAGAGGAAGAGAAAAAGGTCTCGAAGCAGCAACTCGAGGCGGACGATTTCGCCAATGCCGGGAGGGACGGCAGGCGGGACACAGTGATGATCGCCGCAAGCGCTGCGTTGTGCAATCTGGTGAGTTTGGAAGAAGCCTTGTCCTTTGCGGAAATTGGAATTGATGTCCTGTCTCCTTATGCAGATTACCGAGTTCTCTCCTATGCAGATTGTAAGCCCGACCCACTTCCCAGCGGAACGGGAGACGACTCTGATGACTTGGATTGACCACACACAGAGCATGATTGACAAGGGTGGAATCGATTTGTTGGTCCGGATGTGCGATTCGCCTAGCCAAGCTACCCGGATGAATGCCTTGTGGAGCTTCCGGAACATGCTCTACAAGAACGAATTCAAAGTCAAGGTCCGGGTCATGGAGGCTCTCACTTGGCCCACTTTGCACCGGTGAGTCCAGGGTAGCTTCACAAATGTGGCCGGACTTGATCTGATGGCAATCAATGTATACCAGACATATCGAGGATCCTTCTCACGAGCTACAAGAGCAAGGACTCGCCTTACTCAGGAACATCTGCTGTGAAGGTAGCGAGGAGGAAATCGAGCTCGTCTTCAACGGGTTCGGGGAGGCTCCTCTGTTTGATGTGATCGAGAAGAAGCTCGCTGCCAGTGATCCTGACTGCTTAGAGCAGGTGAGTCGCGCCACATTGTCAGAGGCGATGCGCAAAGTCCATATCTAATCATTATTTCCTTGCCAACTTAGTTGATGTTCGTTCTCTACAACATCTGCTTAGGCAGCGAGAAGCACCGGGAAGCAGTCTTGTCTCGACCGGAAGTGTGCAAGGGAATGATGAAAGCACTTGTAAGCTCGATCACCTGATCGATCACAAACTCCTCCAGACCGCTCATTGACAATATGTGTGCAGTCGAGCGACAGCCCTCTCATCAAGATTCCCGCAATCGGCTGCTTCGCCAATCTGGTCGAGACGAATGACCGTCATCGTCGTAAGCTCTCCAGCTCATTATTCCTCGTGCACAATACTTGTCTAAAAATCAGAAATGATCCTGACTTCTAGGTCCTCGGCAAGACGTAATCGCGCGACTCAAGCCTTACATGATCGAGACTCAGCTGAGGGTCTTGATCACGGACGCGACGTTTGACATTCGAGACAAGGCTTCTCGGCTGCTCAACTGCCTCGAAGCTCCTGGCGGCGGCTCTCGATAGCTCTTCTTATCACGACAAGGACGATGTCTTGGTTGGGCGTATTCACGCTATAATTCCCTGTGGACTTTGGACGTGCTCCTTTCATACCTGTAATCCTCTCGCCTGCGGCTTGTTCTGTGCACGACCTCGAAATAATGCCTTTCTCCAATTGTAATTGAGTATGATATGCTATGCAGAGTTGTATGAGAATCATATTGCGTACAATCCCAATCGGAAGCTCTAATCGACCTCGATCACATCGTCCTCTATCGGCACTGGCTTCTTTTCCGAGGTGGTCGAAGCAGAAGCAGGTACAGGAGCCGTAAGCTTTGGCTCGGCCTTGCTGTCAGACTTTGCTGATGCACCTGGATATAGATACAGTGACTAGGTGTCAGCGATGACGCTCGAGGCTGTGAATAGTCTTCGACGTACTAGCAGCTGGAGAAGCCTTTGAAAACATGGTCATCACCTCGGGTATCCATTCCTTGACGAGGTCTTCGAATGTTGAAATGACTCGCTTGCAAATGAACGACCAGGCCGTGACGCTGATTGAGCCTGTGAACCGGAAGTGTTGAGCGTAAGCATTCCATCGCAGGAGCTAGTGAAGCCGACTTTGCTCACCTTTAGGACCGCCGCCAAAGCTCAGCAACCAGGATACCGCGTTAGGCGTCCATCCGTACGGCAGCCAAAATACTGGTTGTCGTCGGTAGTACCAACAGAGAACTAGCTGTAGCCCGGAGGTGAACACGTAGAGCAGGGTAGAGAAGAGGCTAGTGAACCGGGATCGGTGAGAAGACAACGAGCCGTCTGACCAGATGATTGCCCCAAGTCAGCTTGAGCAACGCCGAGACTAGTGAAGCAGAACTGATGTGTATCACTCACTGAGCTTTTCCAGGTCAGCAAGACCCTTGTCCAACTTTCTACGGAGCTTGGCCCATTTGGCAAACTGATCCTGCGAGCTCGTGGCATTCAGCTCGGCCTTATTGGCGAGAATCTCCTTCTTGAGAGCCCGTTGTTTCGTGTAAGAAGGTCGCAAGAAGAATGGCTGGTACGCAGCAAAGGCCTAAGGGAAGAGCATTCTTGATATTGAGATGTCTATTCTCTGTGTGCGGGTACAAGCAGGCCGACGTACAAGTTCGACCAGTACTGATTTGCCAATCCATGAGACGACATTGGTCGCAAAGATGACCAGCAGGATAAGCAGTCCTAGCTCCATCTTGCTAGATTATTTCAAATCCTTATTCGAGAACAAGGAGAGATTGAGAAGCTAGATTTTGTAGTCTATGTTGATGGCTAAGCTTGAGCGACATCATAAAGATGCATGGAATCGTCTGCTCTACATTCTTCAGGGTTCGCTCGCTGGCACCCGGCTCTGACATTTTGAGGCCGTCGAACCTCGTGCTTGACGCGTCACTTTCGGTCGATCGATCATGTGGACTGGACCTGAACAAACTTGCAGATACATCACTAGTGGACACATTTGATAAGGAAGCGTACCTGATACCAGGCGAATGAACCCCTGCTACCAGTCTGTTCCGTAGTGAGGCTCGTCATACATGAGAATCGTGCTCCGAAAGATGAGAAACGTCGGCTTCAAGCCGAAAACAGAAGGAAATGGTGTCCGACCAAGCTAGCTGATCTGAATGCGTAAATGAGGAAGAGAGAAACGAGAATAGCCGAACGGCCGTCTTTCGTCGGGAAGAGTCATTCGAGCGTGTCATTCGACCTAGGCAGCATCCGCTGGGCGAAATGGAGAGATATCCGAAGAGGTCGAGATGGAGTGATGGCGAAACGGTGATATGGTCCGGGTCGAGCGAAACGAAACGAAGGATGCTCCCGATACAAAAGGACGAAAGTGTCGGTATGTCGAAGTGTTCACTGGCTCTAAATGAGGCCAAAGAAACCAACGGCGAGGGCAAAAGCGGCGACCATGGCTCCAGCCTGGGTCTTAGCGGCGCCACCATTGAGGTTGAATCCGACTCCACCGGCGGGTCCGGTGCCGTTCTTTCCACCGGGACCAGCGGTCTGCAAAGCAGCGGCCGACAAGAGGGTGTCGACGACCTGTACCGGCAAAGCAATAACGATCGGTCAGTCTCCACAACGACGACTTCCGCTGTTGGGCCAAGCTAGACTCACATGCAAAACACCACCTCCCTGCAACAAGACGTCACTCCTCAAAATCTTGGCCGAGCTGTATCCGTCCGAGCTGACGGCAAAGGTTCCGGACGAGTTGGTGGTGAAAGTAATGGCGTTTCCATTCGACATGAAGACCTTGGCGCCAGTGTTGGCAAATTCGTTCGAGTAGAGGGTTTGAGTGGGCGAGTACTACCGGCGGTAAAACGTAGACATTGACCAAGATGAGCGTCATATCTCAGTCTGAGCCATTCGCATCTCGCCAACTCACGTGTCCGGCCAACACCTTGGTCCAAGCGGCAACGTCCCCACTCGTCATGCTCCCGTCAAAGGCTTCGTCAACAGGCGCAAAGATGGTCAACCCCTTGCTTCCGCCCGATCCAAATCCGGTCAAGGTGTTGAGCGTCTTGGTGTTGTTGAGCGCGGCGGCGTAGAGAGCGAGTCCGGATTTCTTGGCCGAAGTCGAGGTCGAAGTAGCAAGGTTGGCGAGGATGGTGGGCAAAGTGGCGGGGACGGTAACGATCTGCCAGAAAGAACACACGCGTTAGCTCGACGTGCTCGTGCAACAATTCGGTCGTCCATGTGCACAACTCACGGTATCGACCTCGAACAATTCCAACCCGCTCAAAGTTCCCGAGCTGCTCCCTTCATCCAACGAATCCGTCTTGACCTTGGCCTCGACGGGACTGACGACCTTCAACCCATCCGGCTGTCCCCGCTCAGCGATCATGACCTGTCCGTCACCGTTGGGCAGAGGGAACAGGGTTTCGAGGAGGGTGTGCGAGGACGAAGCGTTGATGGCCGATGAAAGCGAGAGGGGCACGGCGTGGTAGGTGAAGAGCGAGTAGAGGGTGGCAGCGTCGAGAGAGGCGTAGGGGCTAGCGAGACCGGACTTGGTAAAAGCCTGTGCTCGAGCAAGGTCAGTCAAGGTCGTCGACAACACAGATCGCTCGTCGACGCACGTCATCCGAAGGGACCATCAAGCTCCAGTTCTCCCCGGCACCTCCGTTGGCGGTATGCTCCCACATGGCCTCCAAGACGTCGTACCCATCCTCAGTCCCAGCGAATCCGACGACGACCTGCTCGAAAGCGAACTTGGCGTTGTCATGCAAGACCTGGAGGAGCGAGTTGATCCAGTCGTCGAGCGGGGTCGAGGGAGGGTTGGAAGCGTCGGTAGAGTCACAGGCGAGTTGAAAGGCTTGCTGTTGTTGCTCTTGAGCGAGAGTAACGGAGGGGAAGATTGCCGAGCTGGCGAGCAAGGCGACGGGAAGGACGTTACGGAGAGAGATCATGGCGTTGTTGGTGTGTATCGTGTGAGCGTTATAAGAGTTGTCGTAGGCGAGATCTGATTCGATGGGATCTGATTATAGGTCCAGGTGGGACGAAATCGATCCGAGTTGCTGATGGCGATGAAAAGGAGTGTTGATAGAGTAAAAGGGGGTTTCCGACTATTCACGAAACGTAATGGACTATGTCTAGGGGTCGAGCTGTGGTTGTCTGATTCTTGATGTCGATGGCGGTTTCGTCCTGTAGGAGTGTGAGGATGTAGTTGGGTAGAGCGATTTGTTGGGGTGTTAACGAGTGTGGTCTGGTCGAGAATAAAGGAATGTGGTGTCGATAGCGAGTGAGTGAGTGGTCGAGATTATGGGCCAGTCAGGTTGTCGAAGTGTAGTTGGTGAGTTTGAGATCCAAAGGAATGTGTGGGTGATGCTTGTGATGTGCAAGTCAGTCGAGTAAAGGTCGTTCGCCGTCGTCGTCGTCGTTGAATCTATGGTGGAGGGGAAGGAGAGGGAAAGGGACAAAGGGAGATCACTTTTCCTTGATCGATCTGATCGAAATCGATCAAACCCCTGTCCCCCGCTCCCTCTGCCTCCCCCTCAGCAGCGCTTGGACGCGTTTCAGCTCCGTGCTCACCCCCTTTCCATTCTCGTTTTGTTGTTTGTTTACTTCTTACCAAGACCATGCGCCATGCCGTCACGCGGCCGGAGCTGTGCAACGTGGTCACTGGTGCCCGCGTCCGGGAGAACTGGCACGGCGGACAATAAAGAAAACGCCACACGCGTGTCGCCAAGCGAACGCCTCTTCCGGTTCGGGCATCCCGTGGTCAGGTTGCGCTTGCTCGACACCCCCATCGATCAAAGGACACAAGGACGAAGTTTAATGATTGTCTACGGCGGCGCTCTTGTTAAATCAGCCTCATACAACGCAAGCATGAACCCCACAGTAACGCCAACAGAGCCTGCGACTCGAGACGCAATATGCAGTGAGCCGCACCAATGCGATAGCATTCGGGCCAACTACTTTTTCGATGAGTAACAAATCTGATCGTAGTGACATGGCTTTCGTGATCGACAATCGCGTTGCCTGTTGTGGTCAAGCAGTTGGGTGCAAAAGTGCCCTCGCGCAAACAGACATGTTTCACTTTTACCATGACTGGTATACAGCAATAGAACGCTTCTTGATTGCTTGCTTGCAAGTTCATTCCTATCCGTTCGGACAATTCGCCAATCTGTGAATCGATTGCCACGACCGATGTCTACAGATTCATCGAATACAAGACGCCGCCGAGATCTAAGCTATCCGCTCCAGGAACAAGATTTAATCTTCTACACTGGCAATAAGACGTCGTCACCTTCTTGGAATTCTTACGATGGCCTGCTGTCAATTGCCTGGCCATGCAAGCTGTCGATTCCTATCGCCTACACAGGGGGATGACCTATGCCTAGCTCGGAACTGAAAGAAGTAATTGATCAGCATATGAGAAAGTGCACAACTCGCACATGAATCACTAATGCACGTTCTTTCGCAATCCTCGTTATTCACCTGACCCGCCGGTGTTACTCTTGACCAACCGCAAAAACAGAGCGCGTGGACAGAGCAGGCTTGTTCAAGCGCTCATCAGGATTAGAGGCTATATATATCGATACATGAAACAACTAAATTGGACATACGGGTAGAATGAACGTGACTTCACGAGTCTTGCAAGAAGATCAAACCCTGCTCAAGTTGGTCTACCCGGCTGATTTCATCTCGACTTGCCCTCGCTGGTTGACGCATGTCGTTTGATCGATAATCCGAATTCTCCAAGCATAGCTTCTTTGCAATTTGAAATGAGCTAGTCAAGCTAAAGTTACATGCATATGGAAGTCCTTGGGGATACGAAGTGTTCCTCTCTGTTCCATGCGGAGTCTGACGATTTGTCTTCTCGATTACAACGCGTCTCCACCTCCCTCGATCCATCGGTTCAGCAACGCCAGCGCTTCGACCGGTTCTGAACAAGGGAAAATGGAAGGTTCAGATCAGCTTCCCAGGACTTTTCGTGAGACAAACGTACACGCGACTCACTGTCCATGGGTACCATATGCCCAGCTCCGGCGACGGTGGCAAACGTCAATCCGCCAAACGTCTTGGTGTACCCAGCCACCTTGCCCTCGACCTCCCAATCCCTGACCTCGGCCGTCTTGTACCCCATGCTTCCCGTCCATTCGAGATCCTCCAACCAGGCCTCGTTGCCGATATAGTTGCAGATCCAGTCGTACGTACCCACATAAGAGATGACGGGGATCTTCCTCTCCAACAGGCCGGCGACGTAGAGCCAGGTCATGTCCGTCTCGTCCATCGAGTCGGCGAACGCTTGGGCGACCTTGTTGGAGCATGCCGTCCAGTTGCCGATACGTTCAGAGACGCCCAGATAGGACCTGACTTCGGGCAGGTCGAGGTAGGTGGAGATGTTGCGCCTGCGATAGGGAGGCATGTCAGACGTGACACTCATGGCAGAGGCACAAGCGACGGGCAAACTCACATGGCTTCACCATAGCAGAGACCGTCGGCGAGCTCGTCCCGCGTGCATCGCTTCGAGACGTCATAAGGGTTCAATCCCAGGTTCCAGAACGGTTCCCCGACCTTGCTCGCACAAAAGTCCATCGCGCCCTGACACGCGATTCGGTCGTGACGTTTCAGACACTCGGCGTGGGTCATCTCTACGCAGTAAGGCAAGGATTTCCTCATCTCGACACAGGCGGCGATGGGTAGCAACGGTCTGCCGATCCCCTCGATCGAGGTGCACTGGTAGGTGTAATACGCCTCTTGCATCTTGAAAGCCGAGGTGATCCCGTTCCCGATCAACACTCCTTGGAGGTTGATCACGGGAAGCCCGTGTAAGGCGTTGCGATCGTTCAAGTCGTACACCGCGCTGGCAAAGACGGGCAAGTACCTGCCCCCGTACGACTCGCCGGCCATGTAAAAGGCGTTGCCCCTGAACCTATCGAACGTCTTGAAGAACAGGCTCAGGAAGGCTTGGACGTCCACGGCGGCCTGTTCGGTCGTCCCCGTCGTCTGGCCATGTCGACCGTACGAAAACGAGACCCCGAGGGGTTCTTCGAGGAAGATCACGTTGGCCTTCGAGTTCCAGGAATGGGGGTTCACCTTGGTCCCGTTGATGTGCGATGGGTCGACGATGGTACAAGGTCCGAGCTCTTGGTACATACCGAGCATGGAAGAGCAACCGGGCCCACCGTTGATCCAGAGTACGACGGGGTCTTCTGCGGGCTTGTCACGGGATTCGAAAAAGGTGAAAAAGAGGTCCCTGCCGTGCCCAGCGTTGATGTACCCGCTGTACGATTTGACGTCAGGGTCACACCAATCGCCATCGTGGCTCTTGATCTCTAGTTTGTGGTTGGGTACATGGAGGTGAGAGAGGGTATAGGTGTGGCCGGGATGGATATGAAAGTCGTCGGCGTCGAGGTCTGTGGTGATGACCTGTTGTTGACGCTGCGAGTAGGCGGCAGCTCGGCCCGCGATCGCCAGGAGCAGTGAGACCGAGAATGAGATTCGCATTGTTTGTCGTGGAAGACGATTATGATGTGCCCTGGTGGTATGCTGGCCCTTCGCTTTTGGGATTTGATTCGAGAGGGGCGACGATGGTACTTATCTAGTCCGAGTACGAGTACTACTGCATGGGTGAGACACCTCGTGCTGCCCTATGCTATCACGAGCTCTTTGCTCTCGGTCAGATCCGATACCGATCGATCGGATGCAAACGGATGATGAATGGTAAATGTACCGCGGATGCATATCTCGTGTTTACCTTTTCGGGGGAATAGAAGCGAGGACGATCATCATCGATTCATGCACCTCGCACGACATCATCCAACGTTGCGAATGCAGTAGCAACTATCAAGCTATCAACCACCAGTAACGTAGCATCCTCAGCCATCAGCATAAACAGCGCTCGTAGCATCCATCACACACCGAAGATGGACTTTTTCTCGACACCAGGAGGTGACAAGTACGCACGCGCTTCGAAACCCAACAATACCGTCAAACGGTCCATTCCGACTCCTGGCGTCACCCCAAGACCCACATCCTCCTCGTCTTCATCACGGCCTACGATCAACCGTTCCAAATCGAGCATACAAAACAATGGCAATGGGTCGACTCCAAAGCTGACCTCGAGGAATAGACCTCCTCAACCCCGATCGTCCGCCACACCATCGGACGATTCTCCTCGGAGACCCCGGACGGCCGATTCTCAATCGCAATCTCGGTGGCCCAGTACCCCTTCAAAACGGAGAAGACGTCCGGTCGAAACGTCCGAATCGTCCGCTTCGTCTTCAGATGAGGGGATAACACGAACGCCAAGAAAACGTGTAGACGTGGGTAGGAATGGGAGTGGGGGTCGAGCTGCGGGCGAAGGCGTATGGGACGATGTGGGGGAGATTAAGCCTAGGGACCGGAAGAGGAGGGAGTTGTTTGATCTGTCAGCTCTGGAGGGACAATTCAGTCACAAGGAAGATGGGAGCGCAAACGGGAACGATTTCGTGCATTCGGCGGATATGGTACGGAAGAACCTGGCCAAGTATCGACCTTGTGAGTGATCGGCGAAGCCCCTTTGTCCCGGCCGATCGCTACCTCGAAATTACAAGTATCTAAAGTTGTCTACTCGATCCACTCCGACACATACAAACAGACTTTACTTCTCAATCCGAACCGACGGTGACTACCACCCCGACACCGGACCAGGTTCCCGAGATCGAGCTCGTTTACCCTTCCCGAGGGTACACCGAGCGGTTCGCGCTCTTGCAGCCTCGACAGAACAACGAGTATCATCCGATTCAAGAGGTGTTGGATTCGATAGGGTTGATGGTGGATCGTGAGTTCCAAATTGAAGGTCGCCCAAAGTTAGGATGTTAATGGTCAGATGCTGAACAAGACATATTTTGAAATCTCGCATGTCACCTCAGACTATATACCGGAAACGCACATGCATCAGTTCCGGGCTGCACCTACGGATTTCTTCAGTAATCAGCACCCACACTCCCACGCGCCCAACTTCCTCGCCTCCTCCCCTGTCCCTAGCACCCCAGGCACGCCTACCGCCTTGACCACCCCTCAACCCACCTCGGACCCGATCGTCCGTTCCCTCCACAAGGCTTATAATCGTAAAGACCTCTCTGGATTCATCGCCGCCGTCCAGAGGTTCAATGAGGAGTTTACGAAATTGCGCGAAGAAGGCGAGATCAAACGGCATCTAGAAGACGAGGACGGGGTAGTCAAGGGGGAACGATGGAGAGGGATGGTCAGCGCATTGGGGGAGAGTTGCTATCAACGAATAGTCGGACCGGGGACGACGACGCTGTCGGAATAGTGAGTCGTGATCAACGTTGGGACCGGTTCATGCTGAGAATGCGGTGGACTCATACGAGGTATTTGATGTGCAATAGCGAACCGTTCTCGGATTATGTCTATGGAGAGCTCTTGCCTCGGTGAGTTTACTTTGCTCTTGATCGATGGAAGCCGATATGATACATACTGACGGACGAATACTTCGCCCCGCGCAGCTTTGTGTTCACGATTGCCGACCGGGCCAACTTGAAATCAGATTCCCGATTGTAAGTCTCGTCCGCGATGATACCTTGCACAGCCTCGATATGAGCTGACTCGACTCACACAGCGTTGATCTCGGCTCGGGCGTGGGTAACTGTCTCGGCAACATTGCACTCTACACAGGCTCTGCCAGTATCGGGTGCGAATACATGCCCAATCCGTCCCGACTCGCTCGAGCGCAGATCGTCGAGATGAAGCAGAGGTGGAACATGTGGGCTTTGAAGGGGAATGAAGAGTGCAATGCGATTGAAGGTGATTTCTGTGCGGATCCGGATGTCGTCAAGGCGTTGCAAAAGGCGGATCTGGTTGTGAGTACCCGGGTCGAGGAGGTTTTGGGAAACTAACAAGAAGCTGACCGCAGGTTAACCGTTCCTCGTGAGCCGCGCAGCTCGTCAACAACTATGCATTTACCCCAGCACTCAACGACCGGTTGTCCCTCCTCTTCCTCGAACTCAAGGACGAGACGAGGATCATCAGCCTGAAACCGTTTCTGCCGGACAAGTTCAGGTTGAACGATCGGAACGTGAGTCACCTCGGGAAAAGTCCTGATTGATATCAAATGCATTGGTACTGAGACAGAGACACTATCGGCAGGCCTCGTCCCCCTCGGCGATCTTGCGGATGAGGGAGTTGCCATATCCAGCAGGCAGTGTGAGCTGGACCAACGAGTGAGTCGCTCCGGATTCAACTGGGGCAAGACGTTGGCGCTGACGATGACGCGAGCCTTTCCTTGCGCAGAGGCGGTGTGTATTATGAACACGTCGTTGATCGAAGCCTATTGAGGGCGTTTTACGAGAATGGGGCTAGGCGGACGTCCAGGAGGTAGGCGAGAGAATGAAGGGCGACATGACGAGGAGATTATCACTATTATAATCATAGCCACAGCATGGCAAGGCAGAACGGACGTTTGTGCAACAGGAAAAAGCTATCGCATGATCGCATGAACATATATCGTTGTGCAAGCCCTGATCGAACATGCGCATCGTCCCGTCAAAGCCGCAAGGGATAGCGGCGACGAGCATCATGATCGATTCCAGAGGAATGCTAGGTCGGTCTCGGCTCATCATGCTGGTCAAAGTTGGGAGAGCACTGTACTTCGATAGCTTGGGACGAGGTGATGCGGTGAACAGATGATGCGCGGCTGAAACCGATTCAGGAGGATGCCTCCACCCTTTGAGCCGACCAATCCTCCCGACCAGCGACCTCGATCAAACCCTTTGTAGTCACAACCAGAGCAATCCCATACGCACAGATGCGCACCGTGATCTTACGCACATCTCTCATTCACACCCTCATCGCATCCATTCCAATGAGCCAGATCAAGCTACAATAGGAGAACGGCTCGCTCCCGGACAATCCTCATAGAAGCAGCGTTGGACTCAAACTCGCAACGATTCGTCACAACTCTGCTCTTACTCGCTTGATGAGAGCTGGAGACGACCTCGAGCTAGTCGACCATGTCTGAAGCCGCCGATGTCACCCCTCTGGACGTCCTGAAGTACAGACTGTACAAGGAGGGATCACTCCATGGCCAGCACTTCACAGACGGCTCTGCAGCTCACTTGTTGCAGACGCTGTACGCCTGTCTGTGGAACGAGGACGTCGACTACTTCTTGAAGAACCCGGCTTTCAGACCACTTTCGGCGGATTGGCGAAGGTACAAGAATCGGGGAATACCATGGTCATTAGCAGAAGCCCAGAAGAAGGAAGCTGCGGGGGGCAAGAAGGCGAAAGTCCGGAAGGGCAAGATTTGTGGGAACTATCTCGCTCGAGGGGATCGCTGTTTTAATTGCAAGTAAGTTGGCATCTATAAGCACGCGGAATGGACATCGACCTCATCGGCTTGGTTTATATCACAGAACCTGCGCAATCGACAATACCTCGGTGCTCTGCTCAGAGTGCTTCTTCGCATCGGATCACACCGGCCACGACGTGACGTTTGGCGTAGCCTACAGCTTTTCAGGGTACTGCGATTGCGGCGACCCCAGCAGCTGGAGTAAACCCACGAATTGCCCTCATCACCCGCCTACCGACAATCTGCTCGAAGCGTCTTCTTCAAATCTCGTCAATCCTCCTCGACATGTCGAGCTACCGGGCAGACGAGCTCAAGCGGTCAGGGAGACTCTAGAGCTCGTGCTAGATTACATTATCGAGACGTTCGAGGCTGGGCCGCCGGAGGGCAATGTGACCGTCCCACGGACCATCGAAGAAGTCATATTCGAGACCCAGGGGGCACATTCGTTGAAAGGCAAAGTTAGGCTAGAGCCTGTTAGCTTGATCCTCTGGGGAGATGAAAAGCATACGGGTAAAGAGGTCACGCGACAGCTCACCCATGCTACCGGTCTCTCGAAGGCGGATGCCACCATACTGATCAACGAGTTGGACAAACAAGTGAGTCGATCTGACCAATTGATAAGTTTGCAAGTAGGATGCTGATAATACCTCGGCTTTTCGTCAGGGCCGAGTTGTCATCGAGACTACAGATAATTACTACCGTCTCATCCACATCGCACAAACGCTCGCCCAGATCGACCTCACGGTGACATTCCAGCTGAGCTCCGAATCTTACCGGGAACAAGCATGCGGAGTCATCATCCCTTGGTTGGCCGAGATCTGCTCTTCACATGTACTCGACGACGACCTGTTTCTTCGTCGGCAGGTCGGTGATGTCCTCTTGATTCCATCTAAAGTTGGCAGCCAAGCACCCGATGGAAGATATAGAGTCGCAGCGTCTAGGATGGAAAGGTTATTCTTGGTGTTCTCGCGATTTTGGCGGGCCCCTCGGATAGCTTGGATGAAGGTGTTTGTGAGGATTTTGACTGCAGATATGGACTACAAGATTGCCTTAGGTGAGTCTGTCTAGCCATTCCATCCGGGGTCGTGCTGAGCTTCCACATTGCAGGGAACACCTTTGCGCGAATGTACACCTACCTCGTGGATCAGTACCTGTTCTTCGACCGCGAATCCGAACTGTCTCTCCTGTTATGGGGGATGCAGCTGTTCCCAGTCCCGGCAATAGCGACAGCGGCGGTCCGCGACATGGACATCTTGCACACCCTGCTACAGGTCCTCACGTCTTACTTTACCGAGCAGTTTGAGCACCAACATCTACGGATACCACCTATGGTAGTGCCACGGATCGATGCCGACGTCGAAGCGTTCCGGACGAAGAAGTGGCAGACCATGTTCGGACACCTCAAGGTCATGCTTCAGAGTAAAGGGGTACAGAAGATACTCCTGGATCAACCCGAGTCTTTTAACGAGGTCGTCAGCTTTTTGAGCCTCTTCACGTCAATGGCACCTCATATACGTGCGAAGACCGAGCACATCGAGTTCGAGAGCGACGCATGGATCAGGGCACTAGGGGTCAGCATGGACCTGAGCCGTGTCACCATCTCTCTCGGACAAGTATTCGATCGAGCCAACAGAGAGGGGCTGGTCCGGGCGATCACCGAAGTCGGGCTGCACATCTCGTATAATTCGAGATTGCTATCGACCGTACTAGACTCTGACAAGTTTTTCCCACCAAAATTGCACGTGGTCCAGATGTTCGGGCGGGAATTCCAAGTCATTGCACACGATGGGGATCTGGAATGGACGAGTATACACAACCCACTTCACTGGACGCTAGCAGAAGCCATCAAGCGGCTGCCGGCCATGATCGAGCGTGAACCCAAGGAGGATGGGCCGGGAAGGACGACTCGGAAGGACATCATCTCATGGGCAACGGCGTCTAGTCCCGAAGTCACCGATGCTCTGTTAGCTTTCAACATGCAGATCACGATAGAGAATCCTTTGCGAAGTGAGTCAGGCGATCGGCTTGTTAAAAACCTGGACTAACATGCGCCTGATTGCGCAGCGGTCGCATATTTGGCTCAAGTCCGAGCTGGACTTTGGGTCCGGAACGGTATCGGCATGCGAGGACAATTGCACCACTATCGTGATCATCCGTTGCGTGAGACGACATATGACCAAGATCTCTTCCTGTTGCAATTTGGATTCTGCACACTAGACCCGCCTCTCATGCTGGCCAGCTTGATCGATCGCTTCGGCTTGACGGAACTGTTCACCATGCCTATCTGGCCAACCCAGGTCGAAAACGCTCAGATCTTGCAACTACTGGAAGAGCTTCTGCTCTGCTTGGTCACCCTTTTCACGGAAACGTGGGCCATGCAAGCTCGCTCTCGGGTCGACACGACGAAACGAGAAATCATTCACATCTTGGCGCTAGGCCCACTCGCCTTTTCAGACCTCGTCAAGCGACTCTCTGAGCGAACCGTAGAAATCGCCTCTTTCAAGGATGTACTGGAAGAGGTCGCCACTCTACGAGTACCCAAGGGGGTCACGGAAACGGGAGTTTACGAACTTAAAACACGATATTACGACGACGTCAATCCGCTATTCTATCATTACTCACGAAATCAACAGAACAACGTATACGAAATTCTCTGCAAGCAACGCAAGACAGATTGCATCAACCCGACAGTACCGCAACTTCCACCAAGATTACCTTTCTCGGCACTTCACGACGTTTTCGAAACGCCCCTTATCATGCTAACATGTCATGTCATACTTCACAACACCATCGAGATGCGAAATCGCAGTCTCACAGCCCCTTCAACACCGGCAGTACCCCAGATGGATGGCCTGATCGACCTAGTCTTCCATCTAACGACACTGGCGGTCTTGTGTGCACCGGAGAATTCCTCTGCCATAGCGTGCGCTAGATCCGAGCAGCTCGATTTCCCACCTCTCATCACCGAATTATGTGACATCGAGCTCGACAAGAATTGGTCGCCGTATCGTCCCCGAATATCAAACTTGATCGATTTGATAGCGAAACAAGTGCCGGAACAGGTGCGAGCCTTCAGAGCCCGCCTGTCCCGCGACCAGTCGACGGTCTCTGCCGATGAGGCCAGGAAGGCTGCGATCGCCAAACGTAAACAGGCTATTATGGCCGGATTCGCTCAAAACCAAGTCGCCTTTGCCGAGGCTTACGAGGTCGGCGAAGAAGATGAGGATGAAGCCGGGGAGCAAATGCACTCTTACGGACAATGCATTGTCTGCCAAGAGGCTTGCACTGATCAGCGACCGAGTGGCCTTTTAGCAATAGTTCAACCGAGCAAGGTCGTACGGAACATGTGTGTCGGGCGCGACTGGTTGGAGGAGTGCCTGCGCGTGCCAGAAACCCTCAGCGGCGACACCCGGGTGACACGATACGGTCTGGGAACGGGCGACCGCCCAATGTCAACGGATGCCTATCCTCGGTCGGAGCAGCGATTTGGTCTTAACGTCACAGTGTGTGGCCACATGATGCACGAACTGTGCCTCGAAAAATTCTTCGATGATACGCGCCTCCGTCAACATCAGCAAGGACAGCGAAATCATCCCGAAAACGTCTTTCGCAAGGAGTTTGTTTGTCCTTTATGCAAGAGCGTGGGCAATATCTTGGTGCCGCTCACAACCGCTTCAGACTTCCCTTCAAATCCCGGCTATGCTCCGCTAAACGAGTGGATTCGACGTACTCTCGATGAGGATCTGAAGCGGACTGGCAAACGGCCTAAATCTCTCAAGACGCATTCACGAACAGGCGAGCGAATGACGTGGTACGTCGACGTCGCGGGCGAGGCAGAGACTGGATTCTTGGATTCGGGCCAGGGCGCCATCTTGATCCGCTACATCATGCTCGTCATGGCCATATCGGAGCAGACGACGCATATGAGCGGACGAACAGAGAGGGGGCTTTACGTGCCGCAGGATGTCATTGGGTTCACGCTGTCGCTGATGGAGATCGCGCAGCGAGGAATCGCGCCTAGCGAGCAGAACTCCGTTTACCTAAGCGAGACGTCTGAGAGACTGTTGCGTGGGATGATCACCTTACTGTGGCAGGAAGAGCAAACGGCAGCTGGGGAACCCGCAGATCCGGTTCTCAATCGCATTGCCATTTTTTCGACGCTGCTGCCAGAGCGCTTCCGGACGAAGCCCACATCGTCGGCGTTGCTGCTGAGGGACCCAATGACAATCATGATCGAGGCGGCGGCACTCGCACCGGACGCTTTACAACCGGTCGTGGTTTTGTGCTACTTTGCCGAGGTTGTCCGAGCCATGCTGGCTATCACGTTCTGGGCCCGGCTGTGCTTGTCCCGCTCAGCTAGCCCTGTCTGGTCTCGGTCTGACGTTGATGGGCCTGAATACAAGCTCGCTGTGGAGACGTTCCCTGAACCCCGAAACCTCGTTCTGAGCTGTTTCCGCCATACCCCGCAACTGCTGCAGGAGGCCACCTCGGCGCTCAACTTGTTGCCGGAACGCGACCTTTCCAAGCTGCTGTATACGTTCACACTGCCGTTCCTACGCCGTGCTTCGATGTTGTGTTCGGCGATGAAAACGACGTTCCCCGTGGCAGGAGCTTCAGACCTGACAGGCGAGTACAATCAACACCTGCGACGTCTTCGGATCCCAGCACCGGGTAGTACCTTGCTCGATCCGACCCAACCCATCCAGTCGACTGCTATCAGCTGGCTCAAACAATGGATCCAGCTGGACACTGGCGTTCCCACGCTAGAGTATCCCGGGATTTACGAGTTATACCGGATACCCGAAAGCCTGGAGGACCTGCTGCGCTTCTACGAAAAGAAGGAATGCACGCGATGCAGCAAAGTGCCCAGCACACCCGCCGTATGCATGTTTTGTGGCGAGTACTTGTGCTTGGGTACGGATTGTTGCAGCGAGGGAAGTATGGGAGAATGCAATACCCATCGAATGGAGTGAGTCACCCGTCATCCCGCATCGGACATGTCGCAGTCGATTCACTTGCTAAAGTAAGCAACGATGGATTGCATCGAATCGTTACGTCTAGGTGTGGAGGAGCGGTAGGAATGTATATCGACCTGAAACGGTGGACGACTGTCTACCTGTACGCCGGTTCGGGATCGTTTGGGCCGATGCCTTTCCTGGATTGTCATGGCGAGCTGGATCAGGGGATGAGGTGAGACTCTTGATTCCACCTTTCGACGAGCTGGCCTCTGATTAGTACTGAACATGTGCCTCTTTGTCCCTAAAAGACGAGGTCATCCTCAATTCCAGCATCGAGCCCGAGCGGATCACGTCCGACGGACATGGTTGGGACACGGGATCCCCTCCTTTGTCGCTCGCAAGCTCGAATTGACGCTAGATCAGAGCGGATGGGATTCGTTATGACAGCAGGGATTTGATGGGCATGGTACAGAGCTCATGGCGAGGATGTGCGAGCTGACGACATGATGGAGAATCGGATGACATCAGGGTAGCCTTCTTCGACGAAACGACAGTCGTACCAGGACGGTACAAAAGAAAGATTCGAGACTGTGAATCTGACGACAATGCAAAGGCTGGATCATGGAGAACGAACAAAGACATAACACAGTCGAGTCGCCGAGTGAATCATCCGCCGATCTCGAGGTGATTGATCGACGATACGGGGGATTAGAGTTTAGGTTCGAGCTTCTTCTAGCGATTCCATTCTTTTGCTTCCGGAAGCGAGGGTAAGACGCGTGAGAAAGCGGAATGGATGCTCGTCGCCTTTGCTGCTAGCCTTCTTTTTTCGGTAACGCGCGTCCTGTCCCCCTTCCTTTGGCTGCGTTGTCTCTCTCGCGCGCGCGCGCGTGTCTCTAGTCTCTCCTGCTGCTGCTGCTTCCGGCGCCCTCTCCCTGCCCTACCCTGTTGCCCCCGGTCGACCGCTGGGGTGGTGGTGGATCGGCTGAGAGCGAGCGAGTGAATGTGAGATGATATATATACCGCGACTCGCGCCTCCTCGGCCAGACCACCGAAACACCCCCCCTTCCCCCCCCCTCGCCCTCCACTTTTTTTTTCGTTTCCTCGCTCGCCGTCATCGTCATTGGCCATTGGCTCATTCCGCGCGTCAGCACTACTCGACGGGGATTTGTTTTGTTTTTCGGGAACGCACGAAAAGAGGTTGAGAGATATATCTACTCTCCTCATTCCCCTCGACACGACCCGCGGACCGAATCATCAATCATCGACCACCCACCCACCTCTTACGCGTTACTCGTCACGTGATTACGACAACGGGAACGACCGATCAACCGGGAGAAGCATCGACCTCGTCATCAACGACATCGACTGTCAAATAGTCATACAACCCATTCGCAAACAAGCTCGCCGTCTTCGTCTTTCTTCCGAGACGACGACGACGACGCCGACGAGGCTCTCGGTTCTTCATTCCTGAGCGAGTAAAGTCCTGTGGAATAAGGGTCGAGGTCGCCGTCGTACGTAGCCATATCGTCTCCCTTCTTCCCCTCAAGCATATCCTCGAACCGCTCCATCTTCTATTCCTCTCTCTCTCTCTCCTAGCATATCATTCGGTACCAGTCGCTCATGTAATTGCCTCTTCTCTTCTACTCACCTCCCACCGCATGACAACATCTATCACCATATTCAACCTGTCTGATTCCTGAAACTCGTTGTCTGAAACGAAACTGCCGGGAGAACAGACGGACTGCTACCTTCACTGATCATCCCTAGACGCTTCGCTCGATTCGTCACAGTCATCTGATCTCGGAAGAGCAGAGTGCTAGCGACAGAGAAAAGAAGGATGAAAACGAGCGGAATGTCAATCGATCCCGTACCCTCTCCCCCTTCGACCTCGAACGAGACACCTCGACCGGACTCGCTACCCGTGGGAAAGGAAGCTCGGGAAGACGCTCATCCAGCACACGGGATGGCCATCAGTCAGCTCGTCTCGCCCATCTCGTCAGCAACACCCAAGCTAGAACGCTCGGATCCCGTCTCGGCAGAGTCACCTCCACCTCCACCACCACCGTCCTCGACTGCCCCTCCTCCTGCACCGTCCATGACACCTCCAGCGAGTGCAGCGAGTGGACAGCAGGATGGTTCTGTGGGTCTGACGGCTCCCGTACAGGCTGGAGTTATGGGTAGCGGGATGCCAACGAGTGACGCTAGAAGCGAAAAGATGGACGTCGATGCCGACGGCACGAATCCAGAGGTCGCTGTCGAGGCAATATCACATACGCCAGATGGCGCAACGAACGGCACCGTTGATACGGCGCAGCCTTTGACTCCCGGCGCGGCAGCTGAGACGGGTGTGTCCCTAAAGCGATCGAGTCCAGATGACGAGCGCGAGATTGAGAGGTCGCCGAAGCGGGTCAAGGATGATGGAGAGCAGGGGTCGGGTGTTATCAAGCAGGAGAGGTCAGAAATGGAAGTGGATCAGCACCAACAAGAGCAGCAGCAGGAATCACAGCCAATGCGGGAGAGTCCGGCTGTCAAGACAGACGACAGTCAACATGAACCCCAGAATAACGGCTTGCCGGACCCCGCCCACCCGGTCAGCGACCCTGCCTTGCTTCCTCCTCAAAATCTCTACCTTCCTGGGACTTACCTCCCACCCGCCCGACCTCCTCTAGGCTCGACGGCACCGATGACGTATCAGCAATACCGTTCCCTGATGGGCCTGCTCAAGTCGGCGAAGAAGCAAAAAGATAGTTTTGCCTTTGTCGCCCCCGTGGATCCCATCGCGCTCAACGTTCCCCACTATTTCACCATCATCAAAAACCCCATGGACCTCGGGACGGTCGAACAAAAGCTCAGCCAATCCAACCCGGCGCCGAACAAGTTGAAGGTGCCGGCCGGTCAGCAGCAGCAGTCGGGACCGTATTCCTGCGTTGCGGATGTCGTCAACGATGTCAGACAGGTATGGGCGAATACGAGGATTTTCAACGGACCGCATCATGTCGTCAGTATCAGCGCGGATAGGTTGGAAGAATTCTTCGAAACACAGTTGGAGAAGCTGAAGTTGAACGAGAATGTGAGTTGCTGACCGCTGAGATCGTGTTGGCGTTGTGTTTGTGCTTGAGACTAATACTACTGTGGACACGCTTCAGCCTCCTCCTCCTCCGGAACAAGCTGGGCCATCGTCGTTCCGATCACAAGGCTCTGTTCCCGCCGAAGAACGAACACGCCGACCGTCCATCTCGCAGCCCACCATCCGACGAAACCCATCCGACGATTATGGAACGGGAGAGAGCAGTCGACCGAAACGCGAGATTCACCCGCCCACGCCGAAAGACTCGACCTGGGTCGAACCTATTCCTCAGGTGGCGAAAGCGGGCAAGGGCAGGGCCAATTCGAGCCCGAGGATGAAGGCTGCGAGCAGGGCGATCAACGATCTGCTGACAAAGCAAAAATATAAGATGGCTGCACACCCATTCTATATGCCAGTTGGTGAGTGTCAAAGTCACAAACTCGGAAGATCATATGGGCTGATTTGGCATGTTTCCAGACCCGATCGCGCTCGGTATCCCTGCTTATTTCGACGTGATCAAGCGACCCATGGACTTGTCCACCATCGCCAACAAGATCGCTGCGGAACAATACGCCGAGGCCGCTGGGGTCGACAAGGATGTCAAATTGATGATCAAAAACTGTTTCACTTTCAATCCGCCTGGGACACCCGTGCATACGTGTGGGGAACAGTTACAAAAGTTCTGGAACGAGAAATGGAGAGAGGTCTTGGCCGTACCGGAGCAGGAGGCTACCGAAGAGGACCCGGCCCTAGATCGAGGTGGGTTCGCAAGATCGAGGCTCTCGCTTTGTCTATGCGGTCACTAACGCGCGTACGTTGAGGCCAACAGAGCTGGAACAGCTGGAAAGACAACGAGCCGAAATATCGGCTAGGATCGACGAGATCCACCGTATCAAAGCCGACAAGGGCAAACAGAAGGCGAAACCCAACACTCAGTCAGGATGGTCCGGTTCGAAACCTTCGAAAGCTGGAGGTGCCGGTGCGCAAAACCATGGAGGACCCTCGAAACCGCCTGCCAAGTTGGGTCGACCGGCAAAGAACGGCGGAGCTGCCGCTGGTGCCGGACCTGGACCGAAGCCGAAGAAGCAGAACGGCCGCCGACCAAGCGATGCGCGAGACTATGGGGATTCGGACGCCGAGGATGGGATGCTCGAGGTGCCGACTCTGGCACAAAAGCAAGAGTTGGCCGACAAGATCGCCGATGCTAACCCTGAAGTGTTGATGCAAGCGCTCGACCTGATCCAAAGGACGACTCAGCTCGGTAACGTGAGTTGAATGCTAGTCCTCTTACCAAGCGTAGCCGTGTTGCTGACCTTGTATGCTTGCTCGCAGCACAATGACGAGATCGAGCTCGACATCGATGCCCTGCCTAACAATACGATCGCGCAACTCTACAACCTGGTCATCAAGGGCATCCAGCCCGGACAGGCTGTCAAGAAGAAGAAGTCGGGACCGAAACCAGGTGGTCAGAACGGGCATCAGCATCACGGTCAGCCGGGACCTAAGAAGGGCTCGAAGAAGTCTGGCATGGGCGGTCGAGGCGGCGGCGGTGCGGCCGGTAAGAATGAAATGGAAGTCGAGCGTATCAAGGCGTTAGAGGCCGAGTTGTCCAGGATCAGGGGAGAGGAAGAGGAGGATGGTGGAGGTGAGTCCCGGAGCGGTCACCTTTTGCTTGTGAAAAGGTTGGCTGACCCTGTCTGTTGTCTGTGACTGCAGAGGATTATGGACACGATGAGGACGACGATGGCGAGGAAGAGTACGAGGGCGCGTACAGCGAAGAAGAGGGTTAGACCCCGTCACGGACTCGTCCAATCAATCATTCTTGATGTGTGACTCACCGTCATATCTGTTCGGGCACTCACGGGCCCTTGGTGGGAAGGAGAGAGACAACAGACAAACGAAGAACGTATACCCCTGCTCTTTCTGCCCCCTTGGTCCCTTCTTTGTGCCTTCCCGTGCGCATTTTCGTCCTTGTCACATTATAGCCCCGCACGCGTCGGGAATATGTCAGAATCGTGCGCGCTTATGCCATCATTGAGCACTCTTGTCAAATAAAAGAAAGGCGGGGACCACCATGACCATCGATCATAAAAATAACATATGCTCACGAAATTGAATTTTGCGCTGGGGCGCTGAAACTTCGAAGGCGCGTGTATGCCATCCTCAACGAGGGTTGCAAGCGGAACTGGCACAACGCTACAAAGACTCTCAACACGCCTAGCTCCTAAAATGTGTATCGTTGCCCTTGGGTCACAAGCCTTGAATAGGGTATATCTCTTTACACGTTAGATGTTTCGAGATATTACAGCAGCCTAAGGCGACAAAGAAAGATATCTGCCGTGCAAGTACGCAGCTTGAAGGGAAGAATGGATGTGTAATGGGTGACATGCAAGCGCCATTTATCTGGGCATTGTAGGCATACCGTATGGCTGCTGGGGATTTGCTGACAATCAAGGTGCAATTATAAATTCCAAACCCTTCTTAAGTTTTGAAACAAGAGCTGCCCTCCTGTGATATGGCCGGATTCGAAGGATCCGGATCCGACTGTCGACTTGATACGGGATATCAAACTCTCGACGTCCAGTAAGATCTCGTCCGCTCCCCTTGGCTCGCAAGCGCCCTCGAAGTGGGGACGCCTGAAGATAGTCTTCCGCATAGGCGATCTGCGTTCTTCCGCCCCGGGTCCAGTATAAGTGGAGATCAGGGAGATCGTATGCAACTCCTTCACCCGGCTGAAGACAGCTGTAAGCCATACGAAGAATTCCGTTCCAAATCCATCCTTCGCGAGACCAAGGGATTCCTGGATATCCGATCGAGACATATCGGGTCCCGACGAGAGGTACGTCATGTTCCAGTGTCCGGTCACAACGAGGGTTTCAAAGCGACCGGACGTCTCCGTAAGCCATCCCAAGTAGCCACGCTTCGGTAAACGCGCATCAGTATCTAGCTCGATACTCATTTGCTAACCGGCATCAAGCTCACCCAGTGAACATATCTCAGAGAACGTGGGTCGGAACAGCACCAGGGAGTCTCGACGTGCAAGACCTTCAACAGAGAAGGTTGCTGACTTAGGAAGTCTGGAAGGACGGCGTTGAATGCGATCTCCAACCTGCACTTCACGCAACTACACGGTGACATGACTGGAAGGACCAGGTGCAGCTGATCCAAGATCCTGATGTTGACGCAAAGCCTGCCTAGCTGCATTGGCCAGTCACGGAAGTCCTTCGCCTCATACTCGCTCGAAGGCTGTTCGAAAGCGTCGTTCGCATTGGGTTCTACGTGTAGAACATCCAGGTGTTGCGTTCCCAAGGGCTTGCAGTCGCCAAATATCATGGATATTCGCCCCAAATACGCGGGAAATGGCGTTGGCAGCTGCCTTCCTCGAGTCCTTTCGTCGCGAAAGGCTTGCAGATTGTGTAGGGATGCAATGAATTCGTTGCAGTGACGACCAGTCGTGATGAAATCATAATTATCGGGATCAAGGCATGTCAGACTTCTGGAAGGGTTTACACGCAACAACAGCCTTAGCGCAAGGTACACGATCAGGGCTTCTCTCGAAAAACTGACTGACCGGACATAGCTGCGCGTTTCTGGAGTCATGGTCGAATTGACGTAATGGCCCTGCTCTGGGGTCCGCAGCAGCACATGAAATGCTATCTTCCTGGAGAAGATATTGGCCCTGAACGTTTTGCATGTCAAAGACATAGCCTGAAGCTCGGCAGAAAAAGGCACTCAAGCGGACATGGGGAAGAACATCGTCGTATCCTCGTAGTATCGCGAAGGAATCTCTTCCTGGGCGAATCTCGCCAAGGCGTCCACGATCGAATCAAGGATGGGAGGAGGGACGTGCTCGATCGGCGACTGTGATCGAGAACGGTCGGCGTGATTCTGTGAGTTCAGACTCTCGGTGTTGGCATTGGCGTTTGACATGTTGGATGCTGTACCGTGTGGATCGGAGTGATATGTTTGCTGAAAGCAGCGAGCATGAAGATTGGGAGTCTACGTTGTTAGTGTCGTTGTATTCGAGTGAGCTCGCTCGGACGTAGACTCGAGATCAGGTAGCGATCTAGCTAGCAACCGCTGCTTCATGACGAAGAACTGCATAAGCTAAGAGTCGTCACGGACGCGTGAGAAATTTCAGCCGATAGCCTGAAGAAATCCAAATAAAGACTGATCGCATCAAGCATCGTGGAGATGTACAATTGATACATAATGATGAGCCAAACGTTATGATCAGCCCGACGCGCATGGGCCGGATCGAGTCGCGATTTTATGAAACGCGTTACAAAACACAAAGCCCTTGTCGCGCCGAATGACACTTACAGCTTGGTCGCGCTTCCATACTGCCAGGCCGTGCTGGGGGCCGGGTCAGATGACTGTTCAGAGACCAAAACCTATCGTTTTGACCCCGATGATTGCGTTTGTTTGAGTTAAAATACGACTCACCAAGAGGATGATTTATAAATGAGTGCAGATCTGCCCTAAATGAAAAGTGACGATAGGCCGTATAGCTCTAGTCGCGGAATTCCACAGCCCTATCACCAACCGCCGCGGCGCAGAACGCCTCATCTGGAAAAAGGCGCACTTATGCAGAGTCAACAGTATGATAGCCCTAAAAATTTGGTCAGCTCAAGAGCCAACAGCGCCCGATTTACGGCCCGCTTGTGTGATCCATACTAATTTATGCTTGGTGTGTGTTGTAAGGTTGTCACCACAGTACCAGGTAGATACTACAACTTTGCTATGTGAATGTAAAGAAAATGCGAAAAATATGTGTGTAGAGACCAATCTTTCAAACGCGTCGTCAAGACTCGTTCATTTTGGTCTTGTTCCGACCCCACTTGGGCCTGGCTTTCCCACCCGTCCCACTGCCGTTTACGGCTCCCAGCCCCTTGTCCTTTTCGGAATGCTCGTCCTTCGGCGTTGGTATATTAGAATTCGACCGCAGCCCGTGTCCACTCAAAACCGACAGAAATTTGCGTGACCGCTTTTCGTGTATCGTCCCCGTCGAGTCTGCGATCGAGGCCGTTTCCCCACGGGCTTCGGCGCCGTCTTCCATGTCTACCCTGATCACGCTCTCGGCATCGTCCGGGGCGTCTTCGGCATAGTAAGTAAACGGCGTGACCCTTTCGATACGGTTGACGGGCAGCGGGTTGAAGATCAGGTCGATGACTTGTTCGGCCGACCATTCACCCGAATAGGCTCCAGACGAACGGTGCCGGTGACGATGTTCCCGATGGCCCATCTTCAAGGCGTCGTGCACGGCTCGATGACCGTGGTTGCGATAGCCACGACGATAGAGCTGGTTGAAGCGATGCTGATGTTCGGGAGCGACAAAGTGAGACTCGGGTGGTTTCTTCGGTCGGACACGGCTCTGCTCGGTCAGCGGGATCGTCGCGCTCGAGACCGTCCGCAAGAGTTGGTCGCGGGATCGGTCCAGCATGCTAGATTGACTTTGTGCCTGGCAAGATGCGTGTTTTCGTATCAGCACAAGCAGCAATGGCGATAGCCGGATGCGGAGGGGCTTACCAGTGATACCGAGGACGATGATGCCGAATTATGAGGCGCCTTGAGATTGGCAAGGTGTTCTACCAGAAGGAGGTCTGTAGGTCAGCCTTCGTCCGTGGCATGGTCGTGAGAGCAACCAGCACGCACGTTCGAGCTGAATGTCATTTTCGGTCACTGCCGCCAGGCCCGCCACATTATGACCTCTTTGCAGAGGAGGTCTGTTAAAGCGGAAGCGTGACCCGATTAGCCACGCGGACACATTGCAGAACGTGGCCCCGAGACTTGCGTTACGAAATTTGTCTCGCCCCCGTAATGTGACAACTCGATGGTCATCTGATGTGGAAACAAGATCGCGTCTCAGTATCAAGCATACCAGCGATCAAGTAAACCCGACCAGAACCCACCTTGATCATGGCGTTTGTCTTGCCTCCCTTCAATAGGTACCTCCTTGTCACCCCTCCCTTACCCATCCTCGCCTCCTCGCTCGCATACTCTGCCAGATCGAGGTTGAGCTCGCCGAAATAGATCCCCGGATGATCGTGTTCGTGGTGGCCGTGCTTTTGCGAATGATTCCGCAGACCGTGTCGCTGACGACCGGGTTTAGCGGTAGACGTCTTGGACGAGATCGAGCCGTGATCCAGACCGTCGTCGCCGTCCTCGTTGCCCTCGCTCCGAGTACTGACGCTCCGGATCGTCTCGAGTCCCATCCCAGCCAAGTGTTGGTAAACGACGAGTTTCAACCCGCTCTCCGATTTCGCACCCCCGCCCAGCCATCCGGCCGGCTCGGACGACGATTGTTGGGCGTCCTTGCTCCCGCCCATCAAGCTGGCCCCGACCTGTCTGGCCCGTCCGTGAGGCTCCTTGATTGTCCCGTTCGAGTTTCCACTCGGCACTTTGAGCTCCTTGCCTGTACGCTTTGCATACGCCGCGGCCGCATCTTCGTCCATGGGTCTGAGCTTGATCCGTACGATCTGGGCCACGTGATGTTCCCAGCTCGCGCCGTGATCTTCCAACTCCTGGATCGGAGTCCGACCTTTCACCGTGGTGACCGTACCCAGCGGGACGTCCAGCTTGACCTCTTGCGGTTGATGCTCGGCGGTCGACTTGGAGCCGGTAGAGCGCAAGGATTCGGGTACCGAGTCGATCGACGAGGCCAGGGACGAGACCCTCTGTCTGCCCCCGGTCCTTCCCGACCCTTTCAACGTCGAACCCGATTCGACCGAATCTGCCGCTCCACGCTTTTTCCTGCTCAACCCGCTAAACGCGCTGGACAAGGACGTGTGGCTCGTATTCTCGCTCCGATGGAGGAGGATGTGGGGGACGTGCAAGTGGGCCGTTCTCGATCGACCGTTCTGATCGGGACCAGGGTGTTGCCCTTCGTCGGCCCCGTGGGGGTCATCCTGATCATGATCGTCGCCGTCTCGATGATGCCGCCGTCGACTGGACGAGGCCGATGCGTTGTTGTGAGTCACGTTGGAAGGAAGGGGTAGCAAGGTCGAGGCGATCTCCTTGTCCAACAGGCTCTGAACCGAGGGGCGAGAGGAGAGCGACAAGACGTTGGGTCCGGTTGGTGTCTGACCGTGGTGATGGCCGGGCAGGTGGGGGTGATGATGACTATGATGCTGTTGTTGATGTTGAGAGGATGCCATGGTCGACTGCGTCTCCGCCGAAGACTGAGATTGCGTCTTGTTGTGCGACGCGAGACCGTTGTGTAGACTAGGTTCCCGAACGTTCTGTGACGATGACATGGGTCCGGGTACCATGGCAGGGGTCGAAGTCCCGGTGGATGAGGGGGAAGGGTAGATGGACGACTCGGGCGATGAGCGAGAAAAGCCGGTCGATGAAGAGGATGGGTCCGGCAGATGATGGTGCGATTCGTCCCTCTCGTTCCTCCCTGTCAGCGCTCCGGTGAAAGAACGATCTAGAGGCGAGGTGGACTCTTTGGATCGGGTCGATGTGGTTGGTTCCGTTGGGGTCGCTGAAAAGACGCAAGAAAGAGAGCCGTCAGGTTCGTCACATGGATGTCATGCAGCATACGACCTGAAGGCAAACCACCGACTCACGTGCCAGATCGAGATCTCCCTTGCTTCCCCGAAACTTCCACCTGACGCTGAAACTCCCCGATACCAATGGCACGTTGGTGATGTCGTGTATGGTGAGCTTGACGAGAAAGCTCGAGTGCTTGTTGTGCATCATCGTCTTCCAGATGCCCGCGTGTGGGGCAATGTCGCTGTTGGCCATCTCTCGTTGACGACGGATGTCATCCGTGAGGAGGTGGTAGGCACCGTGAGGGATGTTGAGCATAATGTCCTGTCGACTGGATGGACGATCCTCCCTCTTTCCGAGACGACCGACGTGGGACGAGTAGGGTGGACAAGGGGAAAACGACGTGATTATTATGGGCGTTGCGTGGTAGTATGCCGACGTCGAGGACAAGCCAGGTGAGACGGCATGGTCGTCTGTCGTATTATGCAGTTGCGCAGTTATCAAGGAGAGGAGAACTGTTGGGTGGGTAAAGAGTCGACTACATCGAGTGACTGCACTACTGACTACTCTTTGAGGGTGATCGACGTCGTCTCTCTCCCTCTCTCTTTCTCTGAATTTAGTAACTCTTCGTCATCCTCACACTCTCTCCGTCCGCCGGCGGCCCCGAAGGAAGGGGGGGTGACGTAAACACCAGCTGCTGCCGTCATAAATAACGTCATCGAATGCCGGCAGCTCGGAAGCAAATACCCCCGCGTCGTCGTCGTTTGTTTGTTGATCGACTTTCCATTTCGACAAGGGAAACAACAACTAAGTAGCATAAGTGGTCTGATCACACACACACGATCATCATCACACCATAGAGAGATACTCGTATCATTGCCAATCCCTTCCCCCGGCCACGTTCCGACATGTCGACCGACAACCATCTACCGGGTCACAAACCACCCCGACCCGCACCTGCAACCTCGATCCCTGCTCAGAAACGCGCAACGTCCACTCATCCTCCCGGCAACATGGCCTCGACCACGTCTTACAACCCTCCTCGCTCAGCACAGACACGTTCGATGACCAAGCTAGCCCAGAGTAGGAAACACCTCGAGACGTTCGTTCAGATCGAGAGGAACGGGGGAAAGACCATGTTTGGTGGAGTGGTCCGCGGGAAGAAGCGAGGGCCTCTGCTGGACAGCTTCAAGAATGTGCAGCAAAAGGCGGGCGACCAAGCACAAACAGAAGAGAAAAGTGACGGCGCTGGCAAAGATTTCGGTCTGGGATCTGGCACTGCGGTACCGTCGACACTCGACGGCCTACCTAAACCGGGCCAGACCTCGATCCCTTCCTTTCCGTCCCAACATCCCGCTCACCGAACACCACCGAAACCATCACTAGCCCGACCGAATCACACCATCTGTCGCCAACCAAACCATCCTAGCCCGATCGAGATTCAGCCGGGAGGGTTCAGGATGGATGATGAAGATAGCGAGGACGAGTTGCTCTTGACACCCCGTAGCAGACAACAAAAGAGGCGTGCCCCAGCGGAGAGGCCTTTCTTGCCTATAGGAAAGAGCCGGCTGGCCTTTGGTGCAGCCCCCACATCTTCTCTAGCATCCTCTTCGACGGGTCCAGAAACGGCGGGAGCTACAGATTACCGCGGGATGACCCGCCTTCTACCGACCGAAGAGACGCTGCCCCAGGTCAAACGCAAACGACCCTCTCACCCGTCCGATTCGCCTTCCATGTCGACAGAGAGGGGTCAGGCTCGAGCTCGTCATGGTCAGGACGTGGCTACCTCGCTCTCTCCTTCTCCATCTCCTGCACTCGCCCGATCGAGGACGAGAACTCGCGGCCAGACGGAGGAACCGAACATCGATACTCCAGAGAGGCGACACAAGGGGAAACGAAGGAGGGTCTCGGATAGCCCGTCCAAGGTCCTGGGTGGACGCAAGAGCAAGGCATCGGTAACGCCATCGGCGACCATGTCAGCGTCTACGTCGTCTCCCCAACGATCCGTCGGCGAACGTTTGATGGCAAGCGGAATGATCAAACCACCGACTCCGCCTAGAAAAAGGGTAGCAGAAGCGGGCGGTTTCGAGCCAAAGCAGAGGACGTCAGGTACTTTGCCGAGTGCGCTTGGAGCCAGATCAGGGGATGACGATGGGATGCAAGTAGACGACGTGAAAGACGAACCCAAGAGAGAACAAGCGAGACTCGGGGATTTAGGTTTCGGAACTACCGGGTCGTCGAATCTGCAAGCCAGACCGAGCGGATCTACTACCCACATGATCTCAAGCTTCCAACTCAAGAGGCCATCTTATCCGAGCTCGCTCGGCCCTGGCGCCGCGCCTTCCCGTCCGATGGCCCGTAATGTGGCTCTACCGGCCGTGGATGCGATGGATACGACAGCGACCGACCCGAATCCCCGTCCGTCCGCCTTCTCCTCCTCGAATACATCGGGACTAGCTCGGATACCGAGTCGACGGGAAGGACTCGGATCGGACACGAAAGGAAGCCTCTACGGCCTCAGCGCTGCTTTGGCAAAATTGCAAGTCAAGGCGAGCGCGCCGAACCAGGTCGAGGGGGAAAAGAGGCGGTTGGGCGGTTTCGCCATGCCTACCGCGAGCAGTGCTGCCAAGTCGATCGCCAGCGGTTCGTCCGAGCCCGGAAGGCTGCCTGGTCCGGCGGGTCTGAAGCGCAGTTCGACGATGATGGGGCAGAGGCGGGTGTCCTCGTTGGCGGGTGTTGGTCAGGAACAAGCAAGGTCCGGACCGACTCAATCGCAATCGAGGGCGACGAGCGTGGCACCTTCCGACTCTCAATTGGTCAGATCAGGGACGATCGGGGGAAACTTACAGAACCTCATCGAGAGCGATGCCGGGACGGGCTGCCTCAAGGGCGTCGTGGCCTATGTCGACGTGAGGACTGCAGAGGGAGATGACGCCGGGACGGTCTTTGCAGAAATGCTCAGGTTTTGCGGTGCCAAGGTCAGTACCTCTTCCCCCCTAGGGCTGACTCAAGATTGAGCTCATCCTCACCATCTTGCCCACCTAGGTACTTGCTAAACCTACCGAATCGTGTACACACATCGTTTACAAGTCGGGAAAAACGTCTACGGTAGCCTGGTACCGCCGTCAAGAAGATCCGAAACCGTATCTCGTTGGAATCAGCTGGGTTACGCGATGTAAAGAGGCTGGGAAGCGAATTGATGAAGAAGCGTACGAGATCAACCTCGAGGAGATTGAGTCCTTCAAAAAGGTAAGACGATGGGGCGTATCATCCCGGGAACGGCCAGCTGATATGAACTTTATGCCGTGCATCGGCAGAGACGACGTTCGATGGAACCTAAACAACTTCGCGCGCTCATTGCCGCCGGTAACGGACAAGAACCCGAGCAAGCTCGTGAGTGGAGATGACCTGTTTGAAGCGTATCGCTTGGAGCTCCGCTAATCAACTCAACTCCACGTAGCCATGGCTCAGCTGCGACGCTTATCAGGCCAATAGACAAACCGGCTTGATGCCTCTCGCGGACGGAATCACAATTTGCATATTCCCCATCATGTTGAAACGAACGAGCACAGTTGAAGCCTCGATTACCCTAATGCCTATCTAACGAAACATAAAGCTGTACAAATCTCCTTGAAGTCTTGATATATCATTCTAGTGGTGGAACTGTTACATAGCGAGATGTAAGATGTTAGTCGCCAGCTTGATGCCCTAGGAGTGAGCTGTGGCAAACTCACCAAACGGAGGTCGGTGTGGGCAAAGACGATGCCATAGTTGTCGGCGGTCTTGATGCACTCGGCGTCCATGATGGAACCGCCGGGAGCGGCCAAGAACTGGACACCACTCTTGCGGACTCGGTGGACGTTGTCGGGGAAGGGGAAGAAGGCGTCCGACGAACATGCGACACCGGTCAACTCCTTCATGTGAGCCTCCTTTTCCTCCTTGGTGAGCGGAGCAGGGACCTCGTCGAACAAGCTCTCCCACTGCGACCTCTCGCTGGGGTCGGCCTCGAAGACGTTGCCAGTGACAAAGAGGTCGATAGCGTTGGCCTTGTCGGCACGCTTGGTTCCCTTCTTGAAGGGAAGCGAGAGGACACGCGGGTGGTGTCGCAGCCACCAGTTGTCGGCCTTCTCACCGGCCAATCGGGTGCAGTGGATTCGGGACTGCTGACCGGCTCCGAGACCGATGACAGCTCCGTTCAGAGCGTAACAGACCGAGTTGGACTGGGTGTACTTGAGGGCCAAGGTGGCCACAGTCAAGTCGGTAATGGCCTGCTTGGTGAGCTTGAAATTTGGAAATCGCACGATAACAAATTAGCCTGCTTGTCTCTTGCAAACTCGCTACGTAGTCACCGACATACCTCCTTGTTGGTGGTGACAACGTTCTTGAACAAGGTCTCGTCGATCTTGCAGTCGTTCCTCTTTTGTTGGAGCGAGATACCGTAGACCTGCCGGGTCTCAATTTCGGGCGGAACGTAGTCGGCGTCCATCTGCAAGACACAGTACTTGCCGCCCTTCTTCTTCTGGAGAATCTCCAAGGCCTCAGGTTCATAGCCGGGAGCAATGACACCGTCAGAGACTTCTCGCGAGATGATCTTGGCGGTAGGAGTGTCGACGGTGTGGGACAAGGCGATGAAGTCTCCGAAAGACGACATTCGGTCGGCACCTACGAGTGGAAAGGGCGTTGGCCATCAATATGGTTGAAGGTGCACCTTAATTACCAGAGATACTGACCTCGAGCTCGAGCGTAAGCGCTGGCCAAGGGAGATAGCTCCTTCAAATCATCCACGCCGAACACCTTCTTTTCTCGGTCATCCAAGGGAATAGCAACAGCGGCTCCAGCAGGGGAGACATGCTTGAAGGAAGCAGCAGCGGGGAGAGCGGGTTCGAAAGCGGCAGCGAGCTCCTTGACCAGAGCCCAAGAGTTGAGAGCATCGAGGAGGTTGATGTAACCGGGGGATCCAGATAGAACTGGACGATGCGGGTCGGTAAGATTTAGTATGGAGCGGCAAGGAAAGTTCGGCGGCGGTGCTCACTCTTGATGGGCATTTCACCCTGCTCAACAAAGGCCTGGGCAGGCTTCTGATGAGGATTGGCACCGTATCGAAGAGGAACACGCTGATAAGCGACACCAGCTCCAGCCTTGGAGTCGGCAGCCGAGTCGGTGCTCGAGTACATCTTCCTGAAATAGTCGGCGATGGCCTCGTCGTACGCCTTGGTGCTCTCGAAAGCCTTGATTGCCAAACCTCGCTTCGTCTCGTCCGAGACCTTGCCGCTCTCCTTCCATTCCTGAAGGATGACATTGTAGTCGGAAGGAGACGAGATGATGGAAACGCGGGCGTGGTTCTTGGCGGCAGCCCTCAGTAGGGTGACACCACCGATGTCAATCTCCTCGATGGCGCCAGCCAGAGTGCAGTCGGGCTTTTGAGTTTGCAAGACGAAAGGGTAGAGGTTGCAGACTACCAGGGTGATCGGAGAAATCTGGTTGGTGGCCAAATCGGCAAGGTCAGATTCAATTTCTCGCGAAAGAATACCTGTAAAGCTCGAAATCCTATCAGACACACGTTCAGCTGCAAGCATTTAGTACATGCGACCCACCTCCGTGAACTGCCGGGTGAAGAGTCTTGACTCGTCCTCCAAGCATTTCGGGGGCCTTGGTGATCGAAGAAACATCCCTGTAACCAAGATTGCCTGACTGATATCAGCGATCGTTCGTATCAAGCATCCAAGCTGCAAGTCAAAACGTACTCGATCTCCATGCCAGCTTCTCGAATCTGCTTGGCGGTACCACCGGATCCCAAAAGTCGAAAACCGAGTTCTTTCAATCCCTTGGCAAAGGGAAGGAGACCAGTCTTGTCGTAAACGGACAATAGAGCTGGATGCAAGGTGATGCAGTCAGGATGTCACTCCTGGCAGGTGCAAGTCGTGGACCGCTGTGGAGCGTACCGATAGGAGCTTCCGACATTTTGATTTCAGTTTGGTTTCCTTTTGATTTGGTGTAGGATCACTATGAACACTCTCGTGTGTATGATAATTGATCCATCGAGGTCGACGACCAGTCGATATAATTGCTAAAGCTAGAGATGAAAAGTAGTCATTTTGTGGAAGCAGCAGCAGCGACCGCTAGTCCTCGACGAGAGCTGCTCGGAGGGAAAAATCTGATTACGTAAGATTTCCATCATGATCCCCCCGACCCGAAAGCCGAGGGGTAACGGGATCGGAGCAATCGGAGTGTTTCAGGGTGCTTTGGCACAAAGATCTTTTCATCTCTCATGTGGATCGACTCATCCAAGCTCGTACATCAGGCTGAAGTCTGGAAAAGACCATCAGAACGACCCGTGAACTCGTCATGAGATTATGACCCTCCCCAGCGACGATCTCGACTTGGCAATGCTTCATCTCTTGTTCCATCCAGCGTACGCCTCTCTCGCCGATCTTGTCATCCTTGTCTCCTAACCAGACTCGACAGGGATGCTCGATATGGCTGTACGAGAAGCCCCAATCCTTGCTGTCCCTGCCCAATATCGACATCAGGTCGGCGCTTCCCCCTTGCAGCGCCTCGGCGTGAGACGCTTGGAGGATCGCTGTGGCCAGTGAAGTCTCGCCCGCGAGCGGTACCACGCTCGACGCGGCAGACAGGGTGCTCTGTGCTCGAGAACTCGGGCGTTCCAGGTCGATGGACGGCAGACTAGTCGTACGTGCCGGAACAATCCTCTTGACGCGACTCGAGCGCACGCCAGATCGGGACGACAACTCGACATCCGCTGTTGTTTCTATACTCGTGGCGGAAGCGTTGCTAGGAGCAAGTCGAAGGAGCTTGCTTGATTGGTTGGTTCCGACGCGCAGTCGCTCTATCGTATCGTCACCGTTCGGTTTGACGCTTTGGGAAAGCCTTCGGGCAAGCCTCCCTGCCGAACTCTTTGGTCGTACTAAAGGTGATACTGGCGGTCTGCTCGTCGTGTCGCCTGTGGGGTCGCCTTTACTACCAACGCCGAGGTCGACTCGCGATGATGAACAGCCTCGACTAGCCCAGTCCCCGGTATATACCTGAGGCAAACCAGGGGATACTTGCGGTCGACCTAGTCTTCCCACAAAGTATCCCGATGCTGTGCCCATCACGGACCGAGCAGATTGAGGTGGGGTGTATCCGATACCTTCAGAAGGTGAAGCAGGCAAGCTACCCAGTCTCCATCCGTGAAACTTCCACTCGGTCGCCTGAGCCGTCTTGATGACGCTGGATGGCACGTACTTCAGCCACTTGTAACCTGAAGTGCTGAAAAGTCAGCTCGACGTCTGAGACCACATTAGTTCAATGCGCTCACCTCCATCGACGTCGATGTTGACCCAAGGCGCTAGCAAATGGATGGTTCCGCTGACGCGATCCTTCATCTTAAGCGCGGTCGCCAGGGCATAGGGAACACCAGCGGAATGAGCCATCAAACCGAATGTAGGGACTTCCATCTGGTCCATGACCTCTTTGACAACGTCGGCCCACTCAAGCAAACCTCTTTGTTCCGATGCTACCTCTTGACTCTTGCCGAGACCCCAGCGATCTATACATATCAACCGAATGTTGTCCCCTCGAGCCACCTCGTCGTACAGGGCGATCAGATAGCGTACGCATCCGAGACCTAGGAACACAAGCACAGGATAGCCTTCCGGATCCCCGGCTTCGGCGACCGATAGCACCTGTCCAGCTTGGCCTGGTCGTTTCAGGGTGACGATCCGGTTCAACCGGCGAGATTTGAGATATCTCGAAATCGCACGGTCTGGATCAGCGTCGTTGTCGAGCCTTCGCTTGAGGCTTTCCCACGAATTAGAAGATGCCAGAGACACCCTGGTGTCTGAGCTCGCTGTAGCTGCATAGTACGCCTGGGCTTGCGGCGGCATGGGAGGACCGGAATTATTCGAGGATACAGTGCTTCCCGAATTCACGGAAGGATCGTTCGATTCCAATCTTTGAAGCATAAGATCGCGCGTCAAAAGCACGTTGTCTAGCGTATCGTTCCCTTGAGCCTCTTGGCAGATCGGTAAATTATCTACCGCTTTCCTGCTCAAGCCAAAAACTTCTGGCGAATCGTAAGCATGTCGCCGAACGATATCGTCGATGCTTTTCGGCTCGGCTTGCGGTTTGGAAGCCGACCGGATGGGGACCACCTTGCCCCTACTCAGTTCGGCAGCGATCGAATGTAGGTCACGACTGCTTGTGCGTCGCGGATTCGTTCCCTTGGCGATACCTTGACCGGAATTCTTTGCGTCAAAGGCAGGATTGGCTGCTGGTGGGCGGATGTTGCCTCGACTTTGGACTCGTTTAGGCTTGAATCTTTCTATCATCTGGTCCATGTCATCGGTAGATAGGCCTGGGGTTACGTACTTTGCGTCAGCTATGAGGCACGTCACACCGCACATCAACCTGGTCTAGCTCACCAGGCATATCCCTTTCGACGTCGGAGCGAGATTCTCGGTCATCCTCTCTGATCTCCTGAGCGATGTCGAGCGGTCCCTCTCTCGAGCCTGACTTGCGAAGAGATCGCCCTGGCTCTGCTTTGAGGCCCTTCCGCTTCCTCCTCGGGATGACGTTTTCGACCGGCATCGGCCGACTGAGATCCTGTGCTCCGGAAATGCCAGCATCCTTTGAAGGCAGGTCAAGCTGACAATCGGCCTTTACAGCGACTGGTGAATCCTTCATTACCAGAATCGGCAAGTCCGACCCGTTTCCGATTTCATTGAACAGCCCCGTCTGCGGTGTGGTAGCTAGGCTAGGCGATACCGATGCTATGGGCGAGTTCAACGCCGACGACCGGGCTCTCAGCAGCTTGCCGTTACGACGAAGCGAGGACATGCCTGACAAGTCGTGCGGTGTTGAAGGGATGTGGGTTTGGGCCGAGGTCGGAGTAGTATCACCGTCCGAAATAGGAGGTAAAGGACTCTTCGGAGGGCCAGCAATGCGAGATTGCCATGGGATAGCTGATCGAGTCGGCGTCTTCCGACCGTCTGTGTCGTCCAGCGTATTGTTTCCATAGAACGCTGCGCTCGACTGAGGCCTGCCTGCCGTTCCACCTTGATCCCCGGATCGTGCTCGAGAGTTATTCGTAAAGACCCACAGGTTCGAGAGGGGCCTTCTTTTACCTTTCCGGTTGGACGAAAAGGAGGGAAAGATGCTGGAGACGGACGACCTGATCGAGGCCGTGTCATCTTGGTCTTTCGCTGATTGATCTGGCATACCGTATGATGTGTTTGGCTCGATGCTAGCTGTTGCTTTATATCATGCATCCAATGGAGCCATATGCTACTGTTGACATCTGTCCTTTCGTAACCGACCGGGGTCCGTACCAAGTTGCAAAGAATGGGTCGAACGGTACAGAAGATGTTTGGGGTGCTATCTGATGGAGCAGATCCGAGGATGCGGATTGGGTCAATGCTAGATCGATAGAGTTGTAATCGAGTTTGTACAGTTGCAGGTTGCAAGTTGCAAGTTGGGAGTACAGTTGGTCGTTGTCGAAATGTTGATGTACCGATGACTTGTATCACGATCCGGATCGATGGCGGGACGACATGAGGCAGCGTCGTGGGAGGGGGTTGGTCGCTGTCGCCATGCGATCGAATTCGCCCCTCTAGCCGAAAGTGGGGAAGGGGGGTGGGTCCGTGTCACTTCTCCCTTGTACCCAACCCGATTCGGTTTCGCATGTGTGGAGCCAAGATGAGCTGGATCGATCGATGATCCACTTGCCCGTCCCCTTCTAGAGACGCACGCGGGGGTCCCGTCCTTTGATCATTCCATCACTTTCAAAGGATTTCCATCAGACCCGCCTGTCGGCCTGTCGAGAAAGATAACCTTCTGCCGGTCTCCCAGACCGCAAACCCTCTCCTTCCTCCCTTTCCCGCTCCACCCGAGGCAAACGATTGATGGGATCAAAGCTCGCGATCTCTATTGTTCTTTTGTGAAACGCCAAAAGCCCCGCTCGTATTTCCACCCAAAACAAACATGCTTGCTTGCTTACGTCAGCTGGGAAGTAGGACGTACGCAGCAATGCCCGAACACGGGACGATACTAGGCTTCTCAAATCGGTACGACGACTCGATCATATTCACAGAGCCCGAGATACCCGATAAATAAGCATCCCTCCACTTCCAATCGATCATGTCCACCTTGTTCTCGACTCAGGCTCCCGCCGAATCTTCGTGGCAGGCGGTCTATCGAGCCCGGCTGGAACAACGCCAGACCGCCGACAGCGTCCATGCCGACATCATTCAGGCTTGTGAGTGTGATGCCTTTGAGAAGAGAACCGTAATGACTCGCTTACGAGTTCCGGCTGACATGTTCCTGCCTCTTCTGCATTAGACCGAAGCTTGGCGATCTGTCTCAAGGATTCGAGGGAGCGCAACGCAGCGTGGTTGAGATCGACTTCGGAGGGAGCCGGCGGTATCGCACCGCAAGACAGGTGAGAGGTGGGGCGCGTTCAATTCCGGATGTCGATAGTATACGATGTTGATCCTCGACCTCTTCCGCCCTGAAACAGTGCTGGGGCCAGAAGCTACATCGTTACGCTCGAAAGGCAACTATCGCATCTACGAGCCGAACTCTCGGACGCTTACCGCTCCAGATCGGCCTCGCAAGACAAGCAGCTTCGGCTGACCGATACTCTACGAGAAAGGGACGACGAGATCCGGGCTCTCAAGGATGAGATGAGGTCAATGAAGGAGAGGAACGAGAGGATGAGCAAACGCGAGCGTGAGCACGAGGAAAAGTGGAAGGTCAAGGAGGTTGACGTTCAGGTGAGCGAGACATGCCGGACCTGCCCGTACTTTGGCCTGTCTGATCCCGTTGACCCTTGATCACCTCGGGAGAACAGCATCTGCACGACGAGATCCTTTCACTCCACCTCGAGCTCGACCAACTTTCGCAACGAAACTCGGCACTACAGGCAGACAACGCTAGTCTCTTGCAACGCTGGCTGGACAAGATGAACGAGCGCGTGGACAAGATGAATGCGGATTTCGAGAGCGAGAGCAGTAAAGATCAGGACAAGAACACGTCGGGGGGCGCGACCTTGGAGGGATAGGTTCGCTTGATAGGCGTCGCCTACGGGTCAGGTCTTCTTATTACTGAACGGGCTGACACGTGCCGCCGTCGTGTACATCATCATGTCAAGTACAAAGCTCAGGAGAAAAGTCGGCTGGTCCGCCTCGAGCCTGTCAAGTAATCTAATCGTCCTTGTCCTCGTCCACCATCCAGCCGCATCAGTCGAACACCATTTCATCTTCTTCTTCCCCGTCTTGATCTCGGCTCCGCACGTCCATCCCACCAATCCCCTCCGCCACGGCGGTCTCGCCATCGTTACCCATCAGTCCCGTTCCGACGCCTTGGCCGTTCCGTTTGCTCATCAACAACATTCCCAAGCCGCCCATCCCGATCGTCGGCCGATAGCCCATGGCCATGCCAGGCGGCATACCGATCGGACCTCCGTTCGTGCCGGCGGCAGCCATGCTCGCCAAGGGCGAAGATGTGACGGGAGACACCGTCCGCATCGCTTGTATCTGGCTAGTTGCAGCGGGCGAGCCTCCTCGAGATCTAGCGAAACTGATTGAGCGACTCGTGGCATGGGGTGTGAAGTCCATTGGATCCGAATAGACGTGATGCCCTGTAGGCGACATTGGAGTAGGACCGGGGGGCAAGGTTCCTGTCCAATGCGATGGCGATTGGTCGCCAGGTCGATACCGCTTGTTGTACGGCTCGAAACGAGCATCGTCAAATGCAGCTGATCACACCAGTAGTTGATAGGTCAGAATCAACTCTGTGACGTTCGCTCTGCCTTCGTTCTCACCTTTTCTTTTGTTCGTCCTACCACTAGCGGCCGGGCTTTCCCGCCAAGCTGTTGCGTTGCTCTTGGAACCGCTGGCTACATCCATGCCACTGCCGCTGGCCTGCCAGAATGGAGTAACGGAATCGACCATAAGCATCGCATTACCATCATGGCCGGCACATATGGCTTACGTCACTCCCCCTAGCACTGCCTTGACTAGCTCTCATATCGTGGCGGTCATCCGCCAACATCCCTGGGGTATGTCCAAAATCGCCGACTCCGACACAAGTAGCGGTTTGGCTTGTACGACTTTGAGCGCTTCGCCCAGACGCCCCATAATGCCTCGAAGCCCGCATACCATTAGCGGGGGCGAAGGCGAAGGGCGACGAGTGATGTGCCGACATTTCTACGTCCATCCCTCCTGTCGCCATATCTTCTCCAGTGACCAAATCATCTACGGCAAAAGGTCCCTCGTCGCTGCTGTTGTCATCTTCCTGCTCGTCATTACTGTCGTCTGATTCTGCTTCTGGCAGACTGTTTAAAAGTCTGCCCCGACGAGATGGCCTCGGTGTCATTGGTAGCGACTCCGAATTGGACAGAATCAACCTCTGGAGCAAGGCTTCCGAGCGAATCTCTTGCATAGGCAAGTTGGCTTCTGCAGCCAAAGTTTTACGTAGATTTGCAGGAAGCAATCTCGGCTGAGCAGCATCCATCATACTGCTTCTCCTCCGTCCACCGTTAAGGTATCCGCCGCTCATACTACGCTCCCGGCCGGTATTACCCTCATCGCTACCCCCACCGGCTTCCATGCCATCGCCGCTGTCGCGATGGCCAGACAACCTTTTGCCTCCGAATGAATATCCAAAGCTCTTTGGTGGCGTTCGTGCTATTCGGTCGAGATTGTTATGTCCAGCCTGGGTATCTTGAGTCATGCTCCCAGGACTGAAGCCGTCCTGACCCTGTGCCCGATACGCTCCCGTTATATCCGATGAGTCTCGGACCGCCGAGTGCTCACTCGAGACCCGGCGTAGTGCCATCGAGAATCGTGAGGACGAGGAGGGAGCACTGAGCCCAACATTGTAACCGCCTGGATTGTCAAGTTGAGGAGATTTGGGATCAGGTATTGAGGCAAACGATGACTGGCTTCGACGCAAATGAGGTGGCAGGTCGAGATTACTGCGCCACTGCTCGACGTCCGTATTGGCTGAGTCCAATCCACTCGGCAGAGTCCTGCCTGTGCCGGTCGAGACATCTTCAGACTCCATGTCATCACCTGCCCAGGCCTGACTCAGTCCAGACGGCCGGTTCATACGAAACTGAGGGTCCCCAAGAAGAGTCGACGTCGGAAGGACACCGTGGGCGAATTGATTTCCAGAGGAACTATTCGCCGAGGTGTCAGGCGTCATGGCAGCGTTGCTACCCAAGCCATACAGGCCATAACCATTCGAGCCAGAAAAGGACCATGGACTGGATTGTCGTGTGTTGTTCGGATTTCCGGGTGTATATACCTTGGTCATGCTGGATGTGGCAGATGGACTAGCAGAGAGTCCGAAGGCGTCGTGCGAAGAAGGGAACGAAGTCGAAGCATTCGAAGTGGACCGAGGCCGGTTGATGTTGGAACCTGCTGCGGCAGGCTCTGGATGGCTAGTCATGTGTCGTTCAGTGGTTCGTGTCGCAAGATCTCCGCCATAATGATCGCCGCTGATCTGATGCCCGGACTGCACGAAGGGAGACACAGAAGATCCGGAGATGTTCATACTCGAGCTGACGAGCTGCGTATAGTTTGAACCGGACCCATGAGTTGACCCCTTGTAAGCCAGCTGCCTATAGTGGTGAGAGAGCGGATCGAGGTGATAACGAAATGCGGCTGGGCTACGTGGATCGGTTGGTTAGCCGATGCTCTGGCATCCTTGTTCTAGGAAAGCTATTGGCAAGGTTTCGTCAGATCACAAGGTGCAAGGTGATCATTTGTTCCTACACATCTCTACACGTACGCACGCAGTGACCAGCATGGCTGACCTCTTGTCGTTGTGGGATGGGATGTCGGGGATCGGGGGGAAGCTCGTGTTTCCGTGATTACGTCATCAGGAATGGTAGCGTAGTGTCGTGTATGATTGTGTACAAACGTGAAACCCGGGATCATGTAGAATTACGTTCCAGTCATTTTGATGAGGATCGTCAGACCAGCCTTGTCAGCCAGATCCAGGTCAAGCCTATTCCTTCTTTTGCCAGCGTATCGCAGTGAATTCCTTCTTGGATGGTCGCTCCTCGTCAAAGACTGCGGGGAACGCTTGATATCGACTCCGGGATTTCAACAGCTCGAATGACTTTCTTTGAGTCTGCGTGAAATTCTCTACAACATGGATCGATCACACTGACACTTTTTCGAGCAGCGGTCATCGATTGCCGGCCGATGGGAACGGACCAAACTCTCCGCTACATCAGAAGCGCCACATGCGCTATCCCGTATCTCGACAATTCAGCTCTGAAAACAGGTTTTGATGCAGATATGTTGACAACCCGTTCGGTGATTTATCCGATGGAAAACTGTATCATCCCGTTCCTTAAGCAAGAACTTCGCACGGCTCGCCCAAGCCAATAAGATCGATCGATAAAACTCTCAAAGGCGGGAAACGATCTCACGCCGTCACACGGGGCACAAACGTCGAAAATAGGTTGATCGTGTTTCAGAAGCCGTCATCTGGCTTCGTGCGCACCGGTAAGCAATGGGCCAACTTCGTCTTCGAGCTGATAGCGAATCGATCAACGCCGGTCTTGAGAAGAGGGAACAGCTCTACTCGAGTAAGTCTCGAGACCAAACTTTCCTTTACTTATTGAATCACTGTGAGATGAAGCATGGACATTGCGGGTTTTCGATGGTTCATTAACCCTGAGCAAACGTACGTCAGACAGTCTCGATGCCCGGAACTAGTCCACTCGACAGGGTTCTAGATCGACCGATGCGGATTCCGCATCGAGACTTCTGCTTACAATCACGTTTAATAGCTTCGTGCACAAAGCTTTGGGTCAACCGCTGATTTGATATTGTAATCATGCGGATACTACATGTCTTTCTAAAGAAATAACTGGGGTACGACGTGCGTCCCATGGGTGTGTCTAATGGATACAGCGTAATGTGAATGGACGATTGACATGTGGGGACTGGTTATGATGATCGATGATTGTCGTATGCAAAGTCGTGGCAGGCGTGTCGTGTATGATGAGGTTGATGTTGCTCGCAAATGGGGAGTGCATGTTTTGAGGCTGAGCAGGACTGCGTCGTTCATGATGCGCAAAGTTTGGCAAGGCCGCCTGCTCAACATTGGACAAACGAACCTCGACCAATGTGATCATAGGCAGGGTCGTTGTACTGCGCCTGGACACCGTGCAGCTGCGGCGCGGATGATCGACGCGGACCTTGCATGTCGGTCGCCCAGTATGTGTATGGAGCGGTTTGTTGTGGTCGCTGAAAATGATGGCGGGGATGATACTGGTTGCTCATCGGTAGTGGCTGGATTTGCTGACCAGATGATTGGTATTGGCCATGATTGGGTACCCGTGCTTTGCCCACTTTGGTGGCATGGTCGTTTTGTTGTTGATAAAGGTACTCGTCCTCGACAGGTGATGCAGCCACCGTGTAAAAAGTGAGGTCCTACAGCGGGTTGCAAACATGATAAGTCTCGTGCGTGTAGGTATTAGCTCCTCAGGTCTCAGCTCACCTCTTGTCGCGGTTGATAACCCAACCTGTAATCGTAGGGAAGCTGAAGGTACGCCGTCTCCGCGGGACCCTGGTGGCGCGACGGCAAGGCGGATGTGGCCAAGTCATCCGGCATCGAGTAGTTTGTGTGAGTCATAGAGTATGGCGTGTTGATTTGATAAGATGCCATGGAGGGAGGAGGTACGTCCTCGAGAGAACCATTGGCTGGGTAGATCTGGTTGTCGAAATCGGCACCTCGTCTCTGGGTCCTCGCGAACAGGCGCTGCGCCGAGTGACGGCGTTGAGCGTCTTGAGTGCTCTTCATACGCCGAACGGCTCGGTCGGGTGTAGCGGAGCAGACCTGCGCAGCCGACCTCTTCTTCGCTGGAGGCATGACGAGTGGGCTAGAGCTAGAACTAGTCGTAGGCTCGATCTCGATAGCTTTGACGCCTTGCTGGAGCGAAGGCATGTCGGATGATCCGTTTCTAATGATCCGATGACGTGATCTGGGCGAGGTTGACCGGGCGCGGTATTGGGTGGACGGCGGGAATTCGTACGAGGGAGCGGGATAAGTTGACTCGAAGGTAAAGGGGTAATCCGAAGGCGCGATGGGTTGATACACGCTGTGGCGCGCATGAGCGGCCGACATGGCAAGTGTACCCAGGACGTCAAGCCAAGATAAATACGCTTCGTCAGAGATGCCGACGTTGTGGTCGAGTGAAGCGAGAAACTCGATTTCCATGAGCTGTATTTTGCAGTATGACCATGTCACAAGGCGATAGCAGGTGGGATGTTAGATCACTGAATCTGAACGAAGCGATTGTCATGACGGAATGTTCTTACGTTCATCTCATTCAAGGGGATCCCAGTCATGCTCGACCACGTCTTCGAGGTGTACGTGTTGTCATCGAGGTACTTGTTGGCCAACATCATACCGGTCGCACATAAGCGGTATTCACTCCCTCCAGCCGTGACTGCAGCAATGTTTTTCGACCGGAGACGTTCGATATACCAGAGGCTGAGCACGAGGACTGCTTGAGAGACGGCGGTAGCGTTGATGACGTTTTGGACGAAACATTGAAAGGCTAGGGTCGGTCGGCTTCGTGTCGCGGGCTGTTTCGTAGGAGGAGTGAGATAGCCTTGTGGGTAGGATGCTGGTTGCTGGAAGGAAGGATCGTCCCGGAACCACAAAAGGCAGAGGATATCTGGGCGTTGGCAAGAACGATGGACCCGTCAGCTTCAGACAACCGAGTGCACCTCCGTCTGGACCGTGGCCGAACACGAACTTACCCGCATAGTAGTCGACCCAATTGAAGGTGATAGGCGCAGAAAAGTCTGACATGACAGGCAACCCCTGGAACATCGGCGCCTGATATGCCGAGAGGCAGTAATCGGCAGGTGTCCGGGTCAGGGTCGAGGGTGGGCTAGATGAATCCTGGTGCGGATAGTGCTGATAGTTGTAGCCGTCGTCGAACAAAGGACCTTCCCACTCGTATTCGTGATTCATCGTCCAATACGACGGGGACGGCGTAGGTGTAGAGAAGGTGTTTGAAGGAATGTGACTTGTGTTTTGCGGTAGCGAAAGAGAAGAGGTTGCCTTTGAGAATTTGAGTTGTCCAGTCCGTCCGCTAGCCCTTTATATGTGGTGGTCCCCTCCTCTGTCGGGATCGCCCGACGAGTCAAAGGTTTCCCAAAACCAGGGTGGTTTCGGTGGGGTCGGGTGAGAAGCAGCGAGAAGGAAAGGACGGGGCGAACAGGTGCAGGTCGAAGTATGTTTTGATTATTCGTTCGCTTCTGGGCTGTGTCGCCGTGTCGCGGGTCGTTCGATGAGAGGGAAATAAAACAGATCAGACCGACCCGATCGTCATCCGACGACGACGACGACGACGACGACGACTAGGTTCTCGCTTCGACACGAGGGCGCGATTTGCTGGTGGATCTGGCCGAGGTCCGAGCTAGCCAGGGTTATGGTAGAAACTTCGATTCCCTTTAATGCCTCGTGGCGCGTCTGGGTGGATCCCGATCAAATCACAGGGAAGAAACGGGAGGGAAAGCGGGTTCCGCTTGATTGATCTGATCCGCTGATGACGATCCGTGCGCCCGTGCTCGGCTTGGGTCGTCGACAATGGCTTTTGTTTCTCGATCACGCGGAAGCTAGGCGATGGAATGTGTCTCGAGTTCTTTTCTAGATTTTCTAGATCAGTGATCAGTGATCAGTGAGCCGGTGATCAGACCTTTCCGAGATGAAACCGTAAGGGGTCCGAGCCAGGTCACGAGTTTGATACCAGCTATAGCGAGTGTCACCGGATGCAAGATCTTGGTGAGATTGCACCGTAAGCAGCAGTGCTAGCAGTGATCGAGTAGCGGATGACCGGTCTTGCTTCTTGCAACTGAATGTTATGTAGCTAGATCTCCACAGAGATGACAAAGTCCGACTCGACCTTCCCCTTGGCGACGAAGGGAGATCCCTTGATCGTTTCGACGCGAGAGGACGGGGCAGCGAGGAGAGGGAAAAAGCTGACCAAGTCCTTTGAGATGCTCAAAGGGCCAAAGGGGGCGGGGTGAAGATCACGTTTCGTCGATCGTTCCGTGGTCGGTCGTCGTCCTGACTGCCGATCGACACGGAAAGAATCCGCTTATGTCAATGGGTTGGTAGTTCGAAGGATCCTCGCAAGCTATTTGAAACCTCCTTTGGATGCGACAGTAACACAGCAGAACCGGCTGCGAGTCGGTCGGATAGTTGCGATGGAAAGGACACCGCCTCGGACTTGTGAGCGGAGTTTATCGTCAATTGTTTCGTCGCCGTGAGTGAGAGAGTTTAAAATGTCGTTTCGATTGTCGTTGTTGTGAACTCCTACGCTCTATGAAGCATGTACTCTACTGCTGTACTGCTGTCGTGTCGACTTGCGATGACGAGGGGAAAATACAAGCCCTCCTCCTCTACGACCCGACCCATTCGAGGGTGATGACCTTATAGAGAATGGATCCTGCTCCCGACCCGGTAAACATACGCCCACCTACATCGTGGCTGTAGGCGAACGGAGTTCGTGCCGGTCAACTTTGTTGCGGTGGGTCTGAGATCGTCGGATGGATGAAGAGAAGAATGGAGGCAGCTTGGGTTAGTGCCGAGAGGTAGGTAGGAACGACCTTGATCCGGCAAGGGTGCTATGTTCTTGGAAGGGCCGATGCACGGCTTCGATTCACCCTTTTCGATCGTGGTTGTCCCCGCGTCCCCGCGCCATTACCCCGTCGTTTGCTAACGACGATGACAACGGAGGTTGAATGTGTCGCCAGGCGATAGAGATGACTTTAGAGACCAGATCCCATGTTTCGAAAAAGAAGGACAAGGAGGCTGTGGGCGCAAGGCCCCCGAACTTTGTTGGACCAGCAAGAAGCTCGTGCGCAATTCTCGGCGGCAGGGACCCAAAGATGGTGAGACGGGGGCGGGCCAAGGTGGCTGATGAATATGCTGTCGACACGAGGTCCCGCGGGAAGCTCATGGGACCTTTTTTCTTTGTGATCTGGACCAGGCCCGGGAGCGTGATTGCGTGTGATGCAACGGCCGACGTCAACTCGCGCATCAGGATAGCGTGGCCGGTCATGGCGTAGAAGAATCAAAGGGCCGACACAAACACACGGGATCACTGCACGGCGGGTGGATCTTGTCACGATACCGGCGATCGTCCTTGCTCTTTGTTCATTGCGTAGTCCAAAAGGATCGATCATGCAACACGCACCACCACCTCTCGGGGCTGGGAGTACGTGTTCAAATTTGAGTGGACCACGTCGTTGCGATAGCGAGCCGATGGGTGAGAGGGCGAGGGATTCAGACTCACAGCTTCTACCCGCCTAACGATGCGAAACTCATTCAGCTGGAAGACAAATTGTTGCACCTCGTCCGCAAGCGATGCCGAGCCGTTCATGTCTCTGAATGACGAGCGTGTCAGTCGGGGGACAGTGCACAGTGAGACCATCATTGTAGCCAAAACTACGAGACAAGGCATTGGGTGTGAACAAAGAGAACCTTTCGTGGTCTATCATCCGATCATGCGAATGCATGTAGTCCCTGTATTTGTTCCTGTCGCTGGTACACTCCGAGGATCCGCATACTCATGCGATGTATAGACTTTCGTCAGCTTGAACGAGGACGCCTATCTATTGCGCATTGCGTTGCATGCGTTGTCGATTCCAGATTCGAAAGCGAATCTTGGATAGATCGAGGAGCGGTTGGGGCAAGCATGTCGCCGAGGTGCGCGGCAAGGTAGAAGCGCGCGGGGTGCGCTTGACAGTAGCGAGGTGTGTTATGCGGATCCGAGGGAGACGCGTCAAAGGGATGCAAGCACGCAAGCAGACACCGGCGTAGCTCGTAGCTCGTAGACTACCTCTCTCGCAGCTCGTCGCCAGTAGATTATCGTTTAACACGACTGCTTCTCGTAAAGTCAAAAGACGGCGAGTTGCGAGACGGCAAGACAAGGGGATAGGCATCCTGAACGGTTTCGTTATTCTCGACTCTCGACGATCAAGCCGCACTGTCGCGTGTCCCATATCAATCGCATTCCACCCACCCCACGGATCCATATCCTCGTTGGATCACCAGCTACACTCGAGCGACTGACTACTCGCTACTCGAGGATCAACTTCGGCGGACGGCGGGACGCGATTGACACAAAGTCAACAAGCTACAAGCTACAAGACGTCATTTGACCCTTGACCTTGTGCAAGGAATAAGGATCAAACGGTTTCCATCCCCCAGTGATCAAGATCCCCTGTACACCTGCATCCCAACAAGATAGTCGACGTCCACCTGAAATGGACAATTTTGGATCGAGTATGACCGTCGATAGTCAAGACGGCGGCCAACAGTCCGGCTTGCGGCTGCCTGCTGCCCACAGGGTCGCTTTCAGTCCTCAGGCAGAGCAACAGATCATTCGAGCCATGGACAAGAACAAGTTCAACACCATCTTGATCGTGTGTATCTTGCTTCGCTTCGTAGTGATACCGACGCTGAGTCTTCCGTTGCCTGTCATGTAGAAAGCGCAACAGTTGAAAAAGGCTGGATGGACGGAAGAGACGAGTACAGACCTGCAAAGTCTCATGGACGTCCTGAGGCTGGTCTCGTAAGTGCATGCCGTCTTGATTTCCAACGCCAATCGCTCAGGAATCATCGTCTCTTGTCCCGCCTTGTCCTTGAAACAGAGCTCACGGTCCCGGAGGTGCACAACGGCCACCAAGTAACGGTCAACACGCCGTGTCCTCGGCTCCCTCTGCTGGTCCTGCTGCCGGCCCAAGTCATATGAACATGACCCCGGCTCAACTATCGCAACTCCGTACGCAAGTTCACGCCTTCAAAAACCTGGGACGCAACGTACCCCTGCCCGAGCACGTACAGCAAGCGGTCATGGGTGAAAGTCCGCTGGCTGGCCCAGCGGACCCGCATGCTCAAGCGATCGACAAGACGGTCGAGGCAATGATGGAGATGGACAAGGCTAGGACGTTAGCGAGCGCAGCTTCTTCGTCGGTTCAATCCAGGGAACGTCCCTATGCGGGAGAGTACGACGAGGACTCCGTCATCTATCCGTACAATACTCTTTCGAGCGACCCCGTGCTCTACTTGGATCGTCCGACCTCGGACGTGCCATTCTCCATGTCCAAGTTTCAACGTCTCTTGGTACCAGCTCTCATGCCGAGGGGAATTGATCCCTACCTGATCCAGGAAGAACACGAACGTTATCTGCAAGGTCGCATGAATTGGCGGCAGAGAGAGCTGGAACAAACACTCGTACCAGGTGGATCGCTGAACGGTGCCAAGCCTGTACCCAACCTGACAGCTCAAGCCAATGGAAGACCCCTAGGTGGCGAACAGAAGTCCCCGGCTTCAATCAGGCTCGCCATCGAATTGCGCGGTTTGCGGCTGAGGGACAAGCAGAAGCTATTGCGGGAAGACATGTTGCGGGACATCAATGCGGCGACTCGTTTGCCCAGCGAAAGGACAGACTTTAGGAGGATGCGGACGTTCACGCTTCGAAGCGCCAAAGAGACGGAAGATGCAGAAAAGCGACAGCGTCTCGAGCGTGAAAGGTTGAGCAAGGACAAACATCTGCAATATGTGCGTGGGATATGCGATCACGGCATTTCACTCGTCGAGACCGCACGCCGAAGCAGCGAGAAGAGCAAACGCCTCGGTCTGGCCGTGCTGAGGATGCACAAGGATATTGAGAAGGAAGAGCAGAGGCGATTGGAAAAGCTTGCCAAAGAACGTCTCAAGGCATTGAAGAACGACGATGAAGATAGCTACCGAGCTTTGATCGACCAAGCCAAGGACACTCGTATCACCCATTTGCTTAAACGGACTGACGCTTATCTCGATTCGCTCGCGAATCAAGTAAAGCTACAGCAGGAGGATGTCAAGCACGGTGGTCAGCCAGGCAACAGGAATGCTAACTTGCCGATCGACGGTGGAGCTGAAGCCACCAAGGGAGACTATCTTGCGATGACCCATCTGATCAAAGAATCGGTCACGAAACAGGCCGATCTGCTGGTCGGCGGTACGCTCAAGGGCTATCAGATTCAAGGTCTTGAGTGGATGGTCAGCTTGTACAACAACAAGCTGAACGGGATTCTCGCAGACGAGATGGTACGTTGGTTTGCTCGCACGTCCATTGTGAGGTCCCAAAATGCTTAGAAGTTCTGTTGCTATACAGGGTCTCGGAAAGACCATTCAAACGATCTCTTTGATTACCTATCTTATCGAGAAAAAGCAGGAAAATGGCCCATATCTGGTCCTGGTACCACTTTCGACGCTGACAAACTGGACCTCGGAATTTAAGCTATGGGCTCCAGGCGTGAAGGTTCTTATTCTCAAGGGAGACAAGAACAGTCGAAAGGCTCTTGCAGATCAGGTCAAGCGCGTGGATTTCCAGGTCCTTCTCACGACCTACGAATACGTCATCAAGGAAGCCAACGCGCTTGGTAGAATCCGATGGCATCATATGATCATCGACGAGGGCCATCGTATGAAGAATGCTCAAAGCAAACTGGCGAAGACGTTGAACGAGAAATATTCCACCAAGTTCCGAATTATTCTTACGGGAACCCCACTACAGGTGAGATGGGTGATATGCGCTTTTAGAGCTCGATACTAATCCTTGTTCATTGCCAGAACAATATTCCCGAACTGTGGGCGTTGCTCAATTTCGTACTCCCCAAAGTATTCAATTCTGCGAAGTCGTTTGACGAATGGTTCAATGCGCCTTTCGCTGGGACCGGGTCAGAAACTGCTGAAATGACGGAAGAAGAGAAACTCCTCGTCGTCAAGGGTCTTCACAAGGTCCTTAGACCGTTCTTGCTTCGTCGCTTGAAGAAAGACGTAGAGTCAGAACTTCCGGACAAGACGGAAAAGATCATCAAGATCAAAATGAGCAGCCTCCAGACGGTACTCTACAGGCACATGAAGGAATTCGGCAAATTGATTCGAGATGGCGGAAACACGCAGTGAGTTGTATGTGGGCATGTCGAGCATGATCTATTGAACTTACGATCATCCTATCTCAGGAACGGAAAGGCATCTGCACTGCAGAACATGGTGATTCAATTGCGAAAAATCTGTCAGCATCCGTTCGCGAATCAGTCTACGGAAGCGGATATCGATCCCGTTGCCTTCGCTGGCGGAGGCGCATCCGACAAGGTCTGGCGATGCTCTGGAAAGTTCGAGTTGTTAGATCGAGTCTTGCCCAAGCTTTTCAAAACCAACCACAAAGTAAGTTTGTCCTGTAGCGATCCCTGACAGGCACGCTGACCCGTGTTGTTGTTGTCAGGTGCTGATTTTCTTTCAATGGACGACCGTGATGGACATCATGGAAGATTTTCTTCACTATCGCGACATCAAATTTTGTCGGCTCGACGGTCACACCAAGGCAGAAGTCCGACAAGAATTGCTGTCCACATTCAACAACCCTGATTCCCCCTACAAGATTTTCCTCCTGTCGACTCGAGCTGGTGGTCTCGGTCTGAATTTGCAATCTTCGGACACGGTTATCATGTGGGTGCACAGCTACGCTGAGAGCACGCCTCAGTGAACACAACAGCTGACAGAGCGAACATGCTACATAGCTTCGATTCAGATTACAACCCTCACGCCGATTTGCAAGCGCAAGATAGGCAAGTTTCTTGCCATTTATTTGCCTCTTGACCAAGTCTTACCATTTCCTGTCTCAGAGCGCATCGTATCGGTCAAAAGAAGGAGGTCCGTGTCTTCCGTCTTGTTACCTCTGGTACCGTGGAGGAGGGGATCATCGAAGTCGCCAAGCGCAAGCTCGCATTGGATGGGCAAATTATCCAGGCTGGTAAATTTGATGGGCACACCACCGCAGAGGAACGGGAGAGCTTTTTGGTGAGTGTGGAACTGACTCCTATGGCAATAGCCCATGCTAAGTCCTCTCGCTTGAATATCCTTAGCGGTCGCTGCTGGAGCGGGAGAATGAAGAGGATGAAGAGGATGCCGAGCCTGATGAAGATACTCTCAACGACATCTTGGCCAGAGGGGATGAAGAACGTGTCCTCTTTGCCCAAATGGACGAGGAGCGCAAGGCTGCAGAAAGAGCTGCTGGTGCCCTGCCCCGCTTGATCCAAATGAACGAACTACCTGAGCCTTATACCCGCAAATACGAGGCTGTGGACGAAGCTAAACTGCAACGCGAAGCCGATCTTGTTGCTGGTCGTGGGCAGAGAAAAAAGATTTCCATCAACTACAATGACGAGTTCAACGACGCCGACCTATTTGGCGCAGATAATTCGGATGACGATGACGAAGGTGAAACGGTGGAAGAACGGAAAGCCAAACGTAGGCGAGGTGCGGCGAGGTCCATCCGAGAAGGCGACTCTGCGTCCGGCACTCCACAGCCACAACGGAAGGGACGTGGTGCGAAACGCAACCTCGGCTTTACCGATGCGGAAGATGCAGCCTCCACTATCAGCGACGATCAGCCGCGCAAGCGTAGACGTCAAGCGTCTATCGGCGCTTCTGAGGACGGCGTGAGTGCAGACTCGTGGCTTGTTACGTCGTACGTAGCTAACATGCCACCTTTAACAGAATGATCCTGCAGTGGCTAAGCTTTACAAGGCGATCCAGAGCAGCATCGTACAGCAAATTCTTACTCACCCTGGCGCAGCGGTCTTTCAGGACCGAGTTCACAAAGTGAGGCATATTATCTAAATCTGGCATATGGGGGTGATGCTGACTGAATCGGCTTCTGGCGCTACTTCAGGACACCCCGCTCTACTACGAGATGATCAAGACACCCATGTGGCTAAAGAAAGTCCAAACCAACATTTCTCGTGGGGTCTACAAAATGATGGACACTTTCGAGCGGGATATGATGCAAATCTGGGCAAATGCTAGGATCTACAACGTTGACGGGTCGGAGATCTTCGAGCTGGCGAACGAATTGGAAGCTTTGTTCCAGCAGATATACAAAGAGAAGCTAAACGAGCTCGACAACAAGAGCGCCAATGTGTCCGCCGCCGAGGGTACTCCTGGAGCGCCTCAACCTCCTGGGCCCAAGCTCAAGCTCAAGCTGAACACAGGCGCCGGCCGTAATACCGGCAGAAACGGTATTAGCAGCCGTGCTGGCACCAAGAAATCGTACGGAGCCAGCGAAGATGACGAAGAAGAGGAAGAAGACGCTCGCATGTCTGATAGCGACGATTAGAATCGTTTCCCTAGCGACCCTGTACTCAATCCCGGAGACTTTTGGTTCATCGTTACGAGTTCATATTTACGAATTTCACTTGGGTTGTAATGGAAGTCTATACAATTCCTCCTTCCTTGAGCTTCTGCACGAGTTCATCAACGTTTTCAACCTGCATCATCAAGAATGTCAGCCAACTTGCGCTTCGATGTTCAACCAGTATTGAAGGTAAAGCCAGCTCACTTTGCCTCCACCGACCCTCTTAGGCGGTTCGGAAACGCTCAAAACACTCATACGGGGCGACTGCGCGACGGCGAAGCTCAATACCCTATCACGACAGTAGCCAACTCTCCTGTGTACTCACCAGATCGATCCCGAGATCTTCCGGCTTGAGCGATTCGATCTTCTTCTTTTTGGCTTTCATGATATTGGGCTGATGTGGAAGGGTTGAATTTGTTTAGCCTCTGCATTGTTCTTGGTGCAGGAATCGGCAACGTGACTGACCAATGATGCGTAACGAGGCTCTGAAAGAGGCAAGGCACTCGATCAGCACCGAGTACAAGCCGGTATGTCATGGGAGAAACTCACCGTTCAGTCTAAATGCCAACGAACCGACACGGTCAAAGGCGAGGATAAGCTGCTGGTGCACAAGGACAAACTCTACGCCAAGACCTACCGGAGATCGGTAGTCACAACGATCGGCAACTTGCTCTCGATGCGGGACAGGCCGCCGTCGATTTCCCGGGTAACTTCGACCTTACCAGAAGCCTTGTCGACGTCAAGCTTGCTGGCGAAAGTGCCTTGACCCCATCCCAGCATGCCTGCAAGCATTCCACCAGTACTTCCGGAGTCATCGTCTATGGCTTGTTTGCCCATGATCACGAGGTCGATCGCCTTGTCGGCGCCTGCAGCCTTCGATCGGTCTATGACGGCTTTGATGGCCGCTGCCACGTTTACCGGTTCAGGGTTCGACGAAGGCGATGGAGCTTCCGGTGTAACGATATGGACGGCCGAATCGGCTCCCATGGCAAGCGCCGTTCGCAGGGTCTCGACACTTTTGGCCGGTCCGATAGATAGTGCGATGATAGAAGTGACGGCTTTGGTCCGCTCCTTGAGTCGAATGGCCTCCTCGACGGCTACCGTAAAAGAACGGCTCGCATGTGAGTCGCCCAACCCAGTGAAATAAGTCCGGGGGACAGCGAAGACGTACCGATCTCGTCGAAGGGGTTCTGCAAGCAAGTAACGGCGATGATGAACCCCCTTTGGCTAGGAACCAACACGTTGGAGAGGATTCTGCATACTGACCATCGAATGCTTGACGGTCGTGTCGACACCCTTCCCGTCCTTGGCGATCCTGATCTTGACCGCATAGTCGATCGCCCGTTTGACGGGTACGAGCACGTTGATAAGGTTGACTCGAGATGGAATCATGTCTGCCGTGATTGGTCTCGAAATCGTCTGTCTGGAAGGGTCGCCAAACTACGTAGCACACACAATCAAGGAATCAAGGGAGATCGATCGATCCATACGAGTACAACCTTGCACTCGCTGCATCCCCCCCCCCTCCCCTCCCCCTCTCCCCCCGAAGACCTGATCCTCCTCGTCGCGGACCCACTCCCCGGTACCTTCGGGTGTGTCGGTTACGCCCCCTTTGCCCCCGCATGCCGTACACGTCACGTGAGCCGGGAGTGATAGATGAATGGGGTACTTTTCATACCCCCCACCCTCCCTCCCCTCCCTCGCTTGATCTCGAATTAACGAGGCTTCGCCGAATTTACCTTGCATACAGACAAGAGACTTGTTCAACGGTACCGACAAGTCGTGACCCAAGCCTGACATAAGACTAGTAGCTGGTGTCTTCAAGACGTATATTTCGCTCTAAACAAAATCTACTCGAACGGGAGGACATATAATAACTTCGTCAATCCCGGCGAAATCGAAATCCTAGCAACGTTCGATCTCAACCAAAACTTTATCTCGACAAAATGGCGAGTAGCCGAATCTCTCCGATATTCTAGTCGAGGGGTCAAACTGACAGCTTCTATGACCGTAGAAACCGATCCTTCTTCAAGGCAAGATTCATTACAGGCGTCAAGAGGATTCCTGGCTGACCATCTTCAACTGAATTTGCATACCGCTACAGGACACGAGCGTTCGCTCACCCAGATCATGTACAACAAGGAGGGCGATCTGTTATTCACTGCATCCAAGGACCATGTCATCAACGCCTGGTTCTCGACCAACGGAGAGAGGTTGGGAACATACAACGGTCACAACGGAACCATCTGGACGATCGCCTGCGACTGTGCGTGTAAAAGGCTTTACAAGCGAGAAAATACATTTCCCCCCATAGATCAAGCTGAATATATCTGCGCGTCCTGTGTTGGCCACCTGTACAGCCCAAACCAAGCTCTTGGTATCCGGATCCGCCGACAACCAGATGAGACTGTGGGACATCGCGAGCGGAAAGTGCTTGAAGATGTGGGAATTCCCCACTGCCATCAAAAGGGTCGCATGGAGCGACGATGACAAGAGGATCCTGTGCTTGACCGAGCAGCGATCGGGTTATCAAGGAGCCATCCGGGTCTTTGGTATCAACAGGGAGGGTGACTGCTCCAAACGTGCGTAGCAGCAATTCGCTCTGGCTTTCCGCTTTCTCCCGCTAATCTTTTCACCGCTGGACGCATCGACCCCCTACTCTCATAGAGGATTCCGAGCCCTTGGTTTACTTCTCGCCTATCGGGTCGAAAGCTACCGTCGCTGCCTTTGCTCCTCTTGGTCGAGAGATTATCACTGGACATGAAAGCGGAAAGGTTGCCCTGTTTGACGCCGAGACTGGGGAAGAAATCGAGATCAACGAAAAAGCCCACTTGGGTCAGGTAACTGATCTTCAGCTGTCCCCTGATGGTACCTACTTTGTGACATCGAGCAAGGATCAAACCGCCAAGGTGAGCGAACGAGCAGGCTTTGCGCCGCCTCAAGCTCCTCGAGCACCGTTCTGATCGTCTTTGCGCTTGATCAGCTCCACGACTCGAAAAACCTTCAAGTCATCAAGACCTTCACATCCGAGACGCCTTTGAACAGTGCTTGTATCACGCCCGCGAAGCCTTACGTTATTGTGGGAGGCGGTCAAGACGCACGAAGTGTGACCACCACTTCGGCTCGAAGTGGAAAGTTCGAGACCCGGTTCTACCATAGAGTCTTCGAGGAGGAGGTTGGGCGTGTGAGGGGCCATTTGTCAGTCGCAACAGCAACCCAGCGTTCCAAAGCTCAAGCGATACTGATCAGTCGTATTTGATGGTCGCAGCGGGCCCATCAACACCATCGCGGTTCACCCGTCTGGGAAAGCCTTTGCGTCGGGAGGAGAGGACGGTTACGTCAGGGTTCATTGGGTGCGTACATACATCTCGAAAGTGTCGCTTGAAATTGCTCATGACCATTTGAAAACCAACAATATACAGTTCGACGAGTCGTATTTCCGGGCTCGACCGTACGGTGATCTCGAGCCAGAGGATTAGATGGGCTTGGGGGTATCTGATGATTTGACTCGACGGCAAAGATAGAAGCGAGTCCATGTAGAACCGCTTGTCAGCACTGTAACACCACGAGGCATCTTCTGCGATATCGTATCTCAGTTGGTGTCATTCACCGCTTGGAAGCGTTTGCGACGGTTCTGATCGGGCTGGTACTACGGGAAACCCCCGCACAGCGAGTAGACAGGTTCAAGGAAGGGATCATTTGTTGATCGAGACGGTCCATCCCTTTGGGTGCGTGGAGACGGTCGTATTATACAACACCGACAAGCCCATGGCCGAGAATGCTCCAGCCCATTTCACCACGAGTACCTCTCCTCCCCTTTAATGTCCATCGACTCCCTCAGCTTTCTTGCGCTCGTACTCTTCGTTCTCTTTGCGCCTGGTCTCGAGTAGCATGGTCCGTCGCTGGTCAATCATGATTTGTCTGCGTTTCCCGAGGTACAAGGGCGAGGAATGCTATGAGCTTGCGAGGTACACCACGCTCTGCCGTCAGAACACTCACTGTCGTCCCTCCATTTCGTAGACACCCCAACCGATCGCTCCAAAGGCCGCCATCGCCACAAGGTGCGTCTGAGGAGCTGTTGAGTGGATGTCAGGCCGGACCATCGTTTCGGAAGAGAATAAAGAATGTGCCAATCTTGCGTACCCTCAAACATGTGCTTCTTCTGAATCCCGAGCTGGAAACACCGGGTCGCGAAGCCGAAAGCGCTGAATCCGAGGACGTTGGCGAGGAGAGACATTGTGACTTGGGTGAGGCAGCTAGGTAGAGGGTTATGAGAACAGGGAGACGGTGTGTCCCTGCATGCTACATGCATACAAGACTTCATCGCAGTCGAACGTAGGTGAAGCGGTTTAGACGCAGGTCCGACTAATTTGATAAGCCTGATCACTAATGAATGGATGACATGACGTGGAATGAAAATACATCAGCGGATGCAATCAGGGAGCCATATCGGAAGCCCATCGCACAAGATAAACAATCGCCTGGACGCAAAGTCTACAATCACCTAGTAGGCCTAGCTACTACTACTGCAGCAAGCCATACGTCTCATACTCGTCTCGATCCGGATCGTCTCTGCAGTGCTAGTCAGAACTCCTCGGCTTTTGGTAGGCTACAGGATGGAAGTTTCACAATACCTTTTCACCGATGTGTATCGACACACATCTCCGTCTTCTTGCCAGTTCTCTCCCGGTACCACCTTCTTTGCTGTAGCGGTCGAGGATCATGTAATCGTGAGGGTCACGGAAACGATGCAACTCGTCAGGACTTGGGCTTGTCGTATACCCACAGAAACAGAAACCAATGCTGCCAGGTCCGAAATCAGACAGGTCTTATGGTCCCCCGACTCGAACTACATCATGGCATGCGCGCCGCGAAGTGGGTGCACTTGGATCTTTGGACTGGCTGATCCATCCGAGAGTCCCCGAGCGATCGTACAAGCTGGATCCGAAGGACTCGTCAGATCAGAATGGAGCCCAGACAGTACCGCGGTGCTCTGTTTCTCGGAGCAACGGGTACGTCGCACTCTCCTTTCAATCTCTCCTGAGGACATTCCTGAACTGCTTTCTGTTTCGTCGTTCAAGCTGCGGCTTTCGATATACAGCATCGCTGGAGCTCCAACATCCTACATCGAGAGCTTCAAATCACCTTCCGGGTGTAAGCCGAAGGTTGTCGCAAAACGCTCGTATGTCGGAATCTGACGAACCGGCTCATTCCATGTTAGGCCACTCTTATCGCCAGGATCGTCGGTATTTCGCTGTGGCGGAAAAACATAAGGGAAAAGAATCGCTGGCTATCTACGATGCTGGGGACCAGTATAACCTGATCAGGGTACTTATTGGACCCGGGTCGAGCGATCTATACCTTGAGCTGAAATGACCGGTATACCGACTCTAGAGCTTTCCCATCGCGACGCACGACGTGCAAGGCGTCTCATGGTCACCGTGTGGTCGATGGATAGCTGTTTGGGATCATCGTCTCGAGGTGAGTGGGGATGATTCCCTTGAGTTCAGGTTTCGTCCCTGAACAAAGTGGCTGCGAATCTAGTATTCTTTGCATGTGTATTCGCCACTTGGACCACGCTTGACCACGTTCTCTTCAACGGCCCCATCCTTTATCGGACCGGACCCGGGACTGGGAGTAAGGCTTCTTGCCTGGGGACCGGGAGGAAATTGGCTAGGTGTTGGCGGATATGACGGCAAGGTACAGCGAGTAACCCATCTGGAGCTCGATCTGGGTTGACCCTGTTTCGCGACTCGCGCCTACAGGTACGTATTATCGAGGCCGACGGGTGGCGTTGTATGTCCACTCTGGATCCCGCAAGACACAAGCGTCGACATGATACGGTGCGCATGGGACTTGCCAGCAGTCGGACTCGAACGCTGAACCGACCCAGAACAGACAATATGGACCGAACCCCTGGATTGGTACATCGATGCTGCTGAACAAGGGCCGATCACATGTAAGTCAAATGGACTGCGGCACTGGGCCAGGTGCTCATCCAACTTCTTCACAAGTGTCACGAAACACCGGAGAAATCACCTGGAACACCGTGTCGAGTCAAGCAGGCCGAGTAAAAGAAGCTATTGGCGTCGTGCATCTCGAATGGAACGCAGACGGAACTTCCCTGTTCGTCCACTCTGGTGAGTTGATAGAGGTTGAACCGATGCGTGAACTATGCTATGAGTCTGACATGTGAATCCACACATGGTATGCCAGAAAACACGCCCAACGACGTGCACATCTTCGACTTCTTACCCTATCCCAGCGCTTCAGGTCCAGCGGAGATTCGGATACAGACGATTCTCCACCTAAGCGAACCTGTAAGACAGGCTAAATGGAATCCAGCTCGTTTGCAGTGCATCGCTGTCGTCACTTTGGCTGCTGAGGAGAACCTGCGCGGTACTGGTTCCGGAGTATTCTTGTGGGACGGAGACTGGGAAGAGGAGAGATCGGTCAATCCCGATTCGCGCACCTCGGGGTCCGCAGCGGTTATAGCCATTCCTTTGGGTTGGTTTGCATTGCACGCGGGTAAACAGACGTGTAGCTCGCTCACAATCCAATATCGTTGCTGCAGGTTCATTTGAGACGCACGACATTCGTTGGTCTCCAGACGGTGATCATCTGTGTATCATCGACAAGAGCCGCGTTTGCATCGTCCGTGAATCGACGATAGACGACAGTACACCTAATGCAAGAGCGGTCACGGACCTGTCCACAATCGCCGAATAACCGCTTCACTCATGACCAGGGGAAAAGATCGTGCTCGTCTGGAACGAGGACGCGCCGGAAATCGGCTGAAGTCATTTGTTGTATAGCAAGAAACAACAGCCATCTTCTTTATGGGTCATACATATCACAAGCGCTGGATTACCATGGCAGAAGCAGCACCACCCTGACATTGACAGCAAACACCACACGATCAGCCATTGTAAAGTGGTGGTCTGTTGCGTGTTTCCAGACTCACGCCGTTGCATACACCAGCAACACCAATCTCGCCCTGTTTTAACGCATGGGTTAAAGACACGACGATCCTGCATCCGGAAGATCCGATAGGCTGCAAGCAGATTTTGGAAGGTTAAGACATGAACTCGGCGAAAATCGGTAACCACAGGCTTACGTGACCGAGGGCGACAGCTCCGCCGTTGACGTTGATCTTGGCGGGATCTACGTTCATGATCTTTTCGGCAGCGCGAACGACAACGCTAAAGGCCTCGTTGAGTTCGAAGAGCGCGACGTCATCTTGAGAAACACCAGCCTGCTTCAAAGCCTTGGGAATGGCGATGGTAGGAGCAGTAGGGAAGTCCATAGGGTCGGCAGCAGCGTCGGCATAGGCTGCATGATTCAACAGCAAAAGGTTCAGCTCAGTCTTTTCACCAAGTACGCTCGTAGCGAATATTCTTTATCGTACCCAGAATCTTTGCCAGAGGCTTGACACCGGTCTCTTTGAGTTTCTCTTCCGTCATCAGGATGACGGCACTAGCACCATCGTTTAACGTCGAAGCATTGGCAGCGGTGACGGTGCCGTCCTTCTGGAAGACGGGTCGGAGACCTCGGACCTTGTCGTAAAAGACCTTCTTGTATTCCTCGTCCTCCTTGACGACAGTGTCACCCTTCTTGCCCTTGATGGTCACAGGCGCAATCTCGGCCTCGAACCTGCCCTCCGCCCAGGCCCTCTCGACTCGCTTGTAGGATTCAATGGCGTGATCATCCTGGGCCTCACGGGAAATGTCGTATTTTGCGGCGGTGTGCTCGGCGCAGTTGCCCATGGCACACTTGTTGTAGACGTCGAAAAGACCATCAATGACGAGCGAGTCCGAAGACGTCATGTGTCCGAAAGAAGGAGGGTGACGAGGGGTCAAGAAACTGTGTCGTAGCGGCCGGGCGGAGATTCAGCTCTAGCGTTCATTCACGACATCCCGAAAATACTCACGGAGCTTGGCTCATGCTCTCCATACCACCAGCGACCATACACGAGTTTGTGCCGAGGGCGAGAGATTGAGCAGCGAGCATGATCGATTTCATACCCGACGCGCAGACTTTGTTGATGGTCGTAGCATCCGTCGTGTTGGGAATGCTAAATTCGATAGGATTGACCCTCAGCTGTTTCATCGCCACAGCGCAGCTGCCTGTTCTGCATCCCGTGCTCACCCCGCTCCGATGGAAACCTGTCTGGCAGGACTCTGACCGGTACCGGCCTGAATGACCTGTCCGAAAAAGACCTCGTCGACGTGTTTGGGGTCGAGATCAATCTTGGCGAGCGCATGCTTGACTACGGTGCTTCCGAGTTGCGTGGCCGGCAACGAGGAAAGTCCACCGTTGAAAGATCCAATAGGCGTCCTGGAGGCGGCTACGATGTAGACGGGAGGTTGTTGAGCGACGGCACCGGACTGTAGCCAATTTAGAAGGGACGACAATGATTAGGGACGGAAAAGTGAGCGAAGACGATCCCATTTTGATCGAGCCACCGTCGACGTCTCACTGACCATATTTCTAGTCTGCAAGCTGATTGATCGAAGCGAGATGGGGGAAGATTTCAAGGTCGAGGACAAGGCAGATCTAGCTAGCATGACGGATCTCTGTGCGGAGTCGATTTGATGGGGGCGAGGTATATATCAGTCGGTGAGCGAAAAGCGTCGGCCTAGCGAGGTGGTACGATGGGGGAGAGAGGCTAGGCAACGCGCGGGCGGGTTATTGGGGGGGGGGGGGGATTTGTGGAGGCTCCAGTTGTGGTTGCCCGTGGTCGATGATGGATAATAAATACTGGCAAGGGTATCGAACGATTGAGAATTGCATGCCCTCCTTGGCGAGTAGCTCGAGAGAGCGAGGCTACATACATGCTCACTCATCACTCATTCACCCACTACTGCATTCACCCACCCACCCACCCCCCTCTCCCAACCCGCACCTCGTCGCCTTTCGGCCGGTTATTCCGTAGTTTCCGGAGCAGCAACCTCGCCCCTTTACGTTATCAGAGCTCAGACTCCTAGATCTATCACTATCGTCCTCGCCATTGATTGTAAACAACCACCACATTCCCTTGATCCCAGCTCGTTCCCGACACCTGAATCAGTGGTGAATCACGCCAACACGTAACACGGTGCCATCCTACACGGCCAGACACGGATCACATGACCTGGACATATTGGTCTTGCTAGTATAAGTCTTGAAATCGATCGTCAGGCACAGCCAACTTTGGCCCCCTTCGACGAGCACGCATCAATCGACACATTCGCCCCTCGAGCTCATCAAGATGACCGCAAGGAGACCGGACAAGGAGAGGAAACTCGTCACAGTCGGTGACGGGGGATGTGGTCAGTAACGTTACTGGCAGAATACGTACAGCGAGCGTATGCAGAAGCTGAACAAGCCCTATAACCGTCCGCTCAGGTAAAACATGCCTGCTCACCGTATATTCGGAGGGACGTTTCCCCAGCGATTATGTACCCACCGTGTTCGAGACCTCTATCAAGGTGGTGCCGAATCCATTCGAACCGTCAAAGTCGATCAGCTTTACGTTGTGGGACACGGCTGGCCAGGAAGGTATAGCACCGGACCATCAGTAGTGATTCTGCTCGGTCTAGCTAAACCAGGTTTCACGAAAATATGGGATACCAGATTTTGATCGGCTCCGTCCGCTCAGCTATCATGACACGAACGTCGTTATCATCGTCTTTGCGATCAATCACCGTGTGAGCCTGGCCAATGTGCAAGACAAGGTGAGTCTTTTGTTGATAGGTGGCCGCCGCCAGAGGGAAAGAGCCGCCATATTGAAACGTCGACCTGGCACCAGTGGTTCCCTGAAATTAGCCATTTCATGGACAACGTCCGTAGGTAGTCGAGCCTCTCTGTAATCCTTCAGACTTTTGAGAAGGGTACTGACTCGCCGTCGATACCTCATAGCCATTTTGTTGATCGGCACCAAATCTGATCTCCGCTCGGATGACCGAGAAATCCAGCTCATGGGTTCGCAAGGCCAGCATCCCATCGAACCGGCAGAGGGAGAACAGGTCGCGAGGGAGATTGGAGCAAGACGCTATCTCGAGTGTTCTGCCAAATTGGGACGCGGAGTGGAAGATGTTTTCGACGTTGCACTTCGAGAGGCGCTCGGAAAGGGAGTCCTCAAGGAGGCATGGAAAACGGCAGGGACCGGCCAGACGGCCCGCAAGCGGAAATGTGTCCTTTTGTGACTGGCCACTGCTCACAAACGGTTTTCCGAACTCATGCTATAACGACACCTTTACGAGATGTAATTCACGATACCCGATTGCTTGATAGAAACGTTCAGGATCCATATGCAACCTTTGATATCCGAGCTCCACCCACGTCAAGGAATATTGCATACAAGTACAAGATATCATCGAAAGGAGGATGAGGCTGTAACAACACACGATATACTGAGCACGAGAAAGGGTCGAGAGGAAGATAAAAAGTTACAAGGGTGGGCCAAAACACGTTATGCGTCCTTCGGCTTCTTGTCCTTTTTACTCTTCTTCTCTTTCTTCTCCTTCTTCATGCTGGTCGCTGTGTCGTCGCCGACCATGCTCACGTCTCCGGCCACAGAGACATCCCCGGCTGATTTGCTGTTCTTGTCCTTTTTGGACTTCTTCGAAGCCTTGGCTTCGACACCCACTGCGGAAAGATCGCCAGGTACATCGACATCCATGGCATCTGCGGACAGCGCGGCAACGTCCGATTTCCTGAGAGGCATGTCGGAAAGTCTTAGCGTTCGTAGCCATTGTGAGGATTTCGGCGGGTTGAAACGCAAAGCCTCACCTCTTCTTGCTCTTTTCCTTCTTGTTTGGAGTGCTCCCGACAGCTGCGCTGACACCCGGGATCAAAGAAGCGAGCTTCTGCAGCTCGGGGTCCACAGGCTGTTCAGCATTTGCCTCGGCGGCCTGCTTCTTTCCCTCCTCCACGAGCTTGATCGCCTGCAGTGTAAGTTGGTTAGTGCGGAGCAGGATTAATTGAACTTGCAACGAAAGGCGATCGTACCTCGGCGACCTCGTCCTCTTTAGCATTCTCGTCATCATCTTCGTCATCGTCGCCCTCGAGATCAAGAGCGATGGCAGCCTGAGCCTTCTTGATGGCATCGGCATTCTTGCTTACGGCAGTACCAGACTGATGGTAATCATATCCGCCGATGTGAACAATGAGGACGTCGGGATATAACGAACTGTACTCACCTCGTAGAATGCCAAACGCTCTTCAACCTGAGCTCTCAAAGCTTCACCATACTTGTTCGTTGGGTTATCTGGAAGGAAATCGTAAACCACTCAGCCCATCGGGAAACTAGCTTTGCGGTACTTATCCGAGCCATACCTGAAAAGCAATCGATCCTGCAAGCGATTGAACACTTGTTGGCCAAGAATCGAGAGATTCGCCCCTTGTGCTTGGTACCAGCTCGGCCAATGAAAGTACTGGAAATGAACCGAAGATCAATATACATTATATGATGAATTGTCCTTGACCATATTCACCTGTGGTAGATCAAACCGTATTTAGGCGTGTTACCTTTCGTCTTCAAGGCTCGGAAGAGAGCCTTTTCCGCTCCCAGAATTTGGACCGTAGAGGCCGGATATTTGGCTAGGTTGGTGAGCGAACCCCTGAAAGGAGATGCGGATTGTCAACGAGTCGTCTTGTAAAAGCCGCAGATCTTAGCTCACGCGTGACTGATGAGCCGGGCGCCGATCGTCTCTCCAATAAGTGCGCTGAGATTGGGGGCCACAGCGTGCATCTTGTCGATCAAGTATTGTCGCAGGTTGGTCCTGTAATCTGACAACTGGACAACACGCTCCGCAAAGCGTTTGATGTTCAGGAGATCCAATTCGTTGATATCGGCACCCATCGAACTCTTAGCAGCGTCCATGACATTCTTGGCTTTCGTCTCGTCGTCATCGAGAATTTCCTGAATCTTGGCGATCCACTCGCTCTGACCGGACTCGCTGAAGTCGAGTTGAGACTTGTCTCCGATGAGCAAGACCAAACGAGCATACTGGCCAGGTGTTGAAGGGGTGATCTTGACCAATTCTGGGAAGTGCCACGAGTACCATTCACGGATCCTCATAGAAAAGGTATTGACGTCCTTGTCGAGCTGGTCAGCAAGTGCGATTGCTTGGATAATCATGTTGTCGGATCGGTTGACATTGAACTGTTAATGTTTGTGCGGCCAGAGTTAGTACTAGCCGAGGAAGTGGTCAAAGCTGTCCAAACTGACCTTGACTTTGCCTCGAGAGTAACTGTGACCCAGACCGAGCTGTGCCATTTTCACATCTCCCTTCGTCATTCCCGTGCCAGCCTTGCTCAAGAACAGCTCGGCGTGCAACCTGACACCTCGCACAAGCTCCAAAGTCCTCTCGCCAGTGTCGCAGGGAATTTTTAGTTGCTGACTGATGGAGCTCGCCAGCGTTCGCTCTCCGATTCCGAGTAGCACACGAGGCGACGACTTGGAGGATGACGGAATAAGCAGCTGGAGCAGGGAAGACAGCTGATCGGACACGATTCCTGGATTGAACAAGAGCTGTCAGATTGGTTCACATCGGGCCCGACGATCGACTCGAGCGTACCTTCGGAGACATCGTTGGCGTTGGCCAAAGCCTCGGCGGCCGAGGTGAAGGGCAAGAAGCTCTTGAGCTTTACCATTCGACTGAACTTGGAAAAGTCCAGAACGGCTTCTTGTACAGCCTTGCTCTTAGCGGCCACTTCCTCCTGGATGTTGACCTCGAAGAGCGAGTACCCCGAAGCATTTTCGAAGAGGATGTGGGTGAGGTTTCCGGACATTTTGGGCAGCTAGACACAAATCCCTGAGCTGATCAAGGTTTATTCTGCTTGGTCGATCTGATAATATGACACCCAAAGACTTCTTCGAATCCCCCCGCATAGCATGATCTGAAGAAATCTCAATCGCCTTAAGCGCGGGCTCGCGGGTTTCGCGCTTCAACATGGCAATCGATCCGCGCGCGGTGCATTATTGTTCATCATACAGTGAGGTGGCGGACACATGAGGACGACGATATTAATAAGGCTATGCGATCCAGCGATTGTGTCACCAGGACTTGGCACCGAGCTACTATGTCGTGTTCGGAGGGATGGTGCCAATTCGGCAGTCGCCTCGAGATCAACTCGACAGCCGGATTAGTCCCAAGCTCGGTGCTCGAAGTGCGGCATCGCTGTGACACGACGCGGAGCTGTCCGATGCGGTTGATCCGGGTTCACTGTCACTATCGCTACTTGATTCGTTGGTGCTACGAGTATGTAAGCGACCAGTCTGGGTTCCTAAACGCGAGCCAAACGCGGTGAGCCATATCGGCTCGAAAGGATGCATCGAGATGGAACCGATAACGTCTAAGAACGACTACAGAATCAGCACCTCAAATTTTAACAATCAAGAAGAACGTGGCGTAGACGACTGACCTTGATGAGCCTGGACTTGCGATATGGCCTCAGAGGAACCGCCGACGTCGACGTCATACACCCGGATCACGCCATCAGTACCCCCGGTGGTAAGATATCTGCCAGCCCAATCGACGTCAAAGGTCATCCTTTGCTGGGTTCGCCCTGGCCGATGCAATCGGATGAAAGGCCCTCCGTTCAAGTTTCGCATGTCATAACCTGCTATATGATCAGACATCCGGGATGCCGCCCAAAGCACGTAACCGTTTGTTGGGTGAAACGTGAGCTGAGGAAAGGCTTGTCAGACTCTTTCCGGGTTTACTTTATGGTGGGATCGCTCGCATCCTACCTGAGTGATACCGGAGCTCGGCTCTCCCATGACAATCTCGGCCAGGCGGTCTTCGCCCGAATCCTCGCTGTAAATACTGATGTTGCCAGAATAGGACCCAGCAGCAAAAGTACCTGACCCGTCAGGCGCAAATGTTAGAGCAGATATCATCCCTATTTTTTGCTGTATCATTAGCCTTCCAAGCTTCCTGACCGTTGCAGGGTCGAGAAGGATATCTACCCTTCTGCCCATCGCGGCTCTTCCTCGTGGGAGATGTTTTCAGCCGTGTACCGCTCGATCCTGGACGATTAAACTCGAACACCTCGATCGCCGAATCGAACCCGCAATACAACCTATAGAAGCAAAAGAGATGCTGTAGCTACAGGAACCCGAGTTACGCATCTGGCTTGCCTGACTACCTCGTACACACCTGGATGCGTCTCCGTTGAAGCAGAGCGATGACGGCGCGATGAAGCGTTCGCTATGGTTGACGATGGGATAGGACGCCCTTGTCTATCGCGGAGGAAGGGTTCGTTAGACTTTGCAAATGATCACGTTTCACAACGTACCTTGCCGGTTTTGCCGTCAACTAAGCGGACCGGAGCGTCTGCTATACCTGAAACGTAACAGAAAGTGGCCGGATTGGACAAGCTGGCATATGGGTACCAAGCGTTCGACCATATAGCCGACGGTTGCGGGGCCTCCCATATCGCAGGCCACGAGATGCTGATTCCTGAAGTATCGAAAGACGAAAGATTCCGTCTGAGATCCAGCAGTCAGGCGTGAAGGATGGGTGCGGGACACGGTAGACTTACGTTGCAAAGACGCGGCATACCCTCGACTCGGTTATAGCCAAGGCAGCGGATCCGTCAGGGCACCTTCTCACGATATGGATAGATGAGCTTGACCCCAACATGCAAACATGATATAGAGATCAATCGCACCATTTCGCGAACCTATAGAAATCACCTTGCTGTGTGTCCCGGACGCAGGTAGAGCCTACATGTAGTTCGCAAGATCTGGGCTCGGAAAAGTCATATCGAGGTGGCGCTGGCAGATCCTCTGCTACGTGCAACGGCGTCGAGTCGGCAATTTCGAGGCCCGCATGCCATGATCCGGAAGACATTGTGACTTTGGAACGAACAGCTATGATTGCGGATTGCGAGTTGCCTGGCCTTGAAGGGAGATCATCCTTCCCTTTACAGGGGGTCTTTGTAGGCCGAGCGCGGCTTATATCTTGCTGCGCTGCAAGTGCACTGTGGTTTTCGTGTTTCTGCTGATCTGCTAGCGGTTGTTTTGATCAATCAGATTGACTGAACTGGTGTACCCGTGTAGTGATGTACTGTTATTATGACATGACACTTTGATCGCGGATCGCAGATGACGAAAGCGAAAGCGCGCCAGCCAGAGCTCAAGCGCGATCGAAGCTCGAAGCTAGTAAGTTAGCTAGTTAGTAAAGGTAGTGCTCGCCTGGCTCGAAAGTGGACGACGAGTACAATCAGGACTTGCAGTGCGTCTCCACCTTGTCTCATTGGGACAAAAGTAGACCACACGCATTGGAGCAGAATCTGCTCATCGGAACAAGGCTTGAAACATACTCCTTTCTAGATCAACATTGGCCGCTCGGCTCGGTCTCATCCAACCCTATCTTGGTCGACGTCCGGTACAACGATATACGGATATGTCGGCGAAACACGCTCCATCCAAGCTACTTGCCCATGACTACCCGAGCAATGAGTTCAGCGACACCGTCGAAAGACATGCTCAGGCTTCCAGTCCGAAAAGGACGCCCCTGAGCGTCACCTTTGTAGGTCTTCTTCGAGCGATGAATACGTTGGCAAGAAATCTCTGATTCTGACTGGATGCGATGATTCTTTAGCTTGGTACAAGCAGTGGTAAGAGCCTAGTCGACCGTTTTATTATCATGAGGTATTAATAATTCCTCTGATCGTAGGCGGCGGACCGATCCCCTCAAGAAACTGCTCATCGTTGTCTCTGAATTTAGACAGAACCTCTTGGCGTAAGCCTCTATCCGTAGGACCGGACGTGGCAGATACTTGGTCGGCTGACAGACTTCATTCATCCAGTTTTTGATTGCGCAGAAGGCACTCAGCTGCAGGTCCAGCGCTCACACTTGAAGATCTCCCGGATTGAACGAATCTTCATTACACACATGCACGCGGATCACACGATTGGGCTGGCACCTCTGCTTGGCTCCTTGATCAGCGGCATACAAACCAGCCCCGAGAGTCGCTCGGCAATGCAAGCCTTGGGGACAAGAAAACGAGCCAAAGTGCATATCTATGGACCTCCAGGTTTACGGCTCATGTTACGTCAAATGTTGAACCTCACCGCCCTGACACTTGGTGACGCATATGCGGTGCATGAGCTGATCCCGAATCGAGCTAGCTTGGCGGGCGGAGTTGTTCCAAGCACATCGCCCGCGAACAACGGAAACGGTCCGTCTTGCTCGTGCAGAGCAGAAGATCTTCAGCAGGCAGAGGCGGTTGGTCAAGACATTGAGGCCGATGATGACGGCTGCTGGCGAGATATCATAAACAAAGCAGAGGCAACGAGTCCGGACACTGGATCAGCTGCGGGCAAGTCTGAGGGAGGCGATACTTCTGCTTCTGCTTCTTCTCCATCGGATCGCGATACCTGGCGCGTCGATGCTGGACCCATACGGCACAGGGGTGAGTTTCGATTACAACGATAACCGACCATGGCTCACCAATTCTTCCGTTCAGTCTTGAGTCTCGGCTACGTCGTCACCGAGCCAGCACTCAAGGAGAAATTGGATCTTGACGCGATCATGCCCTCGATCAGCCGCCAAATGGACAAGATAACACAGTCAAACCCTCGACTTCGACATCCGCGTCAGATTACTTCTATACTCACCAAGACAGGAGAACCCTTCGCGTTGCCAGACGGACAGGTCTTGGCACCTCCTAAAGTCTCGGACGTTAGGCCCAGAAAAATCGTCATTATGGGCGACTGTGCCGGTACTGAAAACGATGCCTTTCTCAGCCTGGTCGATGATCCGAGCTTGTTGGTTCACGAATGTACCAATGCTTGGGTCGATCCACGGATCGAGAAGAGGTCTGCAACGGACGGGGATAACCAGGACAAGGATGCAGAGCAGGAAGCACTGAGAGTCTTCCATGAAGCGCGGGAGAAAATTCAGACGAGAGCCAAAAGTCGTGGGCACTCCGATGCCGAGATGGCTGGTCTATTTGCGCAAAAGATCTCTGCCAAGAGATTGGCTGTGAACCATTTCTCAGCCATGTACGTCTTGATCTTGCCGGGCTCGCGGATTGAGACTGATCGCTTGTTGGCTGGTCAGGTTTCCGAGCCCTAAATATGCCGAAGATATTCCCTTCCCATCCTTGACGATGGCCGCGTATCCTCTCCCACCCGGCAGGCCCGCTCCTCCTATCGCTCCAGCGGAGATCGCCAAAAGGATCACTATGTCTAGTATTGAAACGCAGATCACCGCTGCTTGGACGAGTAGTACTCAGGCGAGGCCATCCCGAGAAGCTTGCCGCGCCGTAGCCGCGCGCGACTTGATGACTTATGACGTCCCGGCTCATGAACTTTCACCTGCAGAAGTGCAAACTGTGGAGGAAGCCAATCACCAAGCTGCCCAATTAGAGACTGCGTGGTATCAACAAGGTCCCGAGGGATTCGTGAAAGCGACTGGTTGTAAGCTGGTGGGAGTCTGGCTGGGTCAGCCTCAAATGGCGGCCAATATCGACAAAGGAACAGGCACCAGCGCAGTGAGGAACCATCACAACCGCGGCTCGGCTTCCGGTATCGATGGGTCAGGTGAGGCTACTCTGATTGCTGGGCGAGGAAGCGCCGTTGACGGCGATTCTGCCAACACGCCCAAACTTACGTCTCAGCTGGACCATCGAGGGGACGAGCGCAACATCCAGGGCGGCCGCGGCCATACCACAAGCAGCGGCGTCACATTCGACACGACTAAACCTAGAGGGATGGAATCGCGTCTCGAGACGAGCAGAGGTTCTTCCTTCCATAGACATCCGACACGTCACGTAGCTCTGCTTTTCGTGTACCAAGGATGGCATTATTCCGGTCTGGCCATTCAACAGATGCCTACACCCTTGCCTACGGTCGAGGGTGAATTGCTCAAAGCGTTAGAGAAGACGCACCTCATCGAGGCGGGATCCGGCTGGGAGGGATGCGAATTCTCTCGATGTGGACGTACCGACCGCGGCGTGAGCAGTGCTGGTCAAGTAGTTTCCTTGCGACTTAAGAGCAAGAGACATCCTGAGGACGGAGGAGTTCCATTGCACATCGGTGCAGATTGGCAGCCCGCTAGAGAGCCTCGGACAGATCCGACAGATTCAGTCCACGGAACGTCAGACTCAAAAGCCTCCGATCTTGCGGTTACCCCTCAAGAGCGGATCGCAATGCGTATCGCGGGCGACTATATAGCTCCACCGCTCACGCCAGACGCACTTGCCAAGATGCCCCTTCGTCAGCAATTGAAAGCTGTCAAGAAGAAGAAGAAGATCGTCCAGCCTGAATCTGGTGCTCGAACCGCGAGCGAATATTCTTACCCCCACATCCTGAACAGGGTTTTGCCCCCCGAGATTCGCGTTCTAGCTTGGTCACCGCTTCCTCAAGATCAGCACGAGCAGAGTCATTCCTCTGTCACTCCGTTCGATGCCAGGTTTTCCTGCATTACACGACATTATCGATATTTCTTCACCCGACGCCCAATACCCGATCATCCCCCTCTGGATATCTCGCTGATGCAGGCTGCGGCGACGAGACTGATCGGCGAGCATGACTTTCGGAATTTCTGCAAGGTGGACGGGAGCAAGCAGATCGAAAACCATCGCAGGCGAGTGTTGAAAGCGGTGGTCAGGCCAGACGACAGCCGCGACCTCTCTGCTTTCGAAGGCTTGACGTCCGCCGAAGGAACCGATCAGGACGCGTTCGTCTTTGAACTGGTGGGCTCTGCCTTTCTGTGGCATCAAGTCCGACATATCATGTCGGTTCTGTTCCACGTCGGGCATGGATACGAATCGCCGGATATCGTCTCGCGACTCTTACATACTGGCTACCATTCTCCGGCTCGCGAGGAGCATGACCAGGACAGCAGCAGCTCGTCGCCCAGGGCCGACGCAACCGACAATGGTCCACCTGTGGCTTCAAAACCTCTGTACGTAATGGGCGCCGCTTTACCGCTACAACTCTACCGCTGTGGGTATGACCCAGGCGCGGTTGACTGGAGGTACGGCGGGTACGATGGACCTGTTCAGGCGGCACCGCAAGACTCTCCGGCGAGGACTGAGGCTATCGAAGGGCATCTCACCGTGCTCAACGCACTCAAGTCTCAAGCGGAGGACGCCCGGATAAAAGCACGTCAGATCGAGGCATTTTACCAGGAGGCCGTGGCTATACACAGGCCGGAGGGCCTATTGAAGGAGCAGCATAATATCGCGGAGACGCCTGCCACGAGCTATACTCTGGGCGCAGGCGAGATGCAGGCTGGGCGAAAGTATGTCCCATTCCTAGATAGGCCGAGGGGCGATCTGGTGGAAGAGCAGAACCGTCGATGGAGAGAGGGCAAGGGTGAAAATCGCAGACTTCGAAAGCTCGCCGAGTCGTCTGAGAAGTAAGGGGGGGGTGGGTGGGGGAGATAATATATCCTCGGGAGCGGCTTTCTCGTTGTTCTGTGCTTTCGGTTCTTGCAGGTACTTGTGAGATAGTCGTACGGTTAGGTGCAATTGCAACCAGCCCTGATTCCCGATGTCATTCGGAAATTGAGTACATGAATTACATGCGGATTCCGATGCCCCGCGCGTCAGAGGGGAAGCCCCCGGCCGGGGCGTGTTGTTTGTCCTCGTGTTTTCCCTTTGCTCTCGGCAGGGGCTTGTGCGTTTCTTCGGTCACGCGGATGAGGCGCGGTTGCTGGCCGGCTCGGGGAACGGGGGGAAGGGGGGGGTGTACATGGTGGTGCCTGATTTACGCCATCGTTCGTCATTTTCGTCGTCGTCGTCGTCGCGTCTGGACGGTCGCGTTCACTGGAATACGAGCAGCAGGTACGAGCAGCGAGTATGCGAGCAGCGAGTATGGTACTAGTTGTGCTGGTTGTGCTAGTTGTGCTAGTTGCCGCGACACTTCTCTTCCTGCTTCTGCTTCTCACATCTATCGACTCTTCGTAGATCATAATATATATTAGTACAATACCCGATCAATATCAAACTAGTACCTCGCACCAGGGGGCAAGCACTACACACATCACACACATTGACTTGGTCCCAGTATCCGCGACTACACTGCATTCGACGAAAAACATCTTGCAGCGCAAACCACAGCAGCACAGAAGCCTCCATCGCTCGTCCATACCATCAGCCATCCACGCAAAGGATCTACCTCGCCTCTATATATCGGTCTCCCCATCACACATCGTCAGTGTGTATCAGCATCCGATCGTCTAGGCGACGACGACCTCGCCGCGTCGCACTTCGTCAACATGGGTCTCAGTGCTCGACGCCCGCAACTTCCGAGCCTCAATCTACCATCAGCGTCAGTCTGGGTCTCGATACCGAAGTCGTTGACGACTCTTTGTGCTGACGAAATACGAGCTTCAACCCGCTTGTACACCCAGTCGGTCATCGGAGCGAAAAGACATCCTTATCGAGCAATTCGATTTCGATGATGAGAGGCTCGAGGACACGACCGAGATTGTATTAGATTCCCATCGCGCTTTCCGCCCAGATCCTTCCACGCCGGTCACCCCCCTACCGGGAACCCCTCTAGTGTTCGATGAAGCTGTGAGTCACCGTAATACCTGGACGCAGCGTCACTTGGTGGGGCGGCTGACGGGAAACACGCCCTCGTAGCCCTCTCACCGCTCTGGCACTCCAGTAACTCCTGGATTTGCCAATGGCCCGAATCCATTCTCCTTCTCATTTTCTCAACGTTCCCCTTCGAGCTCGAGCCATACTCCAAGCTCCAGCCCCCTCCTGCAACCTTCGAAAGGCATCTCATCGGCACTGGCAGAAGGACACTTGGCGAAGGGTGTGGCTATGGCGGAGAACTCGCCTGGTATTGGGCTCCACCCATCCGGCTTGGGCCTGATCCCCAGCTTTGGTACCCTGAATGGCCTGAGTACGTTGAAAAAGGGTAGAGGATCGAACCCCTCTGGAGGGACAAGACAGAATGACAAGGACGCTTCGCATGAAGAAGTCCCTTGGAATGACCGAGAGCTGGAGACGTTGGAAAGCGTAAGTTTAACGTTAACGTGATGCGACTTTGTACAAGCTCAAAGGATTGATGACTGACCAGGTTTACCATACTAGTTCCTGTTGAATCCGTTGCGTCCACTATCGACCACGTATCCTCCAGGCACCCTGCCGCCTCCGGCGGCTCTCGACGAACTCACTTCTCAAATCATCCATTTCCATCGACCAACTCCGACTTCCCTACCTATCGATGATCTCCATTCGGTATCGCCAAAACAAGGCGGCATTGCATCGTCCAGATCCGCACCTTCGCTGAAAGTCGATGCCTCGGCGAGTCACTTCGTTGGCAAAGGGAGACATCGCCGGACTCATTCCAGCTCAGGTGTTGTTTGGAAGCATAGCTGGCCATCGACGAGGCAGAAGCTCTACGAAGTCGCCCGAAAAGAGGCTCTTGGAGATTCGCGGGAAGACCGATTCAAGGGGCGTTTAGATATCAAGAAGCGGGCATTGTTTACTGGTTCCGAGATGGATCCAGGTCCAATCAGCCCTATGCCCGAGAACATGTCCGACGGCTTGTCCTTCGACTTTGCTAGCCAGAGAGATGTACCCGGTACTATGATCCGTTCGGGGATACCGGGGCACATAGCGACTTCGCAGACGGGATGCTACGACGGCCAAGACTTGTGAGTCTGACATGCATTGTTCTGTCGCCAATTTTCCACTGATGTGCTCACCTCAACGTCTCAATAGCACCACCAAGACAACCTCGAAATGGTCCGCCGACTCCAACATCACGACCTCATCTGTCGGTCCGACGATCAGGCCGATCAGTCTCTTGCAACGCGGGAAAAGCTTCACCGCCGAAGATTTCGATGCAGCCATGACATTGGATGAGTCGGTCAAGGAGAAATCCTGGACATCTCTGAAGCACCCATCGACCGATCTAGTTCAGCTGCCTCAATGCCCGACTAGCACTGTCAATACGACTCCGCCGCCAATTTTTGCCCTCCCACGAGGCCGCGTTTCTGGCTCTTCGCCGTTGTCGAGCGAAGGACCCAAGACCCCCGAGGCTCCACCTGGTATAACTTTGACTTCGCCATCTCCCTGTGGGCGCCATCGCAACGAGCAAATGCGGGGTATGGGGTCTCCAATCCCAGGTTCAGACGACAGACCTGGCGCTTTTGGTGGTCTGCTAGACTTTGCCGCCAGTACCGCAGAGAAACCAGACGCACCGCGAAGGAAGAATCGACCATCGCCTCTTATGCGATCTCGTTCGACCTGGGATGAATCTCAAACGCATTCAATGGTCGCCCAATTCATCCAAGGGCCGCCTCTGTTTCAGACTATCGAACACGACCTCGATCGGTCCCAACCCTTCCGAGTATCAGAGCATAGGACGGACACGTCTTCACAAGGGCAGACGCCGTTTGCCAAAAGGCAGAAGGTCCAGGAGACTGAAACCAATTTGGAAGAGTAGTCTTTGTCGGTGCACTTTCCGATCGCCCTGCATCAAGTTATGTAGCCCACCACATCAAGCAGATCTCCTGCCGGCCCCATGTATCGCTTCCCCTTTCCCACCCTCGAGATGTTGCACTTATCGACCAGCATGATGTATTATTGGCTTTCTCGTTGCTTTGACCAATGATATGTCGGTATTATACACAAAAGATCCCTCCTTGTACGGAAACTGCACGGATACAACATGTTGCTACCACTAAATACAGCACCTGATTGGCAAAATCTCATACAGCAATACCCGCAACTGTGAGGGGCTCATCTGATACTCTCTCGTTTATCCAGGCGATAGTTGCGACGGACGGAATCGCACAGCTCTAAACACGACACGTCGTTAACCTTGCGCCCGATCGGTAAAGAAAGACAAGCTGACGGACCTTTGAAAACCGAATGGGCCCCTTTCACCAAATTGAGACTGGCTCCAGTCTTGAAGGACGACGATGACATTGCATTCATCACTTCAATTTTGAAGTAGATTGACCGGTTCCCGGATCGATCAGAAGCGCCTCCTGCTTTGGCAAAACATCCGCGTCAGAACCATAGTCCACGTTCTCAAATTCGGGGCAACTCACTGTCGGCTGGAGAAAATTTGCATCGCAATACGATCTGGTCTACCAGTGTTTCGTTTGCTACCCTTACGTTTAGGAGCGAAAGTTGCTGTTGCAGTACTCGAGCAGTGATCGAGACGCTTTCGTATGACCACAGCGTATAAGGACTAGGCTTGAAATTGAACAGGTTCTGGAACCATGATCGTTTGGGGCTATCCGAGACATCATTGTGGTGTTGACGAGGGCCAAAGGGCACAGGGCGCACGGATAAAGCTACCGAAGGATCGTCAACGGTGAGTCATTATGGCAAAATCGTGATCAAGAGCGGACAAAGACTTGGCAACCAACCTTTTCGACCTGATTTTGTTGCTTCGCTCCAGCGAGAGTTGATCGAGGAAGCGCCGCGCCCGCTGCGGCTGTCTGACCAGTCATAAGTCTCAAGGTGATCGCCGAGCTCCACATAGACGTAGGATGCATCTCTCGGCATTGAACTCTGAGGAATCGGGGTGGATTGCAATGGTACATTGTGTGTTTCAGGTTGTACCGGCGTTGGCGCCTCGGGCCAAAAGCCAGAACGAGGCCGAGAAGCTCCTCCATTAGACCTGACGCTCGCACGCCGAACCATGTCCGGTGGGTTCCTTTCCGCGCTGGTTGACGGTTGGGTCGAGGCGCCCATGACGAAGGAGTGAACCGAGAACGCGTCGTTTTCTGTGACGGGTGTGTATGGCATGAACATGTCACTCTCGTCTTCTTCGGCATCAGCGAAGCGGCTCGAGTCTCCGGATTGAGCTGCCGATTCTAGCGTTGGTGAACCCTGTGGCGTTGAACCCGATGCCCTTGACGAATCCACACCCAGACTGTTGAGCTGTTCAGCAACTTCCTGAAAGAAGCGCTGTACTTCGGTATCGTCCACCGTGGGCGCCTGAATGCTCTCGCGTCTGGACCCCGGCATATCGACGACAGATGTTCGGAAGGTGTGATCGGGCTCCATCACGATAGATGTAGGTCGTAAACTTTGTGAGGCAGATGTTCGATCGGAGTTGCGCGGTGACATTGGCGGCCGAGGTCCTTGAGGAGTCGGGCGCAAGTTTAATTTGGCCAGACGTTCTTGAACTGTAGGACCCATATATTCCTCCCTCTGAGTCCCTTGAGCTTTCGTGGGCGTGGGCGCTTGGGGCCGGGACTGCTCCTCGGTAACAGCGCTCTTGTTGATCATAGACTTCGAGTGTGCATTTTCTTTCAATGGATCCCTGACGGCAGAAACAAGCGCTTTTGTACTCGGTCGCGCATTTGGAGCCTTGGGACGCTCCTCCTCTGCATTGTAATTCTCAAGATGCTTGTTTCTGTACTTGATCAAGAGATGATAGATTGCCTTTTCCCAAGTTTTTCTGCGATCGGGGACAGGCCTTGGATTAGTTCTTGCCCGCCCTTGTATCGTCAAGTGCATAACACGAACTCTTTGCACAAAAGAGCAGCAATGATTTCTTCGTCGGCGGCGCCATGCCAAAGTGTTTTCAGATTTCCCATAATGTCAGGATCGATTTCCGCAGCTGAATCGACAGGCCTTTCCACTTCGTCCAGTGTGGGTGGAGGTACGAGAGGCCGACCGGGGATGTTATTGGACGGTGCAGAAATGAAGAACGGGTGGACCAAGATTTCCGGCATCTATTGCCATGATAAGAATCAGAACCTTGCCTTCGAGCGCTCCTCGCGCCATCAGTCGATACGTACGGTGATACGACGCTGAGGATCCTTTTCCAACATTCTATAGAGGAGATCCCGCACAGGACCTTGCACTTCCTTTGGCATCTCAAAGATTCCAGTCTTCACCTTGAGCAATAATACGCGAATGTTGTCGTCGTCGAATGGTAGTCGTCCGGTGATGAGGGCGAACAAGATGATGCCGCATGACCAGATATCGGACGCCGAACCATGATATGCTTTCCCCTACTCCGGCCAAGGGACTCAGAACACAAAATACGGTCGATCAGAGGACTGCCCACTTACTGCTACAATCTCCGGACTGGCGTAATGCGGACTGCCACACGAAGTTTCAAGCATCCGTTCTCCAGCCTGCCACGCTGCCATGCCAAAGTCTGCCACCTTGATATTCTTGTCCTTGTCGAGAAGCAGATTTTCCGGTTTCAGATCGCGATGGCAGATGTTGAACCGATGACAGTAATCAACCGCGTGAACGATCTGCTGGAAATAATGAAGGGCTTCGCCTTCGGGTAATCTCCCTCGCTTGACGAGGTAATCGAATAGCTCGCCTCCCGGAACGTATTCCATGATGAGGAACCTATGGTAGTGGTAAAGAAGATCAATGATGCGACCGATCGTCGCCGTCCTCGAAAGGACTTACAGCTCCCCGGTTGTCTCCCACACGTCGTATAGGTTCAGAACGTTAGGGTGATCGATCAATTTCATTATAACGATCTCCCGCTCAATGCCGAGTAGTATTTTATCCGCACGAGCACCAGCTTCGGAGACCGACATCCTAGAGTTGAGGATGAGACCTTTTGGTACAATCTTGATAGCCGCATACTTGCCAGTGATGGCATGCTTTGCAATTTTGACCCGGCCTAGACATGCGCAAATGTTCTTAGTGGATGCCTCGCTATCTATCCTATTGTCACGTACCTGAGCTGCCTTTTCCTATCGTTCTTCCGATTCTCCATTGCCCAATCATCTTTGATTCTTCCTTCGTCTCTCCCTGTTTGGTGGATTTGGAACGGTGCGCCCGGTTTTCTCCACGGCCCCCCTTGGCTGAAGCATAGTCGGCGGAGCTCATGTCAAGCAGATGACTTGTTACGCAAACTGTTCCCTGATTGGGTGTGGTTGTGGATATCTCCTGCAAAGACTCGGTGTTGTGCAGCGCAAAAAAAGTATTGTCGGCCCCGTAAGAAGAGTGATCGACTCCCGTCTGGCTGGAAGAGGACGTCGTGGTTATTGTGTAAGAGAGCGTGAGGGTGCGGCGCGGCACAGGTAGTCGAAGTCGTATCTGTAGGGTTTATAGGAAGGGAATGTAGCGATAGTAACAGACAAAGCAGAAGAGTCGATACGTTCAGAAGTGTAGCGCGAAGATGATCCTCGCAGATGGCATGTCTAGACAGACTCGTATACTGGCCTACTGGCTATTGGTGACTGGATGTCCAGGCAGGATACGAACCTTACGTCGCCCGGTTTGTTTGTTGTTGCCTCGAGCGCGCCTCGCTCATATCAGGCACCGAAGGTTCCGTCCCGTGCCTTGGGCAATCATTCCGATCAGAACCTGATGACGGGGGGAATAGATCGCATATACATTATGCAAGATGGTAGTGTGTGATTGCGTGCATTGCAATGTGAAGCAACGACTACATCATCTACTAAGATTGGGTGATTGTCAGATCTAGGTCTCATGTTCAGTGCTGTACTGCTATTGATACCTGTGACCAGACAGTCTGCCACTGAACCCAAACCGAATGTTTTTTCTGGCCGAAGGGTACAAGCGTGAACACCAAGATGTATGTGCTGTCCTTGGCTTGCTTGGTATTGGACTTTGATCTTTGAAGCATAGAAAGGCATGGATCTGTACAAAGCAAGAGAAATTATAAATGATCAGGAGAACATATGTTATAGGTGTCACGTGAGTGACGTGATGCGCCGGACGCGATCCCCGTAGACGACTCCCGCCGGGGGTACTTTTCGGTAGTGTTGTTTTGATGTAGAACTAGTAGCTCTGTAGTAGCTCTACATCTGTTATTACATTTAGATGTCTACCCATACCTTGCCTCATTCCTGCGTCCCGTCAGCCTGTCCAGGGGGACCCCCGGGGGGTCGCGCCTGGGCCTTACAACAACTCGTAGATTCTTGTTACAGGATCATCCCGTGAGTCCACTACCGGCACGTGGGCTTCTTCCACGGACATCAGCATACACCTAAGTCTGGCTCGACAAGGCGAACCCGATTCCCTTGGAGCAGATTCAGTTGCCCCTGCCATTCGCCTTCACCATTCACTGAAACAACAAAACCTTCCCGACGCATATCACAGACAGGTACAGGTTTTACGGGATCATCACGTGAATCAACTACCGACACACGGGCTCGATCTACGGACATCAGCATACACCTAAGTGCGAATCCGATTCCCTCGGAGGAGATTCGGTCGCCCCTACCATCCACCGAAACAACATTACATCCCCGGTACATATCACACACAGGTACAAGGACCTCGAGGTACATGACAACCTTACTCAGGACCTCGACAACCTTACTCAACGTCTTTAGGGACAATGAGAACTCAAACTCGCCTCCTCTACCAAATCCGGTTGCTCTCGACAGGATTCGTCTGTTCGCCATCTTGTTCTTCCAGTTTCACCATCTATTGCCATTCTTTTCTCTTGGGTCTTTTCAGTGTTCGCCAGCCTCGTCTCCTTACTCGTCTCCATATAAATAGCTAGAGGGACTTGACCGAATTTGATGGAGGACGCTCTGTAATAGTTAGAGGTCAAGTTCCGATATCACATTCAATACACGCCTATCTGACTTGCTTCAACATCTTCAAGACGTGTTGCGGAGAGGTTACAAACTCAGGATGTTGCTAAGTATCTACGATTCATCGTGTTACCTTAGACCAAATCCAGTACCTCACACCGAGTGATCACCTTCCTTATCCATATATCTCTGGATTCGTATCCCTTATCCCAACTCGCTTCATCCAAGCGAACTTGCGACATTCTCCCGACTACCTGTGATCTACCTTAAGCACCCTACGCCTTACGACTTAGGACCTATCGCCCATTAGCGACCTCCGCCGTAACAAAAGGGACCTCAAGGTACACGACAACTGTTACGGGCGTCCTCGAAAATCGTCTAAGGGGTTGCTTCTGCGTGTTTGCTTCCGTCGCGACTGCGTGGCGAGTCACAGGTTTCTAGATGCAAGCGAAGTCGGATCACGTGACTACAATGTCTCATGGTCTTTCTCGAGTTTGGGTGAAGTCGCGACACTGTACTAACGATTGCGAGTTCGTCGGTGATAGTGTAACCTCTCCTAGTACGTCCCTGTAGTGTAACTAAGGTATAGGCGTATGTCAAATGTAATAACTGCGCTTGAATCGTATAGAAGTACAACAGACTCACCCAATGGCATTAATGCCTCAGTGGCAAACCTATTCCTTCTAGTATGTTCCATGCTGTTGCTTCCATTTTGCTTCCACTTTGTTTCCACTTTGCTTCTTGCTTTGTGGTTGAGATTGCTTCCACATGTCGATGACGGATTGTCACATGCTGGGTTAGGCCTGATTTGCAACATTAAGCTGGATGAGGAGGCAGAGAGTCCAGCTCCCATCATGTTCAACAAACAACCTGAGTGAGAGATAGAGTACTCAAATCCTTGTGAGATGCAAGTGAAGGAATAGTATGAAATATCTAGTCCAATGGAAAGGGTTTAATTTTGTATGATACAGCTTGCAAGTCTGTCACTACCCCTCAAGGGAACAATTGGCCTATCAACTGGAAATCAAGAGATTATTGACAAGATCAAAAAGCACTATTTTTTCAAAGATCAGCCATTGTATCCGCTTAATTCTTACTTTGTTCCAATTTTCTACACATAATGGCCCTTTACAAACAAAAGAAAATAGCTCCACTTTACATGATGTAGGATTGGATTTCAGGATAGGTGAAACCAACTCAAACAGGGGTTATATTCCTCAATTCATGATCCCTTGTCCCAAACAAAAGAATTATTGCGGCTAGAATTTATACCCTTGTGCTCCCTTTGGTTGCATACAAATCGTCCAAACAAATCTGGAGATATAAGCTCCACTCAAAATACTCATATTTTAAACCATTCTGGACCATTATACCTATCTACACTAAATCTACATTGTCTCACCACTTGCTCAGTTCTGAAGCAATCAAAGGAATTCTTCTGCAACACAATACAGTACATTCGCATCACCTCCTTAACTGTCAAAGCCATCTCAGTACTGTTCCTAAAGCAATCCCATGGCAGCGGTATCTGTTTCAACCTCTCCAGGAGCCCCTTTCCTACCATCACAACCATTATCAAACAGAATCTGAGAAGAAAGGTAAGGCTAAGAAGGCTCTCAGACCTCACCTTTGTTACAGGCTGCTGATGAGGAGTGCAGAAGACAAGCCAGACATGGCTATGAGGCTTATGAAAGGAGGAATAAGCCTTTAGGGACAATAAGGATGATTGGAAGCCCTGGGATACAGGGCTTAGAAGCAGCCCTTATTGTGGCCCAGGCCAACAGAAACTGGAAGTCTCTTTGAGGCAGGATATACACTTGAGGAAACTCCGAAAGACCAAATAATCACCCTGTCAGCACAACTGGTTCATCAGACATCAACGAATCTCCCCATTCAACCAGAAACACCCCTATCATCTGTTGGGTTGCCAGCAACCAGGTATTCTGCAGGATTTGCTTAGGTGGTAGTGAGATAGATGAATGAAATAGCAGATGAAGTACAAATCACATAGAGTACAAATTCAAGTTTCGGACTCACCTGTTGTTACTAGTAAATCACTAGGGAACAACAGGTGTCCAAGAACCAGTAATTCTACAGTAAAGTACATCAATATCTGTTGATGTAGGGGGTGTACGTGGCAAGCCGAAGCCTAGTCACGTGATTCGTAATACAGTTGTACTGCAGATGGTTACAATATCACTGTACAGCCAAGAGCTGAGCCGGATCTATGGCATTCAAAGTCAGGGGTCTGACCCGGGAACCGTCAGAGATAACAACGTGAAACAAGTTGGAGACAGGCTGACATTGCAAAAACCAGTTTGTAAGACATTCACAAGCTCTATCACCAATTCCAAACCGGCTATTGAAACTTGGAGATCTCCAAGACTGACCTCTCAGATTTTTTCAATCCGGTCACCACAACACAACTGCTGCTCCAAGCCGTACAAAAGTGGTCACAGACAGCTCAGTACTGTTGCTATATCACCTCGCTAAAGAGTTACCTTGTTGGCACCTTCAGTCGCTGAGCAATCCGCTTCTCTTTCCACCTTCACCTCTTCAACATCAACAAGGACTAGCTACCCTTGTCACATAACAAGCAAAGGACATCAAGAATTACCAAATAGGATAGTGCTGAGACAACTGCAAGGTATCCAGTTATAAATCAGTTGTGAGTTTCACCACATAGGAATTAGCTTACTCCACACTTGAGGGCGCTTCCCGGACAACTTTGCCTTCACTTCCTACTTTTTCTTAACCTTTGTCAAACCGCTGGATGTAGCGTCAAGTAGCAACATACTTGCAATGTTCAATAAAGCTTAAATACTCCTGCAGTTAGGATACTGCAAATCAATTCAACACAGATACCCCTATGCCTTCCCCAAATTCCATGCAATTTGGAAGAGCTGTTGCAACAGTGAGACTATAGGTCTCAGCCCCATCATCAACAACAAAGAACAGGTCCATTCTATGTCAGACTTGCCAGACCCTTTTGCGCTAGGACTCAAGAACAGTCTTCATTCCAGCCCAATCTGAAGAGGATTTGACACAACCACACACAACACAAACCAGCTCCCAGAGCCTCCATATCAACCAGCTCAACAGACAATGAAGCCCAATGCTATGGAAGCTATCCTTGAGCAACTCACTGCTATATGTACTACTATCAACTCGGTCAGATTTGAGAATACAGAACTCAGGAGAGATTTGGCTAGGCTTAGCACTGTCTCACCTCAACAATCTGAGAATACTAGGCCTTCAGATCATTCAGCCTTTCAAAGACGACACAAGATCAAGGCTTCAGACTTGCCCAAGTTCTACAGCAAGGACAACAAGGTCATCGATCAATGGAACAAGAAGGTCAACACCATCCATGAATACTCTGGCACCTCCAACATTGATCTACTCAGGCTTCTACCTATGAAGCTTCAAGACAAAGCTTTGACTTGGTTTACCCAACTGGATACCCAAAAGAGAGCCACCTTGAACTTTTGGAAGGACTGGAAGGAAGCTCTCAGGAATGCCTTCGGCTTGCCCAATCACAGGAGTGCCCTTCTAAGGTGACAATGTCTCTACATCTCAATGACTCCTCTAATGACTACTTCCAAGATGAACAGAAGCTGCAACACTACATACACCCTGTTGGAACTTCTGAAATTGACTTGATTGAAGACATGCTGGA